AGTGATACATTGCCCCTTCTTTCAAAATTAGCATGCGCTATATTTTCGGTTCCTGCATCCGCTGCTGATGTGGAAAGAACATGGTCAGCAGCAGGGCTGACTGTAAACAAGAGGAGATCAAAGATCTCATCAGACAATTTAAAAGCCATTCCCTAGCAGGAACCCGTGAAATATAACCCTAAACGGTGTCAAGACTCAAGATACTGAAATAATTATTACTTATTTAATTGGCGTTTTTGACACCACTTGGGGGTCCAAATTTTCGGCTCTAAAATCATTATTCCTCGGCCAATTTTTTATTTTTTCATGCTGATTTGGAGGATATTAAAGCATTTGACCCAGCCAAAAAAGTTTCAGTTGTATATCTTTTACGGTTTTTGCAGAAAGTTGCGTTAAAGTCGATGCCGTGGTGTCAGTAAAATGGCACAGATATATATATATATATATATCGTCTCGCTTTATATATAGTAAGATTAATCGTAACAGAGATATTTTTTAAACTTTCATAAGTAAATTAGAGATTGACTCTGACCAGTGAGAATTTCCTAACTTATTATTAACTAACTTATTATTATTGAAGTTATGAATTATGAAATTGCCTTACTCGGGATTATTACGACGGGTTTATTAACGACCGGTTAAAATATGGTTCGGGAAAAATATGGCGAAATTGCTCAAAACCCACCACATTTTCCCGGTCGCCATTTTACCAGTGTCCAACCTTTCAATTTTAGATTCAAAAATTTTGTCTCAGATGTAAATTTCCTTATTAGAGAGAAGCAAGTTTAGAAATTTTCGCATTGCTAAAACTTGTGAAACAAGTCGAATTATCAATAATTGTTGAAAGTAGACAGAAATAATGACTCGTGGTTAATCAAACTAGATGGAAAATAATTTTTAACATTTGAAGCGTAACAACCAGATCGATATTAAGATAAAGGGAGAGCTGTTTCAGTTTAGTCTTCCAATAAGTTGTAATCATCTTCGTTATCTTCATCTGGATCATCCCTTTCGTCAGTTTTAATTAATTCAAGTTTTAATTTAACTGTTACTTTTACTTTGAGTCTTATTTCATTATGTAGAGATAGTCAATACCTAAGAAATTAAAAATTGGCCTATTTAAATCAAATTTGACAATAAGGATATATGACAAGAATTGGGCAAAAAGGTGAATTTTTTGCAATTTTAGCCAAATGAAGTCGAAAAACCTACAACAAGTGTCCCAATAGTCTTCTTTAGTGAATATAAGACAACGATTAAAATATGAGCACCCATACCCCTTGGGAACCCTAAAAGCTGAGTAGGCGGGTTTATTAACGACCGGTGAAAATGTGGTTCGGGAAAAATATGGCGAAATTACCCTAAACCCACCACTTTATCCCGGTCATAATAATCCCGAGTAAGGTGTATCACTTGTTACCTTCCATTTCAAGTTTTGCCCTTAAAATCGACATAAAGTATAAAGAAACATAAAGTATAAGCCAATCAATTTTAATACAAAATAGTAATATTAGCAAAATAAAAATGTTTGGTACAATATCTGACATTAGGATCTGGTAATCCCATTCCTAGTTTTAGCCGGCTTAGCCGGCTAGCCAGCCGATTTTTTCTCTTAGCCAGCCGATTGCCGTCGGCTAGCCGGCTCACGGCTCTAATGAGTGTATACTGCTTTTGTTGTTTGGTTGTTGTTGCTGTTGCTGTATAGCTTCTTTGTCACCTCGTTTTCATGCCTCTATGAAGCTATGACTACTTCTATAACAATTGTAAGATTCATTACTTCATTACTTTGGGGTGACTGCAGCTACCAACCAACTGCTCACGTGTATTTTTCTCACAACTATTCTTTGTAACTTAACTCATTCACTGAATTTTAATTGATCCAATTTTCTAATTTTTAATACAGTCTCAGTGTATTAAAAATTTGTCAACAAATAAAAGTTACTTATATACGGTGTTCATGAGACCCCAACTTTAAGGGGTCCAAGTAATTGCAGTTTACCGTGAGAAAGTAGGAGATCAGACAAAGCATCAGCATGGAACCCATGGCAACCTGTTAAACCAGAATATTTAACATAGATTTAGTGTATTTAGTGTGGTGGTAGATTACTGGGGACTATATAATTCAGCCGTAATAATCTATCAATATCATGATCGGCCATTCATGACAGCGAAAAACAAAACATAAGTTAGTTATTATTATTGTATTAACTGAGCCGTACCGGCGTACCCTAGAGTCTAACAATTACACTAGTGGTTAAAGTTGTGTACAATCTTACAGTGATTATCAGAGAATCACAACAGATAAATAAACCCGCCGTTATCGCGTGAGGTCTACTTTGTGATATTCAGTTGACCAAAAAAACAGTGGAACAAATCCAATTATCTTCTTCCTTTGTTTGCTCACTGTTTGGAAATGTTCGCATATTCCTTTACTTTTACACACTCCGTTTTAAATTGTTTCCTAATAAGTTCATCTGCTGCCCTGGGGCCTGGACAACGAAATTGATTTGATTTCGGCTTGTTGCATTTTTGAGATAGATTTGATACAAATGAGATACTTTTTGATTCTTTAAATTGACACAAGCTCATACAGGAATCTGTTTTAATGTTGAGACCATCTAGATTCTCCTCGTCACAACTGCTAGTCTGTTTGATCTTGGCTATGGTGTCTCTGCTCATGCTCGTTACTAACTTTGCTATGAAACGTGGAATTACAGACGGAACTACGCTCAGAAGCCATATACAAATTGTAAAAAGGGTGAATAATTCTCATGGAGCAACAAGAAACGCAAGTCCTTTAAATGAAGGTGCCAAAATTCATAAAGACGATTATGTGCTCCGTAATCATAGACTAAGATTATGGTATGGAGGTAGGTGTATCGATTCTAAAGACGGAAAACAGCTGAGTGTACGGTTCTGTGATCCAAATATAGAGCAGGCTTTCAGTTTAACGACAGATAACCGTCTGATCTACGAGAAGACTGGAGGATGTGTGAGCTACGAAACTAAAGAAACAGCTGTATTCTTGAATCTTGTTGATTGCTCGCATGTCACAGGATCGTTCTTTATACAGGACGAAAATGGACAGTTTTACTTACAGCACGTTGTGGAAAATAAAGAGCTGTGTATCACACCAATATCAAAGATAAATTCCAATGTTACAAAAATTCCTTGTCTGTATGATCCTATTGGACTGACCGTTTGTGATAAGGAAGCCTCACGAATATTGCCGATGGAGGAACAGTTTTTCCAAAACGACAGAAAATTGATGAAGGGAGCTGTTATAGCTCCAAATAGCTCTTGTGACTTCAGAGCTTGTGGGCTTAACAAGAGGGAGCCTGTAAAGCTTCTCCCACTTCACCAGATGAACAGATGCACAAAACTTTGGGAATGTGTTACAGTTGCAGTAAAAACAGCAAGAAGACCACACCTAGTAGTTCGTCTGGCTCAATCAGTGAGAGACAGTTTGGGGTTCGACATTCCGATTGTTGCATACGACGATGGACCTGATGATTATTCTGAAGAAGTTCTTCAACAAATGGCAGAGTATCCGTTATTACGTTACATAGTGACCAGTGACGAAGATCTTGGTATTTCACAAGGAAGAAATCTTGCTATTTTGCATGTCAAAACAAAATATTTCTTCCTTGCAGATGACGATATCAAGTTCAATAGAGACACAAAACTCGATAAATTAGTCACAATACTGGACACCACTGACGCCACAGTTGCTTCAGCCACGTACAGTGGGAGTACCAAATTCACCGGGTACTTCCAATTTGGGTATTTTAACTCAAACCATAAGTCAAAACCAAAACTTGGCTTTTTCCATCATGCTTGCACTTTTGTCAATCAAACGATTCCAGACCACCCAGATTGTGTGAGATGTGAAATAAGTTCCAACGTGTTTTTGGCTCGAACGAGGGAGATATTGGATATAGGGGGCTGGGATCCTGAGCTCATGACAAGCGAACACAAGGATATATTTATCAGACTCAAAGCAGCCGGAATGAAAGTAGCACTGTGTCCTGATGTGAAAGTGACACATGCGCGTCCAGGGAAAAAAGCAGTCAAAGGAGTAGGATATAGTGAAAAGAGAGGCGTGGTAGTGCAAGGTCGCGCTTGCTCGAGGTTAACAGATGGAACATTCACGGTTTATTCGAAAGAGGTGCAAAGGGTATGTTAAGTCTAAACAGCACTTCCGGAGAGATGGAATTTAAGGAAGTTAAAATACGAGAATTTTGTTAGGTACTGGTTTTGAGGAACTTTGAATAATTGTCAAATAAAATGATTAAGTTAAATTAAGTTAAATTGCTACTTTATTATATATCTGCGCAACATTTTTCATATATTATAACAATGAACGTGCGGAATAAATATGATGGTTGATTAAATATGTTATTAACATTGCATCAAAAATAACTCAGCAAAACATGTTTATTTTACTTTATCAACAATAACTACTGTAAAATCCCAATTGGCCAATGGCCGTACACCTCTGTCCCCTACTATTTTATTTTCCCAAAGTGTTCGGTAAATTGGGGCTTTATTGTACAAGACCAATAACAGATGCTAATTGGGGTAATTTTTGGGCTGGGGAATATGTTCTACATTCAGTGTTTCAAATTGTTTTGTTCAGTGCAGTAGCCTTGGCTGATCAATTAGACAGTTAGCAAATAATTTGAAACATGACAATTTATAATTTTTGACAATCATAATAAGCATTTATAAAGTTAATTTGTCAAAATCTCAGTTGATATAGAAAGAGATCATTATTCCAGAAATAAAATAAATTTAAAAAAGTAATAATAAAAATTTCCAAAAATCAGTTTGTTACCATAACAATCGATCAAACTAAGGCCGCCAAAATTAGGGCCAGTAAGTCATACAAAGTAAATCGTACTTTCGGACATTCAGACTTTTCTACATTCACACTTTCAGTTTCACAACTTCGCACTTTCTCTTTCACATAAAAAGCTAACTCGACCTGGCCTTTTCAGAGATATTGCAGCAAGATTCAGAGGAAATCTGGCAGGATACCGGACAATATTCCAACATGTACTAGATGAGAACAAAAGTGGGTGTGTTGAAGCTGAGGAGCTCAACTCTCTTGTTCTAGGTGAGACTTTGTGTAACCATGGGTAACCAGGTAACCAGGTAACAGAAGTGGTTGTGTTGAGGCTGACAAGCTCAACTATAGATATAATATCATATAAGTATTATGTATATATTATATATCTCGCAAATGTAAATAAAGGTGAAGACCATCACAACCTGACTATTTGAAGCAATTGTCCGAATTCTTGACCGGTAAACTATAATGACCGAGGAAAAAAACTACATGTAAAATGTTTCAATTTTAAAACCGTTTACCGGCCTCCTGCTCCGGAGCAAATGGTTTAACCATACTACTTTGTTACCTTGTTACCTGGTTACCTGGTTACCTTGTTACCTGGTTACCTGGTTACCTTGTTACCTTGTTACCTGGTTACCTGGTTACCTGGTTACCTGGTTACCTTGTTACCTCGTTACCTGGTTACCTGGTTACCTGGTTACCTGGTTACCTTGTTGCTGCTCTGAGTTGTGATTAAATACCAGGTACTTAACCAAAGGGCAACTTGTCTACGCTAAATGTACTAGAGTAATACCTTAATAGGTAATAGGTAACTACACTGTTACTATGGTAACTACACTGTTACCATGGTGACTACACTGTCGCTATTACTAATACTCTAATAGGTAATAGGTACGCGAATTTTGAATAGCTGTAAATCTAAATCCAGAACTCACTGTAGCACACTGGAACTGAGCCAGTAGTCTATAATGACGTCATCATGATGCTGAGATTGCAAAAGTTTGTACAGTATCTAAAATGTATGCCGTTCTTCAATCAAAAAATAAATAAGTCACAAAAAGGAGAAATTAAGATTTAGACAGTAATATTTTACTAATTATACTTACAGGAAGTACTCCACTCAAAAAACTAAATTTCAGATTGCATCATGCCGTCCCAAGGAAGGATGCGGGGGATGCCCGCCAGCGAGAGATACTCCAGCTCTTTTAACCGGGAGGAAATGGCGAGGATCTTGGAAGAGTAAGTATTTAAATATAGGGTCGTGATATGATGGTTCCAAAAACAGCCCCCGAACTGCAAAACACAATCATGATTAAAGATGTGCATTGTGCAATACGCTATTTCTTGAATCTATACCGATATTTCAGCCCGAAATCTTCATTTCATCTTATTACAGTAAAACATCCCATCTCTGATACTGCTATACTATACTACTATACTACTATTGTTTGGAAAACTCGTAGCTTCATAATTAATCAGTTTGTTTCGTGAAGTTGAGATGAAACAGTCGTAATGTGAACGGAAAATTGCATAAGATCTTAAAGTAACCAGGTGACCAGGTGACCGGGTGACTAGGTGACCAGGTGACCGGGTGACCGGTTGACCAGGTGACCAGGTGACCAGGTTACCAGGTTACCAGGTTACCAGGTTACCAGGTTACCATGTGACTAGGCGACCAGGTAAATAGGTAACTAGGTGACTATGTGACCAGGTGAGCAGGTGACCAGGTAAATAGGTAACTAGGTGACTATGTGACCAGGTGACCAGGTAAATAGGTAACTAGGTAACTAGGTGACCAAGTAACCAGGTAACCAGGTATATTAACAGGCCGAAACCAGTAGAAGATGTTGTGGTAGGTGAGGAGGAGGAGACTGAGGTAACTTTGGAGACGAGCCAAGAGGAACAAGACACTAAGGGTAAGTGTCATAGTTACAGTTATCCTGCATTCTGTAGTCATAGTTACAGTTATCCTGCATTTTGTAGTCATAGTTACAGTTATCCTGCATTCTGTAGTCATAGTTACAGTTATCCTGCATTCTGTAGTCATAGTTACAGTTATCCTGCATTCTGCATTAGTGTAGTCATAGTTACAGTTATCCTGCATTCTGTAGTCATAGTTACAGTTATCCTGCATTCTGTAGTCATAGTTACAGCTATCCTGCATTCTGCATTAGTGTACTAGAGGCGTGAGCTAGCCGGCTAAGCCGGCTTAGCCAGCCGATCGAAATTGCCGGCTTAGCCAGCCGATTGCCATCGGCTAGCCGATCGGCTAACACATTTTCAGCAGTTATCACTTATCTATACTTCAGGCCGGGAATCTAGACGGCATGTAACAAATTATACCATGATCGACTTTAGAGATAAATTTCATAAATTTCAGAAAAAGTACGTACGTGCGCAAATTAAATTGTATTGTACTATGTACTCAAAAACTTTCTGTCCAAGATGGACACTCTTAGATATTGGAAATGTCGTAGTGATACATTGCCCCTTCTTTCAAAATTAGCATGCGCTATATTTTCGGTTCCTGCATCCGCTGCTGATGTGGAAAGAACATGGTCAGCAGCAGGGCTGACTGTAAACAAGAGGAGATCAAAGATCTCATCAGACAATTTAAAAGCCATTCCCTAGCAGGAACCCGTGAAATATAACCCTAAACGGTGTCAAGACTCAAGATACTGAAATAATTATTACTTATTTAATTGGCGTTTTTGACACCACTTGGGGGTCCAAATTTTCGGCTCTAAAATCATTATTCCTCGGCCAATTTTTTATTTTTTCATGCTGATTTGGAGGATATTAAAGCATTTGACCCAGCCAAAAAAGTTTCAGTTGTATATCTTTTACGGTTTTTGCAGAAAGTTGCGTTAAAGTCGATGCCGTGGTGTCAGTAAAATGGTACAGATATATATATATATATCGTCTCGCTTTATATATAGTAAGATTAATCGTAACAGAGATATTTTTTAAACTTTTATAAGTAAATTAGAGATTGACTCTGACCAGTGAGAATTTCCTAACTTATTATTAACTAACTTATTATTATTGAAGTTATGAATTATGAAATTGCCTTACTCGGGATTATTACGACGGGTTTATTAACGACCGGTTAAAATATGGTTCGGGAAAAATATGGCGAAATTGCTCAAAACCCACCACATTTTCCCGGTCGCCATTTTACCAGTGTCCAACCTTTCAATTTTAGATTCAAAAATTTTGTCTCAGATGTAAATTTCCTTATTAGAGAGAAGCAAGTTTAGAAATTTTCGCATTGCTAAAACTTGTGAAACAAGTCGAATTATCAATAATTGTTGAAAGTAGACAGAAATAATGACTCGTGGTTAATCAAACTAGATGGAAAATAATTTTTAACATTTGAAGCGTAACAACCAGATCGATATTAATTAAGATAAAGGGAGAGCTGTTTCAGTTTAGTCTTCCAATAAGTTGTAATCATCTTCGTTATCTTCATCTGGATCATCCCTTTCATCAGTTTTAATTAATTCAAGTTTTAATTTAACTGTTACTTTTACTTTGAGTCTTATTTCATTATGTAGAGATAGTCAATACCTAAGAAATTAAAAATTGGCCTATTTAAATCAAATTTGACAATAAGGATATATGACAAGAATTGGGCAAAAAGATGAATTTTTTGCAATTTTAGCCAAATGAAGTCGAAAAACCTACAACAAGTGTCCCAATAGTCTTCTTTAGTGAATATAAGACAACGATTAAAATATGAGCACCCATACCCCTTGGGAACCCTAAAAGCTGAGTAGGCGGGTTTATTAACGACCGGTGAAAATGTGGTTCGGGAAAAATATGGCGAAATTACCCTAAACCCACCACTTTATCCCTACCTACCTATGTGACCTATGTTGAGTTTCGTCAAGACTTGACGGGGCCATCACATCTTCTGACCACCCCATAGCGAAGTAGAGTCTCGCTCGTTGCGCCAGCACAGCAGAGAGTTCGTATTCGGAGGAGTATATCCCCTGATCGGCGGCTTATCAGGGAGAGACAACATGAACTTTGTGAGCTTATCTTTGAAGTGCTCTAGATCTTGAATGACATTCAGATGGTAGGGGATTGCATTCCACAATTTAGGTCCCTGAACTGCAAATGAGTTGTCAAACAAGGTGAGGTTTGCTGTTGAACTGGTTCTACGTTTTGATGGAATTACTGCAAGGTTTCCAAGCCTTGGGCGTGAAACAAATAGAACGTTCAGATCATTGCTGGTCTTTCCGTGGAGGATTTTCCACATATGGAGAATGATGAATCGCTCCCGCCTTCGTTGAAGAGACATCAGAGATAGATAGACCAGGCGATCCTAGTAGTGGAGATCGCGCATTCCTGATATTCTGGCGGTGAATGCTTTCTGTACACTCTCCAGTTCTTGGATATCGCTGATTTTTGAGGGATGCCATAATGGACAGCAATATTCAATCAGACTTCGAACCATTGATTTGTATAGCGTCAGCATGATGGAGTGAGATCGTGTGTGAAATACACTGAGAACCCATGATGCTTTTTGGCGAGCTTTATCTGCAATGGCTCGTATGTGAGGGGACCAAGAGAGATCACTTGACACTATGACGCCTAAATCCCTGAGCTGATGTATTGGCTCAAGTATAGTGTCTTTGGAAACTGAGTATTGATAGTGTTCAACCACAAATGGAAGTTCAGATAGTACATATTGGTGGTTGAATTTATGACACATGTACTCAAATTTGTCTTTGTGAAGGGCCATATTATTTCTTTCAGACCAGTCAATGACATTTTGCAGATCTTCTTGGAGGAGCTTGACGTCATGCTCCGATTTGATAGCAATGGATATGCGAGTGTCATCAGCAAAACATCGAATTATAGAGTGCATGATACAATGTTCGATATCATTGATAAAAATCAAGAAAAGGATCGGCCCCAAAACAGTACCTTGTGGAACTCCGCTGATTATCAGTGCAAGGATGGACAGATGACCGTCAACAACAACTGCTTGTTTCCGGTCTGAGAGGAAAGATTCTATCCACTTTATGATTTTAGGATGGATTCCATAGAGTTGGAGCTTTCTCAGTAGGAGTTTGTGATCGACTTTATCGAAAGCCTTGGCATAGTCGAGGTATATTGAATCAAAATCTGAATTGTTGCTCAGAGAATCCAAAACGTCATCAAAATGGTGGAGAAGTTGAGTAAGGCAACTCCGGCCAGATCTAAATCCGTGCTGCTTACTACATATGAGGTTGTTGATCTCCAAATAGTTTACCAGCTTTTTTCTTATCACCCTCTCGTATACTTTAACCACATGAGAGGTGAGTGATATAGGTCGGTAGTTAGCTGGTTTGGCTCGACTATCCTTCTTGTGGAGAGGAAATACGTGTGAGAACTTATAGAAACTAGGGACCTCCCCAGTAACTAAAGAGCGGGACCAGATGATGTGCATTGGTTCTGCTAGGGCTTTCTTGCAGTTCTTGAGAAGGGTGACTGGAATTTCGTCAGGACCTGATGCAGCATTAGGTTTGATGTCTTCAATGGCCTTAATGATGTCGTCCACGGAGAAATTCAGCATATCGTCAGTAAAAGGATGCTTGATTGGAGGGGGACTGAAAGAAGCAGAGTCGATCCGAGTTTTCGAAGGATCACTGAATACTGACAAGAACTGATTCTGCAAGAGGTTGGCAATATCTTTTGGATTTGATTTGATGGCACCGTTTCCATCAAAAAGCATGCTGATGTTGCTTTTCTTCTTCGAAAATTTCTTAGCGTAACTATAGAAATACTTGGGATTTTCTTTTACCTTGCTTACGGCTTGCTGTTCACGGTACAGGAGATCCTGGTTGATGGCATCACGAATATCCATATGAGCGAGAGCAAGTTTCCGGTTCAAAGATTCAATCTGTGTGGGAGGGCTATGAGGATTAATTTTTGCAGCCTCTAGCTGGGTTTGAAGCTTTCGTTTTCTGCGAGAGGGGATGCGCACAGATGAGCGAGTTTGGGTTTTGGGAGGGATCTTCTTCGGACAGCCAATCTGGCAGATTTGTAGAGTAATAAGAGTGAATAGCTCTGGAAAATCCTCTTTGTCGCAAAGGTTGATGAGTTGAGCCCAGTCAACAGATGAGAGCATGTCATTGATCGATGAAAAATCTGCTTTATTAAAGTCTAAGCTTCTAAACGAAGAATCAATGAAATCCGGAGGATCTGAATGAGTAGGAGAACAAGGATTGTAAGACAAAAATATCTCTACACGTCTGTGATCTGATAGTGGAGTGTCCGAAATAGAGACGTGAGAAACTAGATCCTCTGAGTTTGAAATGTACAGATCTAATACATTTCTGAGTCGGGTCATAATAATCCCGAGTAAGGTGTATCACTTGTTACCTTCCATTTCAAGTTTTGCCCTTAAAATCGACATAAAGTATAAAGAAACATAAAGTATAAGCCAATCAATTTTAATACAAAATAGTAATATTAGCAAAATAAAAATGTTTGGTACAATATCTGACATTAGGATCTGGTAATCCCATTCCTAGTTTTAGCCGGCTTAGCCGGCTAGCCAGCCGATTTTTTCTCTTAGCCAGCCGATTGCCGTCGGCTAGCCGGCTCACGGCTCTATAGTGTACTCATAGTTACAGTTATCCTGCATTTTGTAGTCATAGTTACAGTTATCCTGCATTTTGTAGTCATAGTTACAGTTATCCTGCATTCTGTAGTCATAGTTACAGTTATCCTGCATTCTGCATTAGTGTAGTCATAGTTACAGTTATCCTGCATTTTGTAGTCATAGCTACAGTTATCCTGCATTCTGTAGTCATAGTTACAGTTATCCTGCATTCTGCATTAGTGTAGTCATAGTTACAGTTATCCTGCATTTTGTAGTCATAGTTACAGATATCCTGCATTCTGCATTAGTGTAGTCATAGTTACAATTATCCTGCATTCTGCATTAGTGTAGTCATAGTTACAGTTATCCTGCATTCTGTAGTCATAGTTACAGTTATCATGCATTCTGCATTAGTGTAGTCATAGTTACAGTTATCCTGCATTTTGTAGTCATAGTTACAGATATCCTGCATTCTGCATTAGTGTAGTCATAGTTACAATTATCCTGCATTCTGCATTAGTGTAGTCATAGTTACAGTTATCCTGCATTCTGTAGTCATAGTTACAGTTATCCTGCATTCTGTAGTCATAGTTACAGTTATCCTGCATTCTGTAGTCATAGTTACAGTTATCCTGCATTCTGCATTATTGCGTATCAGTATTTTTATTGTTAGATATTCCTTGGTATTTTTCTACATTGGATCAGACTGTGCCAACTGATGCAGATGTCAGAATTATTTATATTGTATACTGTGTTTTATACAAAATATCATGTGTATGTATAAAGGGTTTTTATAAGTAATTGACATGGAACTTGAGTACCGAATCACTCAAATTTTGAAAAATTTAAATTTCCTGTGGCTTTCTTTTATCGTGTTTATTAATACAGCTATTATACTATATAGTTACATTTACATGCTGAATCCTGTATTAGTGCAGTTAAAGTTAACGCTATAATATAATCAGTACTATCATTATCAGACAGACGAGCTATGTTGGAGGAAGCTAATGTTTTAACCCCTGAAGCTTCATTAAATCCAGGTGCATAATATTACTAATAAACTGGATTATATTCAAACGATATTTTTGAATGACTGGAATATGGCCTTTGAACACTCAAACCATACATAGGTTAAACAGTGAAACCTCTATATTAAAGTCACTATTGTGTCGGTACATTAGAACTAGACAGAAACAGAGGGGTTCCATCCAGGCCCTGGATCCTAACCAGGTAACCAGGTAACCAGGTAACCAGGTAACCAGGTAACCAGGTAACCAGGTAACCAGGTAACCAGGTAACCAGGTAACCAGGTAACCAGGTAACCAGGTAACCAGGTAACCAGGTAACCAGGTAACCAGGTAACCAGGTAACCAGGTAACCAGGTAACCAGGTAACCAGGTAACCAGGTAACCAGGTAACCAGGTAACCAGGTAACCAGGTAACCAGGTAACCAGGTAACCAGGTAACCAGGTAACCAGGTAACCAGGTAACCAGGTAACCAGGTAACCAGGTAACCAGGTAACCAGGTAACCAGGTAACCAGGTAACCAGGTAACCAGGTAACCAGGTAACCAGGTAACCAGGTAACCAGGTAACCAGGTAACCAGGTAACCAGGTAACCAGGTAACCAGGTAACCAGGTAACCAGGTAACCAGGTAACCAGGTAACCAGGTAACCAGGTAACCAGGTAACCAGGTAACCAGGTAACCAGGTAACCAGGTAACCAGGTAACCAGGTAACCAGGTAACCAGGTAACCAGGTAACCAGGTAACCAGGTAACCAGGTAACCAGGTAACCAGGTAACCAGGTAACCAGGTAACCAGGTAACCAGGTAACCAGGTAACCAGATAGGAAGGTTCACACGAGGGGTGATCCCTTTCGTCAGTATCTGTAGCCTCTCAAATAGCCACTTAATAATTTGTCATAGCAAATTGGTTATAGCAAATTGGTCATAGCAAATTGGTCATAGCAAATTGATCATAGCAAATTGGTTAAATATTGGAAATAATTCTTGCTCAAACACGGTAACTTCAAGGTTTTTAAATTTGATAATTCAGCTGTTAAAGAAATGATCTGCTCGATGATCCGACGTGAGCACGAGGATGCGGAGTTCGGTCTCAGAACTTTGGCTGAAGTTGTAGACCTTGACGGAGTGGAAGGCCTTTCTTATGAGGAGGTGATAATATTTGTATATTTCTATATCAGAATTATATATTTATAAATCATAATCCTAGTATCAGTCTTTCTTTATTTTACTTTACGTTGTTTAGCTGCAAGGCAACGGGTCATCTATGAAAACTACCTTTTTTCTTTTACTTCGGACCAGCACTTACAGGAACCCGAACGATCGATAACTAAGGCCAGCGACGGTTAAGGTATTATACCACACTTTCTTCGCCCGTGGCTCCGCTGTATAATACTTTTTAAACTGAACTGTAGTATGAAGGATTATCTCTCGAATGATCAAGACTCCATAGGAAACTGACCCTCAGAAGTCAAGTAATAATCGTTTATAAAAGCTTGGGTAAGCTAAAATTTTACGCAAAATTGTCTACGCGCCAATAATTATGACACCCTGCTGTAGATCATGTACAGCTCCTCAATTAACCCTCACACACGCTTTCACGAGCATTCGGCTGAGTAGGGGGGCTGCATAGGTCCATCGGAACCCTTAGCAGAACGGCAACGCCGCTCACCCCATGGCTACTGGCTAGTGGCACAGGCGGGATCGAACCCGCAACTTCGTGATTGAGCAGCATATTACGAGTAAGGCCGATCGACTATAAACGAACTGCGCCACTAAGCCACTATATACTTTATTTCTACAAATTGACTGGTATGGTTGGGTCAGACAAATTTCAACTGGTCTTTTCAATTTGTATCTAGCTCTCGAGTCTCGGCTTGCCGATTGAGCACTGTCAGCATGGACGACGCCACCCACAATTACTTTATTTTTAGACTTTTCACGAAAACGTACTACCTTATTGCTGGCCCACCAAATGAATTATTTCTACATAAATTATAAAATCCTAGTACTCTAATATGTGAGTCGTATTTGAAACCAGGGGAATGTTTGAAAGTACTATAATAAGCGTTGTAATAAAGTTTTGAGTGTCGTAATATCAAAAAGTAAAATGCTTGGCTAGTGACTTAATTTCATTCCATAACTCTAAACTCGCCAGATTAGTGACAAATTCCGTCGAATTAACTCCGTTATTAACATATTTAATGACATATGTTAATGGCAATAGTTTTGCCAGGTATTCGAATTAAGCTTAAAACATAATATGTTAATGACACGAGTTTTGCCAGGTATTCGAATTAAGCTTAAAATATACGTTAATGGCACGAGTTTGGCCAGGTATTCGAATTAAGCTTAAAACATGTACGCTAATGACACGAGTTTTGCCAGGTATTTGAGTTCCTATCAGCAAGTCGTATCCCCCGAGTTGAATCAGACGATCTTGCTGCAATGATGGACAGTGACAGTGACAGTGTCGTGACAGTGGAAGAACTGATGGAATCACTTGATAATTGTCCTGTGATGGAGGTGGTTGATGTCCTTGTTGTTAAAACCAGGCCCATCACCAACTTTGAAGGTACAAATGTGCTGGAATATTTGTAAAAGTATAAATTTCACATTTTAATAGTTTGTCAAAATATATTGTTGAACCTTATTTGTGTAAAGTACAAATAATGTAGACAATGATTATATGATGGGTGTGATCACCGTGATAAACTAAAAGCAACGAATCTTACGATCAATTAAATTAATAAGTTAATTAAATTACGATATATAAATTAATTAGTTAATTAATTTGTAATATATTAATTAATTAGTTAATTAATTTGTGATATATTAACTAATTAGTTGATTAAATTACGATACATTAATTAATCAGTTAATTAAATTACGATCTATTAATCTACAAACACCTCCTCAGACGTGGAGTGCCAGTCAAAAGAAGCTATGTACAAGGAGCTGAGAACAAAAGCCATGAAGTTTCTAGGGACTAGGAAGATTAGATTTGAAGAAGCTAAAGACGCCGCTGCTGAGCTGTACGCTTCGATATCTGGCGATATTGAAGAGGTAATACACATGTCAAACACAAGGATATTTTTTTGTTTTAAGTACCAAATATATGTGCTACGTTTCGACCTATGAAATGTTCAATCAAAGCTCAAATGAAATTAATTTTCATCACACCGACCTTCTTCCGGCAATACTCTCAGTTTAAAAATGTTTTCATGGACAAGAAATTTTCACCACAATCACAGGTGATAGAACCAAAGGATCTGGATGTTCCCGTTGACTGTGTGAAGGAAGTGTGGCAGGATATTGATACTGATCTCAACGGGTTTCTGGATTTAATCGAATTCAACAGAATTGCACGTGAGTTATATTACAAAGCCCACTTTTTGTCGTGAAATCTGTTTTATATAATAATTTCTCCAGTACTGGTAGTTCTTGGCAGTAGGCCAAATCGAATGCTTATGAAAAAGCTATGACGCGGGTTATATTAGGTTATGTTAGGTGACAGGCCAAAATTGCTGTTTTGGTGACACTATATAAATGCGCCTAAATAAATCGAACTATTTAATTTAAGATCAAAGGGATATAAACGTTTATAACAGTCGCGGAGCAAAATCGTCTGGAAGAAGTCATAGTTGTGCTCGAGCGAATGATTTACCAAGCGTTGACTTGTCATTTAATTTAGTTATCGCAAAATAGTATTTATTTAATTTGATACACGAGAAGAAGTCGCTAGGTAAAGAAATTCAAAAATTAGAACCATTTTTTTTCAGTGGATATATTCGAGGAGTTCCTTCCAAAGCCAGTGAAGAAGACTAAACCTATGGAAATCGAAAGGTTAATTCTGATAAAATATTATTTGTTGGATGATCATTATAAAACTGTCCAACATACAAAACTGTGATATTCGTAACATGTTTCATTATCCATGACTCCATGCCAAACTATTTTAATAGTACCTACAAAATGTAATTAATAAAAACTAAATTAATAAACTTTAATTAACAAATATCTGTCGTGTGATTATTCGGCCGCTAAGGTACTTCTCCCAACAAGAAACCATTTCAGGGTACAAATAGAAGACATGGCTACCCCACTTGAGGACGTTCCGCGGATCGAACTGGACACCATTGCCCAGATCGTCTACAAAATCTGTAAGTACACTCCAATGGTAGATCAGTATGTCTGTAAGTTTAAGTAAGTACAGACCAGTAAGTATAACAATTAATAGATCAGTGGGAATCCAAAGGTACGGATATGGTATAGTAGTATGATACCACTGTGCTCTAAAAAAAAACTTTGTTGCAGCTGATGCTCTTATGTGGCTCATAATAATACATAATATATGCTCATAATATTACACTTACTGTAAACCCAGCATTAACTTGTTAAGCTATAAAACAGAGCTTTATCCGAGGATATAATACGCTGCATTGGTTAAAAATATAATACACCACCCAACGAGGGGCAATATAGGAGCAAATGGATTAGCCTAGATTGATTTCTGGTTCCCTCGAAAGTATGGTTTTTATTGAGTATTCTTTAGAATAATCTATATGCAGCTTACGCTTGCCCCCTTTTATCCTTTCATCGTCTTAATTCAAATTGTATAACTGTATGACGCACGAATTTATGGTAAGCCATTACCTTATTACTTTATTACCTTTGTGAACTGCGTATTAATGCTGGAGTATTCTTTTCGGCAGAATGCCGTTCTATAGTGTGCCACAGTATTGAATACTGAGTGCTATTTCATCATTAAGATTTGGTTTAGTGTCACAACATGTTACAGGGTCTCATTTGATTAATTATACGGGAATGGGGGGATGGGGGGAAGGGGTACAAGCAGTTTGTTTGTTGTGGGGGGGGGGGGGGGTACAAGCAATATGTGTATCCCGGTAGCAAAATTGAAACTGGCTTTCATGCACGATTCACAAAGTGTTTTAACACAAAATCACCAGATCCCACGTAATGAATATGTAAAACGCATAGGTGTACTTACCTTTGCCCTCCCCTCCCCACTCCCCCTCCCCCTCCCCCTCCTCACTCCCCCTCCTCACTCCAACTCCTCCTCCCCTCCCCACTACCACTGCCCCTCCTCACTGCCCCTCTTCACTCCCCCTCCCCATGCCACTCCCTCTCCTCTCCCCCTCCTCACTCCCCCTACCCCTCCCCTCCCCCTCCTCACTCGATCCCCCTCCTCACTCTCACTCCTCCTTCCCAGTGGCGTGACGAAGGGCCCCGCTGATCCCGCTGTGCTGGGGGGGGGGGGGGGGGGGGGGGGGGGTGCCGTCTTAGGGGGGCACCAAATCGTCGTTTGAATGTGGGACAATTTCAAAAACTTTACTAATATAAAGAACTAGCAAAACTGCGAGTTTTGCTCTAGATACACACATTTTTAGAGATTTTACCGGCGTATCCTCTAAAATCACCTAATTTGTTCAATTTTAGGGAGGGGCACCAAAAGGGGAGGGGTCCCCCTCCTCACTCCCCCTCCTTATATAAGTATAATGTTCATAAACATAGATTGGTATTCGCCGGAATGACAAGCTGAGCGCCGCCCAGTAAAACAAGGTTCGGTTTGAACTGGCTCTGCCAGTATTAGTAACCAGCCAGTAACCTAGTAACCAGCCAGTACCAAGTAACCAGCCAGTAACATAGTAACCAGCCAGTAACCTAGTAACAAGCCAGTAACCTAGTAACCAGCCAGTAACCCAGTAACCAGCCAGTAACCTAGTAACCAGCCAGTAACCCAGTAACCAGCCAATAACCTAGTAACCCAGTAACCCAGTAACCAGCCAGTAACCAGCCAGTAACCTAGTAACCAGCCATGGTAACCCGGTATCCAGCCAGTAATCCAATAACCAGCCAGTAACCTAATAACCAGACAGTAACCTAGTAACCAGCCATGGTAACCTGGTATCCAGCCAGTAACCCAATAACCAGCACGTAACCTAGTAACCATCCAGTAACCCATTAATCAGCCAGTAACCTAGTAACCAGCCAGTAACCTAGTAACCAGCCAGTAACCCAGTAACCAGCCAATAACCTAGTAACCAGCCAGTAACCCAGTAACCAGCCGGTAACCAGCCAGTAACCTAGTAACCAGCCAGTAACTTAATAACCAGCCAGTAACCTAGTAACCAGCCAGTAACCTAGTAACAAGCGAGTCTGCAGACTGGGTACCCCAATACTTCCCGATGTGGATTAAGATGTTGCAACTCTCAACAATCACATTTAAATATACGTGCAACAAAACCAGCCCGATGAGATATTGAAATGACTATATTATATCTGCGAGGGGACGCGTGCTATTGTAATAACCTTTTACTCAAGAGCTACAAAGCACGTGGAACAATATGGTTTAGGTTTAGCACCTATCTCTCACGCTACCTAGGGGCCGATGTGATTAAAGAAATAGCGCAGGCACGGCCGGGATGGGGAGATATCATGTTGGGAAGATATTATGTTGGAACCCTGCCAATGCCATATTGAAAATATCAAAAAATAATGTTGGCAGGGGGAGTGCACCATTTAAATATGCGCTGAGAGGGCACTTTATCACTTTGGTTACCCAAACGGTCACTGGACAACAAAGAACGCGATCAACTTTAGTGTTATCGATATAGTCGATATCATTATCAGTAGATATTTTAAGTAATCTAAGATAAGGTTGCATGCTCGTTCACTGCATTATAGTCATTGCATTATAATAGTCAGCGGTACTATCTAATGCAGTTTAGGGGTATTGCCAGGGGGTCTTCCTGCCTACCTTTAACTGGATTATTGTATGTTTCTGTAATTACAGCTCTCTGTGTCACGCGCTTTAAGTTTTAACCATATAAATAACTTATACTATTATTATACAATTATCATGTTAAAATATACTTGTTGTCAGTAAAGATGACAACAACATGATAAACGTGTTCAGGTAGGGAGGGAGGAGTGAGGATTCCAGAATCAGATGTAGAGAGAGTAGTAGGGCTCCTTTTACAAGACGCCAGCATAGCAACGCTCATGGACAAAGTTCAGAGCGTGGGCATGTTGACTGAGGAGGCTGAAAACACTCTGGCAAGGTAACCATGGTGACATTATATATATTATTATAGTTCATGTATTCATTGTTCAGGGGAGTCAAATGATTGAAAAGTCATTGTCGGACGAACAATTAATCAAAATAATGTCCATACTTGTCTCTGTTACATTCGTCGGGTTCGTTAGAAAGTAATTATCAAATTGCGGGAGCTGTACATAATCCACATTCCACAACCTTAATGGTAATATGATTTTGTTCATTCTTCTTTTCAACAACACTATTAATCTATTAACATGTTAATTAATTAACCTGTCAGTGTAAATCGACACATATTCCGTAATACTGCCCTTCAGTAAAATAAAATGGATGAAATTAAATTCTTTAACTCTATTAATTAAGTTAAGTTTCATCCATTTAAGTTCGGCTTTCTTTCGAAATTTGATCTATTATTACATATTTTTACTTTTTAGTTATCACCACTCTTTCAGCTTGGTTCGTCCTATAGTATATCAACTTCTATCAGAATAAAAGACTACCCCCTTGAGACCTTGCCACAAAAACCGGCTGCAGATTGAAGCAATTTTGAAGTAAACGTTGGAAAACTTTTTGCAATAGTGAAAACGAACTACGCGCTATTAATTAAACCCGTAAATATTTGACCCGTAAATATTTGATCAAGATTTGGTTAGGGGTCGTTCACATATTACGTAATTGGCCGAGAGGGTAGGAGGGTTTCCAAAAATTACGCTAGTGTAATTTTGACAATGACACAATAACTATGATTACGTGTAAAACTGATTACGGAGGGGGGAGGGGGCTCAAAATTGTCCAAAAAGTGATTACGTTATATGCACGAACGACCCCTTATATGTAGAGTTTGTGTATTGCGATTTTTATTCTGTTATATAAGATTTATCATTTATATCTAACCTAGTTTCGTTTATTCTAATAATCATAACTGAAACTTAGAACCGTTTTATTTTTGTGAACAATAAGTAAATAGTAAGTAAGTAAGAACAACACGTTTTACCATGTCATTGTGATCGTAACACTATAACATAATAATATGTGATACTAGTACTACTCTTTAAGACAAAAATACCTCATTTAATTAAACCTATTAATGAAACCTCTTTAACCAATTAAACCTATTTAGTATATACAAATTTCTGCGTTTTATTGCCAAATATTAAAGTGTAAGCACTGTAAACGTAATGTGTTTACTATCCTACCAGTGATTATCATTACCCAATTTCATAATTTGGCATTTCTATTTGGCATTGACGACGAGCAGCTTGGAAGTGCTTAACATTGAATGTTGCTGAGTTTTTTAAAGTCGAGTTCTAAACGTTTGATCTTTATGTTATGTTAAAATCATTCAAGACAGCTTTAAGATATATACGAGGTGACCTCGTTGATAGAAGCTGTTGCTTAGCACCGAGGGACTCTCCTACAAATCTTGAGGAAGACTGTGCTCACATCTGTTTAGAGAAACTATCTTTCAATGGAGGTGTGTGCAGGATCTTGTATAATGTATATGACGAATCTTCATTGACCATCAATTATCATTCCTGATAAGTCGACCTTGACTACAGTCAACAAACATCTCGATAGTCATTGTTTTTTGCTTTGAATTCTACAATAGTTTAATCTAGTGACTATTCAGTACTCAAAGTTGTTAAATCTGCAGGTAAACTTGTTATAAGAGAGGTGGAACGAGGTGGTCCGATCAGAACGACCACTAGACAGACCTTCCAGAGAAACCTTTCAATGAGAGAGAAAAGTCTTATCTTCATCACTTCATCCGAACAAAGACAAGGGTTCAGGCATGATAGCTATCCAGAACGTAAACCCTCCACTGAAAGAGCGGGTGTAACTGTTTTGAGCGAGGAAACTCTGACTGCTGCTCTGTCTGGAGACGTGACTCTCTGTTTAGCAAACAGGACGGGTGTCAGGGTCCAAGGAGGGTCACACAACAGATTGGTTAACTTTCCCTCCTTTCTGTGCAGAGTAGAAATACATCATCAGGCGGTAGAGCATCAGGGAGAAAACAAGATAGTTGGAAGAATTGTGGTAGAATCAAAGATGAAGATTCGAGAAGAAAGTCTCACGCTTATAGACTGGGAGGTCTGTAGTGAAACAGTTCAGGGTATACCAGACGTTCCCATTTATTCTTACCAAGTCACTGAGGATCTAACTTCAACCACCTCACCAAGACTGTCAGAGGAACCATTGTTAGCTCCATCAGTGATCAGTCCTGTCCATGTCTACCAAACTGACTTAGAAACCAACAAAGTTGAACAATCGTTCCAGTTGCTAAAGCAGAAACCTGTTGTTTTAGATGCTGCTGACCAGAGTTTCAGTAGAAGTACTCATAAGAAGACTAGCACGACTGCAAACCCTGATGTGATAGCGATTGTGTGGGGACAAAACTCTAGATTAGCAGAGAGCACGATCATTAATTCTAGGGTGGCTGAGAGGATGGTGAATGAGAGGGTGAAGGAACCAGGCGGAAACGATAGTGATAACTCGATCAAAGAATTAGTGAACAACAAAAGTTTTGATATGGATATGAAAGGATCAGAAGAAACATTGGATAAAGTGGAATCAGGGGATAAGGATCGATCAGGAGGTCAAAGTGAAAGTGAAAGTGTGTCGGAAGAAGTAACAGTGATATCAGAGAGCGACCATATTTTCACTTTGGAAAACTGTACAATCGAACAGTTTCTCAGAGACGAAATATCATGCACTCAACGGTTGCGGGAAAAACGCACACAGTTTCTTAAATACCAAAACTCATGCGTGACCCTGCCGACCGGTCATGTGTTTCAGACCAAGTCATATGTGAAAAGCGATTTGCAACCTTCTGCCGAGCAACTTGACGAAGTGTTGAGTTTTATCAACAGCGAAGTTTCTGCAATTGAGTCATTAATACCTAAACCTACCCTTCGGTCTTAATCAACTAATGAAAACGCAAACTTTGTTTACAAAATAAAAAGGTCTCAGCATACTATTATGTACAACATTGCGGCAGGTTTTCATTGTTCATTTAGAAGTGAGCTGAAAAAGTTTCACAGAAAAACTTCGGAGAGAAAAGAAGTCTGATTATAAAAGGCTGCTTGGTTCTTCATCAAGCCAAAGGTTTATAACTCTAAGAAAGGCTTTCTTGTATTTACAATCTATGATACATCATAAAACTCTATTATTAATCAAATTAAATAAAATGTCCTGATCTCAAAAATGTACTTTCAATTCATTCTACTATCGACAGTTTCATTTTTGGGTCTTCAAATTCTGTCTTCTGATTTAATCTTCAAAAGCAATCCTCCTCAAAGGAGAGTTTTTACCAAATATCACTATTCTCTTAGCACCGTCCTCCGATTGGCGGTAAAGGAGGGACTGCCGTCTGGGTTGGCGGTAAAATGTGGCCGTCTTTTCGTGACAAGATACCGATTTCGTCCTTCAGAGCGTCGATCTCTTGCGCTTGCAACTGAACAAGCTGAAATTTTGGTCAGTAAACGTTTCATTATTGTCTACAAATCTTTCGTCATAAAAAGTTTCCAAGTATCTACCCATTAATTAAACAAATACTAATTGGATTAGCTCTGTACCTGTAGAAGTCTCTGTCTCTCCTTGAGATCGGCTTTGCGTTGCCCTGAGTACTCCCCACCAAGGTTCTTCTGTTTACTATCCAACACACTCTCTAGGTCCTGCTTGTCCTTGGTCAGCTCGTTCAGAATGTCCAGATGGCTAGTGTGGTCACGTGTTGCTGTCAGCAGACGCTGTTTTGCTTGGTTTATCTGAACCTGTGACGAGGAAGTGGGCTTGAAGAGATTGTCGGTTATTTTGCATGATGAATATTATAAATAAGATCTTGAGATGTTCAGATGATGATAAACAGAAATAATACATCCTTTAGTAAATGATGCAGACTGATTTAAATTATTAAAGGGCTATCAAAAAGTCGCATGATAACAAGACCCCGATATTATTTGATTATTGATAATTCTAGCTTCAAATTGATATCTATATCAGTAAAATTAATCATTATGTTGGTGGCACTGAAAATGATTGACATGGTTAAACGGGACTTTAACTCACATCCCACTCGTTGAGTTTTCTGGAGTACTTGACATCCTTCTTAGCGATAGTTTCCTTCAACTCTTCAGCTATGCGATTGGTAGAGATGTTCTCTAGTTTCTTTAGATCTACCTGTCAAGCATTAATACGACTTAATTCATTGAAAATTGATTTATAAATGATCGATAATCTACTAAATTTAACTAAGTAAGTGAGATAGAGAAACATTATTAGGACCCAATCTTGAAGTAATTCAGAAATATTTTGCTCACCTCTCTTCCGAACTTGAGAAGCATCATGTTCTGACATTTCTCATCAAGTCCTAGAAGTTTCTCCTGCATTCCCTTCTTTCCCTTTATCAAGTGGATGTGTGATTTCTTCAGCTCCCTGTAGGTCATATAATGATAGTAATGTCGTGGATTTCTTACTGAGAAACATCAACTGCAGCATTCGCATTTTTAGGGTCGAAACAACAGAAACATAATTTAGCCGAATTCAAAATTTGCGAAATCTTTTAGTTTTAAAGTCTTGAATAACAACACCACCAAATAACATGAGCCTTTAAATCGAAGGTTGGACTGACTTGAACTTGCGGATCTGATGAGCCTTCTCCTGCTGAAGCTCCTTGATCCTGCTAGCGAGCTGGTTGACCCCCGCAGAGTGGAATACCAGACAGGAGACCAGGTCGCTGGGTAGCACTCCGTTTTGCATGTACTGGATCTGAGGGAGATGGAATGTGAGATAGGAAAGGGAGGGTTGTTACTGATGGATACTAAACCCTTGGATAAAGGTCTGGGAAATGGGGGGTTGTTACTGATGGATACTAAACCCTTGGGTAAAGGTCTGGGAAATGGGGGGTTGTTACTGATGGATACTAAACCCTTGGGTAAAGGTCTGGGAAATGGGGGGTTGTTACTGATGGATACTAAACCCTTGGGTAAAGGTCTGGGAAATGGGGGGTTGTTACTGATGGATACTAAACCCTTTGGGAAAGGGAGGGTTATTACTGATGGAGACTAAAACCTTTGGGAAAGGGATAAATTTCCAGATGATGAAGGATGTTTCAATCCGAGGCCGAGTTCGGATGTAAAAGATGCTGGTATTAAGGCCAGAGGGGGAGGGTGGGGGGATGGGGGTGGGGGGGGGGGGGGGGGGTTTAAGTGGTCAAAAACATCGACCAAAATATTATTTTCTAAATCACAAAAACATTGCTGCTATTCACATATTTGTAGCTGCTTAACTTTTTTTTAAATTTAGGTTAACCGATTTTCACAAAATTGACTATACAACATTGAGGTTAATAAAATTGAGATTAATATTTCATTACACTCCATAATTTTTTGTTATTTCGGTCAGCAAATGTTAACTCTAAATTTTAGGTTCATAATTATCAGAAAAAGTAATTTCCAAACGTGATTAAATGAGGTTAACCTCTTTTTTTAGATATAGCGAGAATAGATCAAATGATAGAGCTATTATTTTCATCGTTAGTTTAGGGAATACACATTTATAAATAGATGACGTGTTGATTGACTTTCTTGGGAAAATTAAAAAAAAGGTTAACCATCACATTTTGGTACCGTAGGGAATATACATACGATTCTTACTTATGTAATGTACCACAATATCGCAGTGAGGTATCTATTGGTATCACAATGCCTACAACTATAATCACGTGACAAAGGTGATTTGAACTGCCCATATTTTAGTAGAAGATTTATCCGTAAATGGCTAAAAAATGAGGTTAACCTCTCATTTTTTGAATATCTGACCAGTCAAATACATGCTAACCTCAAAAACTTAATCGTTACACCGTGGAAATGTTTTACTACATACCTATATAATAACATATTAATAAACCAATCCCAGTGTTATATGGTCTAAAGCGAGGTTAACAACCAATTTTTTACTACTTTTAAGCAGTAAGTCTTTACAGGAAGTCTTGGTTAACCTCATTTTTTTATAATACAAGGATATTAACTACTGAAAGTGGCTAAAATCATTAAGGGGATGGCTAGGTCTGATCAAGCAAACGTTGTTAAGTGTATAGAAAGTCCTAACTAACGAACTGTGATACATTCCAGTGAATATTCAAAATTTTGAAAACACTAAATTGCATCTATCTCAAACACACATTTTGTGACTTTCAGTTCCTTAGTTGAGAAGACCAGCCACCCCCTGATATTGAGATTTGGTACAGTGGTTCCTTGGACAAGTATCTAGATATTAGGTGCAGCGATTTTTTTTATTCGACTCGTTTCTCGATTTATGAGGTTAACCAATTAAATTTTCCGAATTTTTGACAGGGTTAACCTCATAATTCGAGAACCGAGTCAAATAAAAAAAATCGCTGCACCATATATGAGGATAATTGTCCGAGGAACCACTGTAACAAACCTCAAGATCAGGGAGTGGCCGGTTTTCTCAACTAAGGAATCGAAAGGTCAAAAAAGTTACAGCCGTTCAAAGATCCAGTTTAACATGTAATTAAAGGTAAACCTAAAAATTTAGCGCGCTATAGCTCAGAAGCACAAGGTCAGATTTTGATCCAGTTTTTTCTTCTTGTTCGTCTCCAGCAGCTATTATCAAATATGTGAAAACTAGAAAAGTGCCATTTACCCTCTGGCCTTAACCGATATCCTTCAAAATGTAGTTTCTAATATTCATCGATTTAGATTATGATTTAATGAACATGCTATATCTCTACCTGATCTAAGTTCAAGGTAACAACGATATCCAATTCATTCATTTTCTTCTGCTTCTCCAATTGGAAGGCTTCCAGATCATTCTTCGCACACTTCACACCATGACTGATCACTTTGTTCTTCTTCACCAGGGCATCAACCTCCTTTCTCAGGGAGTCTATTATCTTCTTCTCTTCTTGAATTGCCTCCTCCAAGTCTAGTTTCTTTTCTCTCATCACTATCGTAGCATCGTACAGTTCTTGGCTGAACAGCAAACATTTAAATATTTTAAAACTAAACAAATGGAAAGTGGAATCAAATTGATTCAAATTGGTTCAAAATAAACTAAATTAGGTCTCGATCTAATCTCATTAGTAATCGCCTTCCTCGAAGAGCACAGAAATCACTAATTTCTGCGTCTGATAAGAACCTTAAAATATACAGCCACTATATTGATATGTACCTGCAGCCAGGAGGACAGATGTTTAGGTCTAGATGCTCCACGCCATCCTCATCGTCATCTTCCTCTTCGGAACTGGAATCAAAGTCATCGTCACTGTCACTCTCATCCGAGTCTGAAAAGGTTATAGAATTTAACTTCCGGGAAAATTGCTAAGAAAGTGCACCATGCTAGGTTCTTTGAACTAAGTATGTTTTTGTATGGAATTTTATAATATTGTAAACATTTGCAACTCGAGGGCTCCCAGCTTGTGAAGATATAAAAACTGCATTAAATTTGGTCATAGTTAGAATTATGTTGCTGATTCTGGGGGTTGGACTATTGGAGTAAATGGAACAGTTTCTATGATGACTAAGTTTCGCGTACCTCCATCCATCTCGGCTGCCTTTTTTACTCTCTTGATCTTCTTCTTGAAAACTTTCGTGAGATAGTCAGCGAACTTGTTGTTTTCGCCCAGTTGTTCAGTGAAACTGTCGTACAGGATCTTCTCGTTTTCTTGCAGCTCTTCCATGTACAATTTCTTGCTGCTAAGCTTTTCTTCTAGCTCCTCGATCTGTAATTTTATTAAAGTTTTATGTCTATAATGTGGGAGTCATCCGCGGCAGTGAGGTGTTTCTACGTTATACAATAGAGTTGAAACAAAGTGACTATAGTTTCAGAGAATTAATAAAAGGTCACATTCACTAAAGCTAGATCTTACCTTATCTGACATCTCGTCCCTGTCGGACAACTTGGAAGACAAAGCCTCCTGCAAGATGTTTTCTCTTTTCTCAAACTCCTTCAAGAGCAGCAGCTCTTCAAACAACAGGATTATCCTCAGGTCACCGTTCTTCAACTGACGATATTTCGTTCAGCAACATTTTTAATTTTTATGGCATGATAATCTTGAGAGTTGTTAATCAAATCCCCTCTCCTTAAAAACCAATCACTTATTAAACTGATATATTTTCACAACTAAGGGATCTTACCTCAACATCCAACTCAATCTTAGCTGTTCTCAGCTTAACAACTTCTTTATCAAACTCTTTGTACGCTTCGTTCATCTGACTAATCAGGCACTCCTGCTCGTGAAGCATCCTGATAGAATAATGCAAATTATGAGCATATTATGATAGTATGAATTCATAAGCAAAGAAATATTAGGCAGGCCTGAATCATGCGATGTTTTATTTCAAGAGCAAAAGGAATGAGAGCTGTCTAAAAACGTATCACTTGAAGGCATGATGCGTTTATACTGCAACATCGCAAGTTTTTTTGTGCTCTCACTAAGTTAAAAAGTTTCTGTGGTGAAAAAATATAGCCACACAAAATTCTTGATAATATAAAGATTACACAAACACGTTAATTTAATAAATTACTCACATCATGATCTCAAGATTTTCGTTCTCGTTCTCGAGGGTTGATACCAAATCCTCTAGCTCTGCTTCTTCTGCTTCTGTCCCTCCTTCACCTCCCTTGTCTCCAGCTGCGGCGGCAGGAGCAGCTGCTTGTTTGGCTACAGGAGCTGCCTGCAACATACAAAACTGTTAGATTTAACTTAAAGTGAGATAAAGGGACTATTGTCAAGAGATATCGATATTATTAACAGGTTTGATATTTTATTTTCGCTGCTGAATTCATTCAATGACTGGATTTTAGTTATTATGATACTGACAAATTTGTTCTTTCCTAGTACTCAATAAGTAAAATTATAATTAGTTTTGAAGCGTGGCTTCAAATAAGTTAGATGTCATATATTCGTTAACTAGCTCATTAGTCTAGTTAGATTAGGGAGCGAAAGTGGATAGACATCCTTTGTATACGTTTTTCACTATCACTATGTTCGTAGATTTTCTTTCGTGACAGTTGTTCCTTTAAACGTAACCGTGACCTAGATATCCGTAACAGTTATTTTGAATGTTTGGGTGGGTCTTTTGTAACTGATGTTGGCAAATGTTTTTTAATCGTTTTGTATCGATTCAATAAATCTGCTAATGACGAATTTTTCACCAAGCTTAACAATATCATTGAAAAGTACGCGCATGGTCCGTGCATTGTACTCGGGGACTTTAATTTTAACTGTTTTAATCATGAAACTGATTCGTCAGTGTCGCGTTATTGTGAACTCTTTTTTAATTTCGGTATGTCTCCGCTAGTTAGCAGGAAGACTCACACATTTCGTGGAGCAACTACTTTAATTGATCAGATCTGGTCGAATTATCTTACTGAGGACACGAGTACATATGTTATAGATAATTCTATTTCCAATCACAGACCTTTAGTACTCTCAGTTCCACTCAATCTTAATTCGTACGCTGACAATAACTCTGGGGGTGATAATGGCACTAAACCCTTTTTACTTCACAATGTTTCCCCTGAAAATTATGAAAAGTTTGGTGTTGAGTTTAATTCTTATTTTGCTAACTTTACTAATTTGATTGCCAACAACCCAGATTCAGTAAACTCAGCTGTATCAGCGCAATCTTGCTTTACAGATTTCTTCACTACATTCAAACAATTGTATTTTGAACATATTGTGGAAGAAATTGACTTGAATAGTAGTAAGCGTAATCACTACTTCAAACCTTGGATTACAATAGCTATTGCCAAGTCCTGTATGACCAAAAATACGCTGTATAATGCATGGGTTAATTCGAGAGGTTCTCCGAATGAAACCATAGCCATGACTGTTTATAAGTCATATCGCGCAAAACTACGTGATATTATAAGATTTCGAAAAAGTTGTTATTTTCGTGATAAATTCACCCGTGCTTCTGGCAATATCAAAAAATGCTGGCAAATTATCAACGAGATAAGATGTAAAACAAACAAACTAACATTTCCAGATTACATCTCTGAGAACGGTCAACTTATACGTGAACGTCGTGTTATCTGTACCCACTTTAACAAGTATTTCACTTCTATCGCTGATAAACTTAACGAGAAGAAGTATGATGATAATTCTAACCCAGTCCTGGTCCCTGATTTTCGTGACTTTCTACATTCTCCTGTTACAAACACTATCTTTCTTAAACCCATAGTATTTTCTGAGATTAGTGAGATTATTCGTAAACTTAACAGCAACAAGTCATCAGATTTCTCTCCTAGAATTCTTAAGTTATTTAATTATCAGTTTTCCACCATTCTTACTCATCTTTTTAACAACTGTATGAACAACTCATTATTTCCTTCGGAACTTAAAATTGCCAAAGTTTTACCGCTTTTTAAAAGTGGTGACCGTAACTCTGTTTCAAACTATCGACCAATTTCTATACTTCCAGTTTTTTCCAAAATCTTTGAAAAGCTGATACAGTCAAGGTTAATTTCGTTTTTTACTAAGGAAAATGTTCTCCACGAGGGTCAGTTTGGATTCAGAAGTGGGCGTTCGACCATACAGGCACTTAACACGTCTATCTGCAACATTTTAAAAAGTCTGGATCAGAAAAATCACACTTTAGCTATCTTTATAGATTACTCTAAAGCTTTTGATACTATCAAACATTCTATCTTACTTCAAAAGCTGTATCATTACGGAATTAGAGGGAAGGCTAATGAACTTCTTGCAAGCTATCTTACAGGAAGATCTCAATATGTTCATTTTGATCAGGACACTTTTTCCGATTGTCTCCCTATAACTTGTGGCGTCCCCCAAGGCTCTGTCCTGGGTCCACTACTTTTTATTCTGTATATAAATGACGTAACATCTTGTCAATGTACTTGTGACAATACTGCAGTCTGTACGAGCAATTGTGCAGATAGAAACTTGTTCGTCTTATTTGCAGACGACTGCAATACGTTTATTACAAATGAAACTCTGGGTGGTGCTTTTGAAAAAGCGAACGCACTTCTTTGCAATCTTAAATCTTATATTGATGCCAACTACCTTCATATTAACCTTACTAAATCTAAATTCATGCTCTTCAGAACACCTCGCTCGAAGCCTAATTTTGAGGCTGATAATTATACTTTGACCTATGATGGCTACAATTTACAGCGAGTTAAATGTATCAAGTTTCTGGGGGTGTTTATTGAGGAGTCGCTAAATTGGTCAGATCATATAAACTATATCGGGAAGAAGGTTTCCAAAGTTAATGGTGTGCTTTATCAACTTCGTAAAACCGCCCCTAAAATGTTAAGAATTGCTATTTTCAATGCACTCGTACAGTCGCATCTTTCCTATGGGATCACGGTTTGGGGAAGCAGCACAGCAACTAATAAGTTGAATAAACTTTTTATCAATCAAAAAAAGGCATTAAGAAATGTGTTCGGGATTCGCAGAGTTAACAAACATCAGCAAGGAAATACGAAGCGTGTTTTCAGTGAAAACAAAGTGCTTACCGTGTATGGACTTTATCATAAATTTATTCTCACTGAGGGATTTCAGGTAGTGCATGCTGGTGGTTACCCAACGTTACTAAGAAAACACTTTCAAACTTCAGCTGTTAATGATAAACGGCTTATTTGTCCTAGAGTGTATTATAAAGATAATATGCACAACATGTTATACGCTGTTCCCAGAATCTGGAATGCTGTTAACAACTCAAGTTATCTCACTAGAAATATCACCACAATTTCATCCTTCAAGAACAATATTAAGCAGTTCATTCTCATGTACCAATCTAATGGTTCAAATAACACATGGGAACCATCCAATCTTGATGCGCAAACATTTTTTGTCACTGCATCTAAGAACCCCGAGTCATACTCAGTTACACGTTAACACCATGCATGTTGTTACCATATTGCATGTTTTTGATATTTTGGCATGTGATCACTGCATGTACATTTACATGTTCAAATTGGACATTTTTTAGATTCTTATTCAAGCTGGGTAATTCCGACTGCATGTGCATGTTTATGTTCAATTTGTGACAATTCTTATTCAGTGTGTGTGATCATTTGAGCTGCGTTTTTAGCTGTTTTACCTTGCTTAATGTTCTATTTTGAATCTTAAATTACCCCCTGAGGGGCATAGCTCCAACACTTCCCCCTCATTAAACGCCCCGTTTCTTTACTATGTGGGGGTTTGATAACCCCCACATTTTCCATAACCTTATTTCAGCAGCTTTTCTCACTTGGTGTCGCACAGTACATGTATTGTGCGACACCGGGTGAGAAGAGTCAAACGGGGTTCGAGATGCTCGGGTTTAAGATCACCAGATTACCTGATCTTACTGGAAGTCACAACTTTGACACTACGCCTAAAGCATGGACGCATACGGGAAAACTCTCTGCATCCTGATGCTGACTATTCCCTCATCTTTCTCACTGATAGCAAATTTATCCCTACTCTGCTATTACTACTAAGTTACTGCCTACTACTCTAGTTACCCTGTCTTGACTACCTTTTGATTGGGAAGCTAGTTGAACTTTATTATTTTATTATGGACACATTGGATCTCTGTTAATAACAATTTTTGACATCTGTTGTAATACAGTAATGTATGTGATTTTCGCGTTTTTCCTCATTTATTCTGATCATGGATATTGATTGATACTAAGATTTTCACATTTATGAGAGTTTTTGAATTTTGGTCGCGTAATTTTGATTTTATTTGATTTTTGAACAAAATCTTTATTTAATTAGATTTCACTTTGTTTTTGACCAGTGGCTTACAAGCTTCTGGGTCCTGTTTTGAATTTTTTGGAGTGGATTGTTAGGGCCCTGGCATTTGCCGACAAAGCGGTTTTTATTTTTATGTTTTATAATCCTGTTGATTTGTATATACCGTTTTGAAAATTTTTCAAATCTAAATCTAAATCTAGAAATATTTCCTTTATTCCTATGTTCGTAAATTTGGGATTTTTGTATCTCGGCTTCTGAAGGAGTTAGAGACTTTAGTTTTTTACCCAACGTTACTTTTTACCCAACGTTACTAAGAAAACACTTTCAAACTTCAGCTGTTAACGATAAACGGCTTATTTGTCCTAGAGTGTATTATAAAGATAATATGCACAACATGTTATACGCTGTTCCCAGAATCTGGAATGCTGTTAACAACTCAAGTTATCTCACTAGAAATATCACCTCAATTTCATCCTTCAAGAACAATATTAAGCAGTTCATTCTCATGTACCAATCTAATGGTTCAATTAACACATGGGAACCATCCAATCTTGATGCGCAAACATTTTTTGTCACTGCATCTAAGAACCCCGAATCATACTCAGTTACACGTTAACACCATGCATGTTGTTACCATATTGCATGTTTTTGATATTTTGGCATGTGACTGCATGTACATTTACATGTTCAAATTGGACATTTTTTAGATTCTTATTCAAGCTGGGTAATTCCGACTGCATGTGCATGTTCATGTTCAATTTGTGACAATTCTTATTCAGTGTGTGTGATCATTTGAGCTGCGTTTTTAGCTGTTTTACCTTGCTTAATGTTCTATTTTGAATCTTAAATTACCCCCTGAGGGGCATAGCTCCAACACTTCCCCCTCATTAAACGCCCCGTTTCTTTACTATGTGGGGGTTTGATAACCCCCCCATTTTCCGTAACCTTATTTCAGCTGCTTTTCTCACTTGGTGTCGCACAGTACATGTATTGTGCGACACCGGGTGAGAAGAGTCAAACGGGGTTCGAGATGCTCGGGTTTAAGATCACCAGATTACCTGATCTTACTGGAAGTCACAACTTTGACACTACAACTAAAGCATGGACACATACGGGAAAACTCTCTGCATCCTGATGCTGACTATTCCCTCATCTTTCTCACTGATAGCAAATTTATCCCTACTCTACTATTACTACTAAGTTACTGCCTACTACTCTAGTTACCCTGTCTTGACTACCTTTTGATTGGGAAGCTAGTTGAACTTTATTATTTTATTATGGACACATTGGATCTCTGTTAATAACAATTTTTGACATCTGTTGTAATACAGTAATGTATGTGATTTTCGCGTTTTTCCTCATTTATTCTGATCATGGATATTGATTGATACTATGATTTTCACATTTATGAGAGTTTTTGAATTTTGGTCGCGTAATTTTGATTTTATTTGATTTTTGAACAAAATCTTTATTTAATTAGATTTCACTTTTTTTTTGACCAGTGGCTTACAAGCTTCTGGGTCCTGTTTTGAATTTTTTTGAGTGGATTGTTAGGGCCCTGGCATTTGCCGACAAAGCGGTTTTTATTTTTATGTTTTATAATCCTGTTGATTTGTATATACCGTTTTGAAAATTTTTCAAATCTAATCTAAAATCTAGTTTTAGGTTAAAATAACTGCAATGATCTTATTTATCTACAAGTAATAATGCAATATAAGGTCTTAAGTGCTTAGTTTTAAATATATTCACGAAAAACTGTTTTTGGGTCATTGGCGCCAAAAATACCACATTATTTGTATATCTCAAGCTAGGAAGGTCGCAGAAACTTTTCCGATGTTGGAAAATGTTTGCAATGACAATGGTATACTCACGGTTTGCAATAACAATGGTATACTCACGGTGCACAGTGTTATTGTAAAAAACACACTAATTCTCATGCACCGAATCAAACATTTCCGCAGCTCAGTCCCTCAACAAATCTGTATGACTATCCCAGAAAATGCACCCACTGCAAACTCAGATCACGTGACTGCAGCATCCTGGTTAGCCGAGTACAACACCACACATTTCAGATCTTCGATGTTCTTCAAAGGACCTTTACTCTCAATTTATGCTGTAAATGCAAATGTAAGCACCCTACCCACACTTTTTTCCATAAACCTTTTTAAATCGGCTACAAAACGCATGCTCTTGAACCTGCAGAGTGAAAATGACGATGAAACGTGGCCCAGTTTCTTATTACATAATATTCCAGGTCTAAGAAGGTCACAACGTGTCTGAAAGTTACTGGACACAACGGTCATTATATCAGTTTAGTGAATTAGTTAATTGGTTAATTAGTTAATTAGTAAATCAGTTATTAGTCATATGGTTATTATTAAGTACTATATATTATATGATATTACAAAAATAAACTATGAATATATATTTGCACACAAAAAAACCAGAACAAACTGATCGCAGACTAGCGGCAACTAATATTAATGGATAAGCCACACATCCTAAATTCCAGGTCCATATATTTTACACTGCCACATTCCCCACTATCACTATTTTCCTATCAGCACAAACCGTAATTAATTGATTTCAACAATCACAAATACTACATATCCAAACTAATGGCATGGCATAGCAATATCTACGATATCCTAAATCAGTCCCTAACAAACTTAGCGCGAGTCTGAAAGGCTGTTGGAAGCACAGAGTGCTCCATATTTTGTTTTTATCAATAAACCTTTTTTATTCATTTTCTTTTTTTTATAAATTTATTAACTGCGTGCAAATTTGTGTTTCAGATTTGATCTATTTATGATATATATTTATGATTATGTAATAAAGTTATTAATATTATATTCGTAAACATTGGCTGGCTTACAAACCAGTCCCCAAACAAAAAAACAAACATTTATATAAGACTTATGAATTATAATATGCCCTTAAATGCCTATTTGTAGAGATATTGGCAAAAATCAGTTATTTCGGCTACACACAATACAAATGTGGTAATGTGATCTCGGAAGGCAGGCGGGAGCTCTGCCATCGAAAGCCTTCTTTTTTAAGTCGACATTTTTTCTAAGTTTTTCTGGAAACTACTTTTGGTCATGTTTCATGCTACCCTGATCATTATGAGCCGATTTTTTCGGTCTTCTGAATACAGAAGACCGAAAAAACACAGCCTTACATTCGGAAGGCTGTGGATGTGATTGGTTCCATATACTTATGAAGAACGTGATATTTGGATCTCGGATTTAAGAGAGAATGCGCAAATTTGATCCTCAGATTTTTTTAAATGCGCAATTTATCGCGGAGAACTGAAAAAATCTCGATTTGTCGCGAGGATCTGAGAAAATCGCGATTTGTCGCGGCAGACCTTGTTTTGACCTTGTTCGGGAGGCCTGAGGTGGTGTGACTTTTAATCTAATTGTATCTTTGATTTGGATAGCTGATAAAAATTGAACACCTAAAAGGTGTCATCTATCATCTAGACCGTGAAGAAGTGAAGTTTGCAGCTAACAGTAAACTCTTCTTAAATTCGGACTAAAATAGTGCTTAACATCTGGCTATTCTAACAGCACAAATTATAGACTTTATTGAGGAACCTTACAGAGCTAGATACTGCCTTTGTTCAGCAGTTGGTGCTAATCTGATATAACAGTATTGACAGACTGGTCAATGGAAACGCCTATTATTGGTGAATTCGACTACACAAAACAGCATGGCAAAAGTGCGTTTAGGACTTCAAACGTGGAAACTGCAGCAATGAAACTCAATGGATCGAAATTCTGCAACGATATGTTAGTTGCGTCATATCAGTGGAAAACAAAAAAGTGTTAATTAAATCGTTAGTCGGAATTTGAAGTACGAGAAGAATAAAGTGAAGCGAGCTAAACGTACATATCTGGATGTGGCCCCTGGAGATGGTTGACCTGGTTGCAGTTCTTAAAGAGGCTGCAGGGGCACACAGAGTTGTAATTTCTTTTTATTTCATCATTTGGTTCGCTTTACTTCAGTGATGTATTCGATCCAGAAATTCCAATTATTTTTAAATAAAGATTTCAATTTATTTACTTGCTAAACTATTTCTAAAGAATGTTTATTTGAAAAGGGCGTGCATTGCGATATTTAAGGGGACATACACCAAAACCTCTTTTGGTGCCACCCTGAATTTTATTTCATATTCCCTTATTTTCTCTTATAAGGGAATATTTTAAAAATTTCGAATGTTGCTAAACTCATTGTTTTTTTCCATACTTTCATAATATGAAATAAAATTTAGGGTGGCACAAAAAAGGTTTTGGTGTATGTCCCCTTAAGTTTTGTCTTGCAATGAAATGAAATTAAATAACCGTGCCCCATTTTATTTCAAAGTCTTACTATTTTAGCAATGATTGGTTTTATTTCCCTCTTCCTATTCCTGTCCATGATGCTGCCCGGAGCAGCTAACACAGCTCTGAAATTCAGTGATGACGGAACCAGTGTTGTTTCATTTCCTGTTGACATGTCCTCACTAGCGGGACAGTTCTCCTTCTGCGTTTGGGTGAAAAGAATTGTTCCTGGAACCAATCCAGTTGCATTTGCCTATGAAGAATCCGAGCTGTTCCTTTACGCATCAGGCGAGCCTCGAATGTTTCTGGTGGACATGTCCTTAAGTAACAAACCTCCAATGTCAACCTGGTACCATTACTGCGGAACTTGGAGTCTTGGATCACAAACCTTCAAAGGATACATTAACGGAGCACTAGTGGTGACCCAGACCACAGCCGCAAGGTACCTAAAGACAAGCGGCAACATGGTTCTAGGAGATTATTGGAATCCTAATGCTAGAGGGGCGACCGGTAACCACTTTGGAGGTGAGATCTTCAATCTGAACTTCTTCTCGAATGAGCTGACAGGGGGTGAGGTAGCAGCAATGTCAAAAGATGGTCTCTGTACACATGTTGGATTTGATGACTACAGAGTGATCAAGTGGGAGGAACTACTGACAAAGCCCAGGTTCGGAAATGTCCAGGCTATTTCCGTAGATTGCTATGTAAGTATAAGCTTTGTAAGCTCTGTTATAACATGTAAATTGGTTGTCTAGACTCTAGACTTTCCAGTCTAATGGGCGGAAAGTGATTTTTTGGAAAAGCCATGGTACACTATGCTGATTTAAAATAATAAGATTTAATATTAAATAGGTGTTTTTCATTCAATAAATTTATATTTCTGCAGGAGTGCGATAATCACATTCTTGAGACAGAAATGGAAAACATAAAATTGGAACTACAAGAAGCAAAGAATGAACTCGAGAACGGAGCTAAACGTGAAACGGATCTGAACAACATAAAGACAGAACTGGAAAACACACTACAACAAGCAAAGAAGGAACTCGAGAACAGTGCTGAATGTGAATCGGATCTGAGCAACATAAAGACAGAACTGGAAAACACAAAGTTGGAACTACAAGAAGCAAAGAAGGAACTCGCGAACGTTCCTGAATGTGATCTCCAAAAAGGAAAGCTGACGAGATGGGATGTTTTGTACTCCTGCAACTTCTACAATAAGACCTTTACTCGCAAACTTCAAAAGAAATTCCGCTCAATGTGGTCGGACACAAAGAAACTATTTGGGGAGAAGTTGACTGACGAAGCCATAGAAAAGTTCAAAGATCTTCACAAGCAAGCAGATGACAATTGTGAAACCGATTAAAGGACTTTTATTTCATAACCATTTCTCATTAAAAACTGAACTGTTACATTTGATTAGATAGGGTTACAGTCAAGATTTCAAAATATTGTTTTTGCTTATATCATAGTGTACTAATTATCTTCTAAAAGTATCCCCGCCACTATAGCTCACGATCTTGTTATTTGCGTAAAAATTCATTTTATGATTTAAAATTATTGTACTATTTACCAACGCTATGTAGTCAGAATGGTCAAAAATACGGTTTTTGAAATTGGAATCAGAGACAGTGCATTGCAGTTAAACGGGAGGAATTATAAAATATCATAATTTCATATTACTAATTAATACTTATTTCAACTAATACTACAGTTATCTCATAAAAAAACAAAAATGTTTTGACATCACTAAGTAAAACGGATTTTTACTACATACCGCTTTAGTCTCAGCGGCGGTTGGTGCAGGGGGAGAGTCCCCAAACCCACCAAATCCTCCAAATCCTCCTTCGTCAGCTGGCCCACGCTTTTTTTCTTCATCGTGACGAATCTTGAACTCTCGCAAGGATTCAGGAGTGTATTCCATCGCCCTGAAGGGAGTTGGGTCAGACATTCTGAACTCAAATAGAAAGATAATAATGGTGAACGTTAAGATACAATTTTTGATCAGATGAAATTTAAAAACATAGCTAAGGGAAAATTACTGTAAATAAATCTGAATGGCAAAACAATTAATGTCTTAACTCTTACCTCTCTGGTAACTCATCATCAAGAAGTACGGGAACTTTGGGCTTAGCCATTATAGACCCTGCTGGTAGTTTAGCCTGGATCGTGTCCAACCTCCCACTCCAATCCTCTGCCTCGGTGATCATCTTCTGTTTTCTGTCTCGTAGTGCTAATAGACGCTCATTGAAGTTCATTTTTGTCATGTAAATCTGAAGGAAATCATATAAAGTTAATTAGAAGGTAAGAGTTCGATAGTTAATCTCTTTTAATCCAAAGACCCACACCAACAGCTGAAAAGGTCTCGGACAGTCAACATGTCTTCCGAGCTTATCTAAGTTTTTCTGCCGATCTCAATAAAAGGCTTTGACAGCAATGCTGTCAGCATAACCAAAGATCAAACAGACTAAAGTTACATTTCAAAAGAGAAATTACCATTCTTCTGAGTTCTAAAAGTTGAGCTCGCTTGAATGTGCCACCCTGTCGCTGGGACTCAGGAACCTTGTAGTTTTTAGCCGTCTTCAAGTTGAAGTCTCCCATGTTGTTTTTGGCGTCCTCGATTGCTGCCAACATTTGGGGATCTTCATAGTTCTCAGAGGGCTTGCGTGAGGACAAGTTCTTCCACTACAACAAAGGATTAAACTAAGAGACGAAATTGAAACAGCCATGAAAACCAATCAATAAATTCTCGAATCTGAAGATAAAGGTTGACTTATAAGAAACAATATTGTTGAATGGTAGAGATTACATTGATAAACTAACCGCTAATTCTCTCTGCAACCGCTTACTCTTCCTTTCCTCTGCCTTCTGCAAGCTCTTGTTTGCTTTTGCGTCCTTCAGTTTTTTACCTCCCTTGGAACCTACCACCGCTGAGGGTCCGTGCATATCCAATTCTGTATTCTTCCTCACGAAACCCAATCCCTGTGAGGAGGGCTGAAATTTCAACTTTAATTTTCTCGAATAATTATTAATTAATAATCGGTGCAAAATGGTTATTAAATATTTTTGGTGCAAAAGATTTTTCGTATTCCTACTTCTAGAAAAGTCTATTCTAAATGCTTATATGTGCAAATCTTGCTCATGTTTTCTAGCTAATAATTGATGCAGATGTGTGCATCTAGTAGCGTGAAAAAGAAAAGATTTTTCTTAAATGAGACAATAATTTAACTACGAAAAAAGGAGGCTGTTTTCAGTTTCGAGCTTCAAAGAGCAGCAGGCTAAAAAGGTGGTGGAAAAGGGCAATTACTAGAGCCCGATTAATAAGAGCTATTTTTGTAATCGACAGCCGTAAGATTGACTGACTTCATTATGAGTCAAAATAGTCGTCATCCGTCATAATATGTTGGCGACTTAACGTATTTAATAATCAAAATCTCCGAATTACACTTATCATCGAATTATAACTAAGCGTATTCGAGAATTTATAGGGGACACTAGTCCGCCGTCACTCCGTAGCCCATTCTAAATTTGAACTGTTCTTTCAGAGTTGAAGAAATGTACCATTTTCTAACTACTGTCGAAATACTGAGTTAAAGACGGTCGTCGTTTGATTTGGCAGCAAATCTATAAGTAATAAATAATTGATTATAAAGTTTCAGCGTCTAACAGTTAAAAGCATTTAGTGAATAACAGCGAAAGAAATGTTGTAGATAAGAGTGTTGTAGATAAGAGTGTTGTAGATAGGAGTGTTGTAGATTTAAAGAGTGTTGTAGATAGGAGTGTTGTAGAGTGTCTTGCGAAAAGTTGCGAAGTTTATGGATTGATTTTTAGGAAAATATGTAGATGTGATTATAAACTTGACTGCTTGTGGGAAGCTGACTCAAGTATTCTTTCAAAACATCGAGGTCTTAATATGAAATTGTTGTTTTCTTGAACATTTATTTCAAGACTTATTTCAGGTTTTTAGGCGGGACATTACCCCCCACAAGGAGTCAAGTTTATATAATTTATGCAGCATAAATGCTACAGAAAGAAGAATAAGGAGGAGGGCAACATGAAATTACCGTCTTGGGTTCGCTGACTTCAATCTGCAATTTCAACCAAGTTATTTGCTATTTACCATTTAATTGTATTATATCGTATATTTGTTTTAGAAACTTACAATTCTGAATGTTTGTCATAAGTTCGTTGTATCTTTAAAGTCTATTATATTATATATCAAGAAGGAAATCCTAACAATCAACGAATGGTAATTTTTTATAAATATCAAAATATTGGGATGTCAGTGCGTTTTAACGTATCATGTTATTGAATTAACTGTACACCAGCAATTAATTAACAGTAATCGCCCTAAACTAAACTACTTAATTATCCGACCAACCTGTCGGGCCATAGTGGATATCCTCCTAGCGTCAGAGCCCCTGGATCCAGGAGCTCCATTGCTGTCGGCAGCCAACTTCTTGTGGAAATCATCCAGTGCTTGTTGCATCGCCTCAGACGGTTTAGCGCACCTGAACGTGGATACCTGGGAAGCTTACTGTCAAAATTTGCTTCGATTTTGTTTTCAGTTTCATCTCTGATTTGAAATACTGATGGATTTGTCGTCTAGAAAGATTCGCATGTTACTAGATCAAAATACCTAATATCTAAAATTTCTAATATCAAAAATTTAATTAATTAGACACTTATTTAATTAATTATACACTTTCATTAACAGCTGTTATTTAAAAGGATATTGAAATTAAACACTCACTAAATGGTCTGACTCCACCGCGTGGAGCACAATCCTGTCTGTTGCTACCACATCCTTGAACCTCTTCCTCAGCTTCATCAATTCTATCCTGAATAAGTCATAAGCTTACTTTTTGATTCAATTAATTAGAAATTCGATAAGTTTGCTATTCAGATTTCAGATAGCAAATACTTTATCAGCACTAAGGTTACTTATCTTGAGATACTAGCATCATTAAGCAGCTATTTTAATTTGTCTCTAACTTATCGTGCATCCAGTAGTTAGTTAATGAGCAAATATAGTTACCGGTTAATCATTAATTAGTAAATGGGCAAATATAGTCACAGGTTGAGGGCTCATTATTATTCCATTTGTAAACAACAAATAAATCAGATCTTGAGCGCTAACCTGTGTTTCTCAGAGTTCCAGGCTAGCTGTTTTCTAATGAGATCCTTCGAGTCTGAAACCTCCTGGGCTATAATGGAGCCCATCTGTGGATCCATTGAGAAGTCCTGAACAAGATCGATTATTTAACTAAACTAAGCATAACCCTCGTGTGATAAATTAATAAGTCATTTTATTAAGTTATTTGCACTAATTTTCCCCGTTATTTGTCTTCAATATATCATAGCACTCGGTGTTACTGCTTTACTGCAGAAACGAGTATAATCAAATTCAGCTCAAGTTTTAAACATTTACACTTTACTCCTTTATCAATACTTCTATCAATTATACTTACATTAGCCAGCAGAGTTAAGTGTTTGGGCAGGTCCTTGTTGACCACCTTGAGTTTCTTGAACTTGGACCTCAAGGTAGCGATAGTTTTCCTGACTTTGATCTTCTTGTCCTCTGCTGTCTTTAGCATCTTTTCGTGCTCTCGCTTCTGTTTCGCTTCCTCGATACTGAAAGACGTGTATTAGAATTATTTGAGTCTGTGTTCCAGTTATATGTCAGCCGATAAACTGATTAATCTGTCTAGGGTATAAGGTTTGAAAGATTAAGCTCACTCGCAATTATAGCCGTCAATTAGCAAATGTATACGGTAGTATTCTTGACAGAGTAGAACAAATATTATCGAATAAAATGGAAGTTCTTTTAACTCCTCTACATGAGGGCACACTAACATTCACAACACCTGATTCAGGTATTGGATATGGAACTGAACACGTTGAATAAAGATCTAATTTAGTTTTCAACATCTCATTTTTTTCGTCTGACCGCGGGAAATAGAGATCTTATTTTTTAAACACCAAACTATTTCCTGATACTCTGATATATTTAACTTTTTCACTTTTCTTACTCCTTATTTTTAATGATTTGAATACAAATTGTAAGTCTCCCTAGACAAATCCTAAAGGTAATATTTACGATGGTAACTGCAGTTGTACGTGATAAAACAAGATGGTCTGTATCTTATTTGTTTCCTCCTTGCTTGATCCCTAGCTCTTCAACGCAACAGTCTCTAATAGTCTAATGTAACATAAATGTGCTGATCGTTAAAGTTAACGTGCCAGATGTACTTAGAGGTCAGAGGACTGATGTGTCTCAAACCGTTAATAGAATCAATATCAGATATAATTGACAGAGACATGATATTATTACGAATCGTAGCATTTATTTTAAGAGAATTTAGTGCCGAATTCGCTCAAAATATCGGCACTCATATTAAAAGTATTAAAGTTCAAAATTACGCACTCAGTTCCAAGTCACGAACCACTGATTACATCGCTGACTTGGAGTCACAGGTGTGTACTGACTACTGTGTAACCCAATTAGCGTATAGATGAACTTCTTAACGTTACTTCTGTAACTCGTTATATAATAGAAGCGTCGAAGCAACGTGGTGGTGACTTGTAAAGGAGGTATTTTTTACGGGGACTGTTTAGGATGGTTTCTGTTAGTAGATCTAGTTGGACACTTCTACTTATATTTGCCTCGTAAGAAAGTTCTTTTTAAATTAAATTTATGTGTGTTGAGATACGTTTCATCTAAGGTTTGTTATTGAGTCACGACTTTAAGAAGTCACTGTTTTTCATTGAGATAGATATCATTTTCACAGGATTGTCACCGCGAGACATGTCAAAAAAAAAGATAAAACGGTTAACGGGAAGGTGGCATTTGAACTGGCATCAGCTTACTTCTGCACCGGCGACCAGAAATGGTAAAAAAATCAAGACCAGAATTAGGGAACTTTAAGATAGCATATTAAAGTATAAAGAGCAAATGCTTGTGTCTGGTCAAAATTGAACCTGATAAAAATTAAAATACTAACCTCCTTTTTTAGAATACGTGATTTAAAATTATTTTGAAAATATTTTAACTAATTTCTCTACTTAGGTACGACGGAATAGCTGACCCCGCTCTAAGATTCTTCTGTGATCTCCTCTACACAATGATCTGTAAAAGAGATTTACCACATGCTGAGACTCTACTTCAGTGGATTATAGATCTAGAAGTTTCCATGGGCAATGATACAAGTTATAACGAGTGTATGAAGGAGGAGGCAGTTAAGGGGATTAGAACTCTGTTTTGTAACAGAGAAGAGAGTGTCGTTATCTTCTCAAGCTTGCTGAAATTTATAGTGAAGTGGACATGTGAGGCTGCGGTAGATGAATGGCAGGGTGATATGACAGCTTGCAATATTTCCACATTCCTCCGACAGCAAGCAAGGGGTATAGTTCGCATGTTTAGTCTGGTACCCTTTATATGCGATAACCCGGCTTCTAATGGCAGTAAAACAGGGAGAGATCCAGACAAAGTGTTTAAAAGGGAAATATTTGAAGAGATTTCACACCAAGATCAAGAAAACAGAACAAAGATATCGCTCACAAAGCGACAGTACGATCTATCTTCGATGATGAAGTTTCTGGAGAATCTTGTATGTGATAAGTCTGCATTCCTCCAAATAGCGAAATATGTAGAGGAGGAAGTGACTGAGAATGAGGATGGAATGACAGAGGTTGCTTCTCTTCTTCATGGTTTTATCTGCTGTACTCTTGTTGCTATTCATACTGATTAGATACTCGCGCCAATGTACTTACGAACTGGTTGAGCTGTAATATTGAAAGTATGATAAAGTAAAATGAAATCTCAATATCTCATTGTGGTATAGTGACGAATGATAACTGCTTTCTGAAAAACAATTCCAGTTCATATCTTCTTTCCGAATATCGAGATTGCCTCCACTGTACTGCTTTAGTCTTTATTGGAACCGCCAAATAAGTAATAAATAACAATAAGAACATGGTTCGATCTTTTCTTTCCTTCTTCGTGATTGCTGGCCGGTGGTCAACAGCTGTTTACCAGTGTTAATACTGATCATCTGATATTAACAGCTATTCACTATAAGCTACACAGTCAGACAGTGTTACGAGAGATGGACTATCTATTATTTGTCTTTATCGTGGATAGTGCTTCGTATTCCATCACAGTCCTTGAAATCTTTTTGATTTGAAACATATTGGATTTTTATTATTCCTTCTTCTTAATAAGCTTCGTTTTTCTCTTCAGTGGGTCGATCACTCTATTATGGGATGAAATAAGAGTTTCCGCTGTCTGTAAAACAAAATACGTTATGTATTGTCGATGTTTCGGCTACATGCCTTTGTAACTCGTTACATAGCTGCAATCGTGCGTTGCAGCTATGTTAAGAATCTACCGTCCCCAGTAATCAATCCATCTTTTTACTCGACCGGTTTCCATTTTCTGGCTGAATTTCAAATCAGTTACCGGTGGAAATATTAAAGCCAAACAGTGCAAGTGACGTTTAACCACGTGGTACTAACTAGAAACCATCAGATGTGGAATGTAACGGTTCCGCATGGGTATCCTGAACTTTTAATTTCTCAAACGGCTGGAAAATAATATATAAAAATTGTTACAACGAAGCATTGTATTTGACGTGTTCCACTATTAGTTTTCAAGACACCTGATTGTGATCACAGAGACCTTTTAATTACGACGACTTAAATTTTAACTTTAATGGCGCGTGAAATCAATTTTGATTTTTTGATCCTTGAACTTCCAACGTTGCCTTCGTTCCAATCGTCATAATATTGTGTGAATAAGATTTGAGGTTCATTTCTAGAAATTTCCTGTTTTAGTTTGTTTTAATAAAACAAATATTTAATAAAACCTACACAGCACAACCCGATGATGCTCAACCTAAGTGCCTGCAACTCCTCCCTCTACGGTGTAGAAACTGCTGCAGAACGTTACTCATGGCTCAGCTGGTTAACGTTTGTCCTTTTCACCTCTCTGATTGGGGACACTACAATCCTCGTTGCTTCAATCAAGTACAACGCTTTCAAACTTCATGACTGTATGGTTGTGTTTATCCAGCATATCGCAGTTGGTGATCTGCTGATTACCTTATTTGGTGTGGTTCCTATGATTGTAATGTTGATCGCAAAAGAGTGGGTTTTTGGGATAAATCTGTGTTACGTGAAGGTTTATATTTGTTCGGTAGGGTGGATAGCAAGCTCCCTGTTCATATGCCTCATGAGCCTATGTAAAGTAGTGTTACTGAGTTTCCCTAAAAGGTCAAAGTTTTGGAAAAGAAAACCGGCCCACATGATGTGTACAGGAGTATGGGTCGCGTCTTTTGCTTTAGCATGCATTTTATTCATGTACATAAAAAACTGGTTACCTTTTGACTTTACAACATGCAATGAACATTATTCAATCCAGGTTTCCAGTAAAAGGGCGCCCCGGGATTCTTGGTATCAGTACTTAGTGTTCGTTATAGCGACCATGGCTACCTTCATCATCATTGTGACTATTCTTCTTCTAAAGCACCTGTTCAAAGCAAGGGAATCAGCCCGTTTAACAGGGGCACGAGCTAGGTGGCAAGGCATTACCACTGTCTTACTCACAGCTCTGTTCCATTGTCTCTCGTATCTCCCTGTTATTGTTAGAGAGGTTGCTGGTTCTTACGTCAAGGGAACCTTTGGACTTGGATCTTACACTTATTTTGCCAGGGCAACTTACGCCGTTGTTTACCTAAACATTGTGGCAAACATTTTTATATACAGTTTTACTGTTCCAAGCTTTAGAAGCTTTCTCAGGGCGGTGATGCAACAGGTAACTGGTAACAGGTAACTGGTAATTGGTAACTGGTAAATGGTAACTGATAACTAACATTATATCAGCATTCAGCCAGGATAATAGCTTAACGGCAATTGGGGAGAACAAATATTGGTATAATCTGAAGACATTGCAGTCAGATCAGTGGATTTTGAACTATTGAAGAGAAAAACTTTGGGGAGATTTTCATCTTAGTTAATTGAAAAACCTCGATTGTTTGATCCAAATCGTAAATTTTGCCGTGAGAATTATTATTAAATTGTCAATAAACTTTAACCGAAATATGTACAAGTCTTAGAATATCTAAAAAATGAATGATACTTAGATTAAATTTCCATTTCATCTGTTATTTTAAAATGCAATTATCACTTTTAAAACAAGTTAACAAATAGAAGTAAAAGAAAGAAATAAAAGGCTAACAAAAAACCGATGTGAGTGCGACTCTTACCTCATTTAAAACGACTGCAAAAAATATATAATTTTGATCGTGAGACGAATAGTTATTCTGAAAAATAAAATGAAATCTTAGAAATATAACTTAAAAATCGTACATATTAAGTACCGTAATTTGAAAATTGTAGATGCAGAGATGTAGATGGAGAATCATGGATGAAATCGAATGCACGAGGACAATATTAATGAAATTTTAATGTACAGTGACAAGTCACTGAAAACGCCAATCAATATTACCCACACAATCAATATTACTCACACAAGTCAATCAATATTACTCAAACTCTCAAACAATCTCTATTTCTCCATGTTGTAACTGTCATAGTTCGGCAAAGTGCTTTTATAAAACTATGCTTTATAAAGGCACTACATAACAATTGACCAAAATTAACTTTAAATGAACTGTAAGATTGTCATTTGAAACAGAGCTTCCAAATTGTCGGTAATCGTAAGTATAGCTATAATAAAGTAATAATGTATGTTTACATAATTGTTAACTACTGTATGTAAATATTTACTATGATTTATTGAGTTTGTTTTCTGGAGTCAACTCAGTGATATGCAGAATATTAGGGATTTGAACCTTGATTAAAAAGAAATTATCATTTATATACTTTTTTAAGTTGTACGAGTTATATATCCAAACTCGCAAAATATAATTTGGTGGCACTACGTACACTTTTTAATCGTATTCAGATGAAAAGGAGACACGTTTCTCGTATCTTCGCATGGTCATAGAAAGAAATGATTCAAAATCTTACCTGTACGCCTTCAAGTCGTCAATATCATCAACAGGTGGTCCGGTGATTTCCTCCTTGACCTTAGATTTCAGTAGGCTGTCGGAGGGAGAGGGAAGTGAGAGTTCTACTCCAGCGTGGTTTACTTTGTACACGAACAGGTTACCGTCGTTACCACCAGAAATTAGGAACCTGTCAAGAAGTTGAGGTTTTTGATGAAGATGATAATGGTTATTAACTGATATAGTTAGAAATTTCTACCAATCTAGGATGAAAAGTTCGTAGATCTGCACGTATCGAATATAGATATCAGAAGGGATGAATTTAATATTCAAGACGAGACAAATCTACAAGAAAGTTTCACACATAATCCACCAGGTTCATTTAACTGACCTTGTATCGAATGAGGTCATAATGCCGTTAACACTGCCAGAAGAATGAGCAGGTAAAGTAAAGGGAGGGCCCATCTGGAGACCACTACCCTCCAACTTCTTGTGTATCCTGATGGTACCATCTCCCATTCCTACCATTACGTTACTGCCATCTTGCCTGAAAGAGAGGGGTGTGTGAGGTTACTGGAGGGCAGTTACATTATACATTATGTACATTGTACATTATACATTACACATTATACATGTTACACTGATCCGGGATAATTGGAACGGTTGGATTATTTTACGGTAAACTTTTAAACCGGAGAGCCCTGTGTTACGCGACTCGTCATCTTGTAACTTCGTAACTTACATGAGGTTAATCTCGTGGATTTCAATATCAGTATCCATATCAATGACCCTGAGGGGTTCTCCATTCAACCTCACCCATCTCCCTCTCATAGAAGGAGGTGTAGGCATGTCTGCGAGAGGGTCGTTGAAAGTGCACTCGTACAGCGCACCCGTATCTGTTCCGTCCTGTGGGAAGGAAGAGAGCTTAGGAGTTTAAGAGCTTAGGAGCTTGAAAATATGACCTTACTTGACAGCATTGGCCTAACTATGGGGATACACAATACTTAGCTTCTTCGTTGTGAGACAGAGTAGAGACAGACACCAACGCGAGGAAGTTCAAACGAGTTCAGGCATTGGCATTGAGAATGATGTCTGATGCCATGCCAAGTACTCCCTTCATCGCACTGAACCACCTCACTAACACATCAGGGCAATTCGGTAACGTAGCTCAAGGCACAGTTAAGGCACGGTTAAGGCACGGTTAAGGCACAAGGGTTACATAAGGCACGGTTGAGGCACGGTCACTTAAGGCACGGTTAACGCACGGTTAACGCACGGTTAACGCACGGTTAAGGCACGGTTAAGGCACGAACTGCCCATAACCAACCATTATGGTCGTTTAAGGCACGGTTAACGCACGGTTGGGGAAATATAACAGTATAACCTATAAACATACAAGTGGTTAACTAAGACACATGATCTGAATGTGACGATCTGTAAATTTTACAGTGCGATTCCCGCTAAGAATAAATAATCTAATTCTTAAGCAACAGCCCTGCCTCGTTTGACCGTCCTATATTTGAAATCCTTATTTCGATTAACGATCTCTTCAAGTAACCAGGCTCTTCAAATTAAGTTAACATCTCCTAAGCAAGAATCCCGAGATTCATGCTTATCGTTATGTGTTTAAGTTTAAGGGTAGCCATAAGCTCCCCCGTGAATGCGAATGAACCTGACGTATTAGCTCATTTGGAACTTCAAGATGAGCTGGTCTGTCAATGTCGTTAGTATTAGTGTATTACCTCGTTAGTAGTAGAACTAGAACTGATAGTGGTAAAATAGTGGCTATAAAAACCTGACCAATGGCAATGATCATGTTAGTTGAGGGATGTCTACAATTCTGATGCTTCGTGTTAAAGTGTTAAAGTGTTTAGCCCTAAGCTCCCCTGCGAATGCGAATGAACTTAAAGGTCGACAGATCAGCTCTTCTTTTTAGGTTGGACTAGATTTGTCTATGAATTTGTAAGCATGAATCTCGGATTCTTGCTTAGGAGATGTTAACTTAATTTGAAGACCGTGCCTCAACCGTGCCTTATGTAACCCTTGTTCCCTAGCCGTGCCTTAACCGTGCCTCAGTTAACCACTTGTATGTTTATAGGTTATATTCACTCACACCACTATCAACAAACAATTCATGGCAGACCTCAGCATACAACCCAAAGCAGAGAGAGACCTATCTATACCAACCATGATGCTTGAACGACGCTTCACAGTCACCATTCCTGGAGCTCAGGAGCTGACAACATTGAATATAGAGGCTTACTCCAAAACACCATCGACAACATCCCCAGTGAAACCATCACCTGCTACACAAACCTGCTCAGTAGCCTTAAACTAGAAACGTCTTCCCACGTGCTGCTGTTACCATGCCGACACTTCCCACGTGCTGCTGTTACCATGACGACACTTCCCACGTGATGCTGTTACCATGACGACACTTCCCACGTGATGCTGTTACCATGACGACACTTCCCACGTGCTGCTGTTACCATGACGACACTTCCCACGTGATGCTGTTACCATGACGACACTTCCCACGTGATGCTGTTACCATGACGACACTTCCCACGTGATGCTGTTACCACGACGACACTTCCCACGTGATGATGTTACCATGACGACACTTCCCACGTGATGCTGTTACCATGACGACACTTCCCACGTGCTGCTGTTACCATGACGACACTTCCCACGTGCTGCTGTTACCATGACGACACTTCCCACGTGCTGCTGTTACCATGACGACACTTCCCAGTGAGTTCCCACGTGCTGCTGTTACCATGACAACACTTCCCACGTGCTGCTGTTACCATGACGAAACTTCCCACGTGCTGCTGTTACCATGACGACACTTCCCACGTGCTGTTTTAACCATGACGACACTTCCCACGTGCTGCTGTTACCATGACGAAACTTCCCACGTGCTGCTGTTACCATGAAGACACTTCCCACGTGCTGCTGTTACCATGACGACACTTCCCACGTGCTGTTGTTACCATGACGACACTTCCCACGTGCTGCTGTTACCATGACGACACTTCCCACGTGCTGCTGTTACCATGACGACACTTCCCACGTGCTACTGTTACCATGATGACACTTCCCACGTGCTGCTGTTACCATGACGACACTTCCCACGTGCTGCTGTTACCATGACGACACTTCCCACGTGCTGCTGTTACCATGACGACACTTCCCAGTGAGTTCCCACGTGCTGCTGTTACCATGACAACACTTCCCACGTGCTGCTGTTACCATGACGAAACTTCCCACGTGCTGCTGTTACCATGACGACACTTCCCACGTGCTGTTTTAACCATGACGACACTTCCCACGTGCTGCTGTTACCATGACGAAACTTCCCACGTGCTGCTGTTACCATGAAGACACTTCCCACGTGCTGCTGTTACCATGACGACACTTCCCACGTGCTGTTGTTACCATGACGACACTTCCCACGTGCTGCTGTTACCATGACGACACTTCCCACGTGCTGCTGTTACCATGACGACACTTCCCACGTGCTACTGTTACCATGATGACACTTCCCACGTGCTGCCACGACAATATAACCCACACATTTTACATCAGTTACAGATCCAGTTGATCAGTGTGTTGTCGTCCACACCACCTTACTAAGCTTCACTAACACTTCTACTAAAATAGTTTATATTTCCTGGTGTATGTCGTCATCACACACGTGCTACACACAAGTCAGCTGCGTTAATTTTCGAAAACGAGCACTTTGGAGCCCTTCCATTACGTAATATAAGGGGAAATAGATGAAGAAACAACCATCAGCAACTTCCACTGCTATTTTTAATCGATCAATTAGGTAATTATCGTCCAACTTCACGATGTCAACATAACGCGTCATTTTTGGCAACAGCAATATGAGCGTTTATAATGGTCCACGTTCTGTTCATAGGACCCATTAGTCTTCAGCGTTTTCTTTGATCACAGCCCATTTAACTTTGAGGTAGCCCTGCTGAGGGCCAGCTAAAATAGCACTCTTTTCCGTCGTCACAATTCATTGTGTACTAAACTCCCTTAGTTTCCCTATGTTGATTTGAATGTTTATAATTTTAACTCTTAGTCACATTAACATTAAGCAGTAACTTAATGTAAACGCAGTTTAACCCGCTCACCAGCTGCTAGAATGGCGATCTTGAGTACTGGAGGAAGCAGTTCTCCAGACATCATCCTCACTACCATCCTCTCCATCTGCTGCATCCTCTCAACCCTCCTCAACCTACTAGTCCTCCACCACAACTTTACAAAACCCCACACTATCCAGAGAGTTATGTTTAGGATACTAGCTGCTGTTGACTGGGTGCTATGTCTCCTGATAGCACCATATGTCGCACATAACCCTCCTCAACCTACTAGTCCTCCACCACAACTTCGCAAAACCCCACAATATCCAGAGAGTTATGTTCAGGATACTAGCTGCTGTTGACTGGGTGCTATGTCTCCTGATAGCACCATATGTCGCACATAACGCCAACAACAGAGACATGTGCACTGCTTCAGGAGGTATAAACGAGAACAGTGATACAAGTGATGGTGGCAAAGGTGACTCTGGTAAAAGTGATACTGGTAAGGGTGAGTCTGACAAAAGTAACTTTGATAAAGGTAAGGATTTAAAGAAGGGTATCCTTATTGAAGTGGAATTATTCCAAGCCTGCTTTGTCAATCACCCAACCCTCTCACTACGAATATACGGTAACATAGCCGCCATTCTGATAGTTCTACCGGCTGTGCTTGGGCGGCTCTAACAGTTGTCAGGCTGATTCAGATCAGATACCCGCTGATACACATTGGAATAAAGAAGTTTCTGACCACAGTGGGTGGGTTTGTTGTGCTGCAGATCATCCTGACTGTTGGTATCTTAAACTCCGCAAGACCAGGTCACGATGGAACAGTTCCTTCAATGGTTGTTTGGATCGGGTCAACTCAGCAGGTGATAGTGTTCTCACCTTTTGGGTACACTAGCTGGCCCAAAGTAACCGTTTTTGTGATTCTGTATGCGGTGCCGATACTGTACCAGTTTGTAGGACTAGTAGCCTGCGTACTGACCATAGTAACACTAGTAGACACTCGATGGTTTTCAAACTAATTTTACCGAATTTCTTAATCAACAACTGATATTTAAAGGTATTGATTTTCAGTTTTATTGCTTTGTTGAAACCAATTTACATGAAGGTGTGCCTCATGATTATAATATCACCGGTTTTTCTGCTGAACATTTATTTGCTATCGAAGGTAAAAGGAAAGGCTCAGGTATCTCGATTTTCTTTCGTGACAGTTGTTCCTTTAAACGTAGCCGTGACCTAGATATCCGTAACAGTTATTTTGAATGTTTGGGTGGGTCTTTTGTAACTGATGTTGGCAAATGTTTTTTAATCGTTTTGTATCGATTCAATAAATCTGCTAATGATGAATTTTTCACCAAGCTAAACAATATCATTGAAAAGTACGCGCATGGTCCGTGCATTGTACTCGGGGACTTTAATTTTAACTGTTTTAATCATGAAACTGATTCGTCAGTGTCGCGTTATTGTGAACTCTTTTTTAATTTCGGTATGTCTCCGCTAGTTAGCAGGAAGACTCACACATTTCGTGGAGCAACTACTTTAATTGATCAGATCTGGTCGAATTATTTTACTGAGGACACGAGTACATATGTTATAGATAATTCTATTTCCAATCACAGACCTTTAGTACTCTCAGTTCCACTCAATCTTAATTCGTACGCTGACAATAATTCTGGGGGTGATAATGGCACTAAACCCTTTTTACTTCACAATGTTTCCCCTGAAAATTATGAAAAGTTTGGTGTTGAGTTTAATTCTTATTTTGCTAACTTTACTAATTTGATTGCCAACAACCCAGATTCAGTAAACTCAGCTGTATCAGCGCAATCTTGCTTTACAGATTTCTTCACTACATTCAAACAATTGTATTTTGAACATATTGTGGAAGAAATTGACTTGAATAGTAGTAAGCGTAATCACTACTTCAAACCTTGGATTACAATAGCTATTGCCAAGTCCTGTATGACCAAAAATACGCTGTATAATGCATGGGTTAATTCGAGAGGTTCTCCGAATGAAACCATAGCCATGACTGTTTATAAGTCATATCGCGCAAAACTACGTGATATTATAAGATTTCGAAAAAGTTGTTATTTTCGTGATAAATTCACCCGTGCTTCTGGCAATATCAAAAAATGCTGGCAAATTATCAACGAGATAAGATGTAAAACAAACAAACTAACATTTCCAGATTACATCTCTGAGAACGGTCAACTTATACGTGAACGTCGTGTTATCTGTACCCACTTTAACAAGTATTTCACTTCTATCGCTGATAAACTTAACGAGAAGAAGTATGATGATAATTCTAACCCAGTCCTGGTCCCTGATTTTCGTGACTTTTTACATTCTCCTGTTACAAACACTATCTTTCTTAAACCCATAGTATTTTCTGAGATTAGTGAGATTATTCGTAAACTTAACAGCAACAAGTCATCTGATTTCTCTCCTAGAATTCTTAAGTTATTTAATTATCAGTTCTCCACCATTCTTACTCATCTTTTTAACAACTGTATGAACAACTCATTATTTCCTTCGGAACTTAAAATTGCCAAAGTTTTACCGCTTTTTAAAAGTGGTGACCGTAACTCTGTTTCAAACTATCGACCAATTTCTATACTTCCAGTTTTTTCCAAAATCTTTGAAAAGCTGATACAGTCAAGGTTAATTTCGTTTTTTACAAAGGAAAATGTTCTCCACGAGGGTCAGTTTGGATTCAGAAGTGGGCGTTCGACCATACAGGCACTTAACACGTCTATCTGCAACATTTTAAAAAGTCTGGATCAGAAAAATCACACTTTAGCTATCTTTATAGATTACTCTAAAGCTTTTGATACTATTAAACATTCTATCTTACTTCAAAAGCTGTATCATTACGGAATTAGAGGGAATGCTAATGAACTTCTTGCAAGCTATCTTACAGGAAGATCTCAATATGTTCATTTTGATCAGGACACTTTTTCCGATTGTCTCCCTATAACTTGTGGCGTTCCCCAAGGCTCTGTCTTGGGTCCACTACTTTTTATTTTATATATAAATGACGTAACATCTTGTCAATGTACTTGTGACAATACTGCAGTCTGTACGAGCAATTGTGCAGATAGAAACTTGTTCGTCTTATTTGCAGACGACTGCAATACGTTTATTACAAATGAAACTCTGGGTGGTGCTTTTGAAAAAGCGAACGCACTTCTTTGCAATCTTAAATCTTATATTGATGCCAACTACCTTCATATTAACCTTACTAAATCTAAATTCATGCTCTTCAGAACACCTCGCTCGAAGCCTAATCTTGAGGCTGATAATTATACTTTGACCTATGATGGCTACAATTTACAGCGAGTTAAATGTATCAAGTTTCTAGGGGTGTTTATTGAGGAGTCGCTAAATTGGTCAGATCATATAAACTATATCGGGAAGAAGGTTTCCAAAGTTAATGGTGTGCTTTATCAACTTCGTAAAACCGCCCCTAAAATGTTAAGAATTGCTATTTTTAATGCACTCGTACAGTCGCATCTTTCCTACGGGATCACGGTTTGGGGAAGCAGCACAGCAACTAATAAGTTGAATAAACTTTTTATCAATCAAAAAAAGGCATTAAGAAATGTGTTCGGGATTCGCAGAGTTAACAAACATCAGCAAGGAAATACGAAGCGTGTTTTCAGTGAAAACAAAGTGCTTACCGTGTATGGACTTTATCATAAATTTATTCTCACTGAGGGATTTCAGGTAGTGCATGCTGGTGGTTACCCAACGTTACTAAGAAAACACTTTCAAACTTCAGCTGTTAACGATAAACGGCTTATTTGTCCTAGAGTGTATTATAAAGATAATATGCACAACATGTTATACGCTGTTCCCAGAATCTGGAATGCTGTTAACAACTCAAGTTATCTCACTAGAAATATCACCTCAATTTCATCCTTCAAGAACAATATTAAGCAGTTCATTCTCATGTACCAATCTAATGGTTCAATTAACACATGGGAACCATCCAATCTTGATGCGCAAACATTTTTTGTCACTGCATCTAAGAACCCCGAATCATACTCAGTTACACGTTAACACCATGCATGTTGTTACCATATTGCATGTTTTTGATATTTTGGCATGTGACTGCATGTACATTTACATGTTCAAATTGGACATTTTTTAGATTCTTATTCAAGCTGGGTAATTCCGACTGCATGTGCATGTTCATGTTCAATTTGTGACAATTCTTATTCAGTGTGTGTGATCATTTGAGCTGCGTTTTTAGCTGTTTTACCTTGCTTAATGTTCTATTTTGAATCTTAAATTACCCCCTGAGGGGCATAGCTCCAAGACTTCCCCCTCATTAAACGCCCCGTTTCTTTACTATGTGGGGGTTTGATAACCCCCCCATTTTCCGTAACCTTATTTCAGCTGCTTTTCTCACTTGGTGTCGCACAGTACATGTATTGTGCGACACCGGGTGAGAAGAGTCAAACGGGGTTCGAGATGCTCGGGTTTAAGATCACCAGATTACCTGATCTTACTGGAAGTCACAACTTTGACACTACAACTAAAGCATGGACACATACGGGAAAACTCTCTGCATCCTGATGCTGACTATTCCCTCATCTTTCTCACTGATAGCAAATTTATCCCTACTCTACTATTACTACTAAGTTACTGCCTACTACTCTAGTTACCCTGTCTTGACTACCTTTTGATTGGGAAGCTAGTTGAACTTTATTATTTTATTATGGACACATTGGATCTCTGTTAATAACAATTTATGACATCTGTTGTAATACAGTAATGTATGTGATTTTCGCGTTTTTCCTCATTTATTCTGATCATGGATATTGATTGATACTAAGATTTTCACATTTATGAGAGTTTTTGAATTTTGGTCGCGTAATTTTGATTTTATTTGATTTTTGAACAAAATCTTTATTTAATTAGATTTCACTTTTTTTTTTACCAGTGGCTTACAAGCTTCTGGGTCCTGTTTTGAATTTTTTTGAGTGGATTGTTAGGGCCCTGGCATTTGCCGACAAAACGGTTTTTATTTTTATGTTTTATAATCCTGTTGATTTGTATATACCGTTTTGAAAATTTTTCAAATCTAAAAAAAAATCAATCTAATAGGCAATAAAGAAGTGGACACAGGAACACAGGCCAAGAGAAATTACACGAAGATTACCCTGAAGATTCTCCTTGGAAACTCATGTAGTTTCATCTACCTGGTATATGTTTGCGGGGTAGCGTTCCCTTCCGTAACTAACTACTACACTCAGGGAACCGGTGCATATTCTTACTCCGCAATCAATCTGGTAGCAAGCAGTATAGTTCCTTGCCTCTTAGCTGCACTTAACCCTATCATCTTCATCTTGCTGACTCCAAATAGTTTAGGGAAACTGAGAATATGGAAGAATGCCTCGAGCAAGAGGGCTACTGAGGGCACTAATCTCAGTGCTATCATGTCTGCTAAGTGAACATGTGACCTGCTAAGTGAACACGTGACCTGCTAAGGGAAGATGCGACCTGCTAAGTGAACATGTGACCTGCTAAGTGAACATGTGACCTGCTAAGTGAACACTGAACATGTGACCTGCTAAGTGAACACGTGACCTGCTAAGTGAAGATGCGACCTGCTAAGTGAACATGTGACCTGCTAAGTGAACATGTGACCTGCTAAGTGAACACGTGACCTGCTAAGTGAACACGTGACCTGCTAAGTGAACACGTGACCTGCTAAGTGAACATGTGACCTGCTAAGTGAAGATGTGACCTGCTAAGTGAAGATGTGACCTGCTAAGTGAACACGTGACCTGCTAAGTGAACACGTGACCTGCTAAGTGAAGATGTGACCTGCTAAGTGAAGATGTGACCTGCTAAGTGAAGATGTGACCTGCTAAGTGAAGATGCAACCTGCTAAGTGAACACGTGACCTGCTAAGTGAAGATGTGACCTGCTAAGTGAACATGCGACCTGCTAAGTGAACACGTGACCTGCTAAGTGAAGATGCGACCTGCTAAGTGAACATGTGAACTGCTAAGCGAACATGTGACATGCTAAGTAAACATGTGACCTGCTAAGTGAACATGTGACCTGCTAAGTGAAGATGCGACCTGCTAAGTGAACACGTGACCTGCTAAGTGAAGATGCGACCTGCTAAGTGAAGGTGCGACCTGCTAAGTGAAGATGCGACCTGCTAAGTCAATATGCGACCTGCTAAATGAAGATGTGAACTGCTAAGTGAACATGTGACCTGCTAAGTGAAGATGCGACCTGCTAAGTGAACATGTGACCTGCTAAGTGAACATGTAACCTGCCAGTTTAATTAATCTTAATTCAAAAATTATATTATTGAATAATTGTCGTCCTTCTTTGGATGTAACATGTATGTCTATCCACTTGTATATTTTAGAAGCTCTTTTCGTTTTTATGGAAAGTTTAGATTTCAGTGCCTCGAATTTTTTAATGTATGATAAAAGTTGATAATAGAATAATTGTCCATTGCATTAAACTAAATTGTAATAACAATTGATTTAAAAGTATAAAATACCTACAGCTATTACCTAGGATTAAGTACATGTAACCACGAAGAAAGAAACTTACCAGAGAAAGGTAAAATCTGTCCTCATAGGGGAATATTTTGATAATCTGGTTGGAAACAGTTGGTGGCTCAAAAACGGGGTCTTCTTCCGCCGAGTTTGTATCTTCAATCGCTTTCTTTTCTTCCAGATAAGCTTCCTCCCCCTCGTCTACCATAATCTTATCAAGCCTGGCAGAACACGAATAAATTATACAGTCTCGTTTTATTTAAAAAAGACCGCATAGATTACCACAGCGGAGCAAGTCCAAGGAGCTGAAAATTTGCCAAAAAGTAACAATCAAGGTTTTAAATCCTCACCGCTTCTGCTGTTCTTCCTCTTTCTTAATTTTTACCATTTCGTGGGCAGCTTTCTGAAAGTAAAGATCATTAAAAATCAAACCAAATATGTTCTCCCCGCAAATAAAGTATACAAATAAACAGCAATAGGTGTACCGTAAAAGCACAAGGCTAGGTATACCACTTAATCCATCTGAAGAAATTTCAAATGTTGCTATACTATTATATATCACAGTCACCAAGATCGTGTGTCATAACCATGAATATCGAGAATAAGGAAAGAGAAGAAAAAAAGGAAAAAAAAGAATTACCTTGATCTTGTACCCTATGCTCTTGAACTCGTATCGATTAATTTTTGATCCGGGCTGTATCTCGTAGGTCACCGAGCTATCCACCTCTCCTGTGATAAATACTTCATATAACTTAAATCTCGATTAAACCTTCACTCCGCCTCTATCACAACCAAGGTCAAGGATTGTTAACAGGGCTGTGTAACTAAAGAATCGATAATCTATGTAATATTAATCAAGTTTCTCATTTCTCCACTGCTGTTTATTTTTATATTCATCCTATTTTTGGAGCATTTCGAGTACTTTGGAGTACACAAGAAAGATTATATTCGAGCTGAAGAGAACGAAATAAGTAACGTGTTCAATAAAAACTATTCTGATCGAACCATACCTGAATCCGGACACTCCACTTCGAGTACTACCCCACTACTAAGACCAACCAACACTCGCTTCTGAAATAATATATTGTTCTTGTTTTCTGATTATATAATAATTTAAAGTTTAAAAGTGTCGTGTTATAATGTAACATTTTTTTAAACGGTGAAATTGGTGTAATTGTTATTCGTGAACTTGATAGCATAAAAACTTACTATAGGGCGTGGATCCTTACGCCCGAATATCATCTGATGGAAAAGTGATACAGTGAATGTGAAAGTGAAAGTGAAAGTGAAAGTGAAAGTGAAAGTGAAAGTGAAAGTAAAAGTGAAAGTGAAGTGAATGAAAATTATTATGCAATGATGATAAAGGTGAAAAAGTGCAGTTCTTCTATTAATAAATGGTGGAAAAGCCATGCGAATTAAGATTATTATGCTGCAAAACAAATAAAAAATGCAGCAAAAACTTACGGAGGAATTCGACCACGCCATAGTTGTAACAGGGGCTTCCAGCTTCATGAAACCGATCGGCAGATAGTTGGAAGTTATGTCGAAGAAAAATAGGGTGCAGTCATCTTTTGATCCTGTTACCAACGTTTTACCTGACATTATCGACTGTTAAAATCTAGTTATTAAATTAAAACTAATCGGAATCATTATTAATGCGGATTAAATTGACAGCTAGAGTTAGTTACTAAGTTACTTATTGTTAATCATAGTCAAGTTTTATCGTTAGTTTAGAATTAGTTACAAGTTCGAGTTATCAGTTATGCAAACCTTCATCATCAATTATCATAGCTGTAACCTCGCCCTTGTGAGGTTTCAGTGCATGTTGTAGGGAAATTTTCAGTTCATACTCCGACTCCTGCTCAGCATAATCCAATGTCATCACTCTGATCACACCATCACTAAAACCACCGATCAGTGTGACACATTTGGAGTCAACATTTCGACCGGGCCACAAAATACAGCTACCACCCGATTTGTACTTCTTGCGCACGAGGGTGTGCTTCCTGAGATAGTCGAACACCCTTACTGTACCGTCAGCTCCCATACTTGCTGCCATGTGAGTGTAAGAACAAGGGGCGATCCCTCTTACTGGACCAGCGTGGTAGGATTGTATAAGTTCGGGGGCTTTCTTAGTCAAAGAGACTGAGATATCTAGTCTCCAGATTCCACCAGAAGCATCCTGAAAATATTTTTGGTCGGTTAAGTTCAAACAGTAATATACAGGTTCATAAAAGCTTTGAGAAAATTTAATTGGATACATGTACACGGGAATATGATAACAAAATAATGATGTTACTGGTTACCATAGTTACTGCGCGTCTTTAAGCGCTGAAAATTCATCTTTATACATAGAAATATCTCTGCGCGCTACATAATCAAGTATTTCGCACGGTGACTATAATCGTTGGAAACCCTACCACTCGTTGGAAACCCTACCACTCGTCTACTCTACTTATAGTACTATTAACCTGGGCAAGCCACATAGAGTTAGTATCATTATTTTCAGTGACTGTTTTACACATGCTGATGATGCTCACTCCGTCACCAACGTGCATCTCTGACATGGGCTCCATCGGGAACATGGCATCTTCCTCCAGTACGTCGGCCCCGTCTATTGTCTCAAAGTCCCAAATCTATAAAGAGGGTGAATTGGGAGGTTTTAATCCAACCTAGTATCCATACATTAAATTAAATGAAATAAAATGAAATAATGGAGGTTTATAAGTGCATCCAAATGTATCATAATCTTCATGGACATAAAGGGGTAGTGAAAATAACGAAAAATCCATAAATCTTCACCTTCACACTTCCATCAGCACCTGCCGTTATAAGCTCGCCCTCATCCAAAAATATCTCCTGAATTTGACCCTTGTGACAGTTTTTGTTTTCAGTTGAAGACAGTTCACATTTGATGAGATCACCATCCCAGAGCAACATGTTACCCCACTCAGAACCGGACAATACTTTTCCGTCCGGCAATTCGACATAACCTGAGCAGAAACAGATGGTTTGGGAATAGAAAATCAAGATATAACTTAAACTGACAGATTGAAATATCTGGAAATTGTATGATCTGATAATTAAATCTAAAAACGTTCTGTTTGACGTCTGATTTAGCGCATATTTTTAACAAATAACCGATTTTAATGACTACAATAAGCTTAATGGCGCTATCTACAATCCATACGCTCAAAATAGTCGATGTAATGTTATTGGAGATGCCATAACCAATGAAAAGCACCAAGATTTAACATGGAGCGACATTTCGGCTTTCCTAACTCACTGTCAGTATAAACAGCAACGTAACGTGAAGAATGCGACATCCTCTCAACTCATTCTCCATGAATATGAGATCCTTTTTCAAAAATATTGATCAACTACGAGAAGATATTATACAAATATATGATAAGTATTGTATTCTGTTTTAACGAAACTAACTGCACAGGAAGAAACAGGTCACATAAAATGGATTCCTTGAACCGTATATCCAGGATCAACGTTGCAATCCTAAAGGCAACTTTAACTGTGTTCAGCTATGCTTGTTAAATAAGCTCCATTTTAATAGTTTCAACAATACCTAATCTTGTGCACTGAGTTTTTCACTTTTAATAGATAATACTTATTATATATATTTTTGAGTAAACATTGGCTGGTACTTCGGGCCGGTCCCCAACAAAAAAAAAGATACTGGTGAAAAAATTCATGGGAAAACAGCAACGTACCTTCAATATCACTTATAGCAGTTCTGCCATATTTTCCCAGTTCTCCCTGAAGTTTGAGACCAGTAAAGGTGGCTGCCATTTTCCAAAATTTGATGTGGCCCAGACCCCCGGTCGTAAGCTGTCCTTCTATCTCAGTTGAGAATGTCACTCTAAAGACGTCCTGGGGTGGTAGGCAGGGTTTAGTGACTTCTAATTGAGAGTTAATTGAGAGTTAATCATCTTATTAACAATGGGATTCTGCGGAAAGATTCGGACGGATTATTCTTAATTCAATGACAATATTCTAAAGTTCTAAGTAATCGTGTAACCTGTCCGTGCGCTTTCGATCTCAAGATAATTTTCTCCCTCTTCCAGTCCCAAATAGTCAGCATGTAATCAGGACTTGATCCAAGAGAAGCCAGCTTTGCACCTGAACAATAAGACAAGTTCAATTATCAAGAATTGAATGATTGCTACCTTTAATTTGAAAAACAAATAGTATAGATAGAAGAAGTATAGATGTGAATTATGAATTAAAAATATGATCTTCGACAACTTTTCACCTTATTTTCTTACCATCTGGAGAAAAGCTGAGGAAAGCGTAGCTTCTTTCTGTTCCTTTTCGGCATATTCTGTACAGTTTTAGGGAAGGGTATTCAAAAATCAGGATTTCTGGTTCAAATCCCTGTTCTCCTACAGCAAAATATTTCCTTGACGGGTGAACCTGGAAAATTACATCACTATAGTTCATTACAAACATAAAAACACGGTAAAATTGAGAAATATTATAAGGAAACTTAAGAATGGGCAAATATTTGCATTCTACATAAACTTACGCCGGATGCAACTTGTTTGCAGTACAAATGTCGACAATAAATAAAATACAATTTAAATTATTCCGCACTAACACTGAGATTTAACTACTTACAGCAATAGATCCGATGCCCTTGCCTCCAACAGTGGGAAGATAAGTCAACTTCTTGGTATCCACATTAAAAATCTGGATGTAATTACCGGCTGAAAATAGCACGTGCGTTTCATCAAGCACGTGTAAGTTTGCCCTGAAAAGATAATTCAGTAATTTCATATATTTCAGGAATTATTGGGGGATATCAGTATTTAAATCTTGTTTTAGTTTAAAATTTAATTGTAGAGCTTAATTGCATACCATAAATTTAAAAATAATTTTTCTCTAAACTAAGCTGTCCAAAATTTCCGAAGATTAATAACCACTGCTACATTTTGTAACTTGGTGTAGATTAATCAATCAAATTAATTAATTAATTAATTAATTAATTAATCAATTAACCCATTTTAACCTAAGATAATATTGTTCCACGGGTAATACTGGAGTATAATGGTGCTAAATTTAACCCAGTAGACTTCAAAACTCTCCACCACACAAATAACGTAATATCCGGATTGGAAAGTAAAACAATTAATAGCTGTTTTAAACAGCTCACCTCTTCAAACACTCGTAACCGAAGGAGTGGAAGAGAGTCAGGAAGTTGGAGGGAGTGCTTCCCTCGCCGGACGAGGTTTTGGCTCGTGCATACATCTGTTCTAAGTCGTAGAAAAAGTTGGGGTCGGGACCAGGGTCAACATCGTCATCCGGATTGTAGTCCAGCATCTCGGGATACTTTTCATCTGAGAGGAAAGTATAGAGAATATTGTGTTTCAAGTTCAATGCTCAGATAAATACCCTATCTGTAATAATATTGAACAATTCTTTCGAACAATAACTGCTTCAAAACAATGTTAAATTGAACGCCCTTAGCATTCTCACCGATGGCACTCTTCTTGCCGTTCTCAGCAGTAACCACTGCTTCCACTTCACCCTCTCCTTCAGCTGCTCCAGCTGCACCAACTGCACCACCGGTACCTAATTCACCCTTGGCTGCAGCTTCACCAGTAGCTCCTTCGGTCTTCTTCTTCTTCTTTCTCAACTTCTTTGGAGCATCTGTTGCCTCATCCACTGATGCGTTGCTCTGAAAATTAATGGATTTTCACTCAGTTATACTTGAAGTATGTTACCGTGAACAGATATGAAGCTTTAATAACGATCATAGATAAGAATCATATTATTCATAGATAACAATCTGACAGTAGATTTTAAAACTTAACAAAAAAAAACACTGTCTAACGGCGGTTGTCGGTTGATAATATTAGCTAACTTACGTCAGTTTCATACTCAGATTTATCTGCCCCTTCCTTCGTGACCACTGTGTCTGCCAAGAGATAAATCAATATTCCATCATTTGCTCAGTTTTCAACATTTTCACAAACATCCCAAATATGTCATTGCAAATAATAGGACGATAAACAATCAGTATCTTGAACAACATTTTAGACATAAAGAGTTCAAGTTTTCAACATTCGGACATGCATCATTGCCAGGGCAAAATCCTACAAACCAACACCAATCAAAATAACAGTAGACATACTAATTAACAGTAGACATAGTATAATTACGACCACACTGGTATTTTCGTAACAACAAGTAGAACAAGTCATTCAATTATTAAAAACTTAATAACAGTAAACAAACAGGATTCCCGTGATATAAAATTCATAAAATGAGGAATGATTAAAAGTCATGATTGAGTGAGAAAGTTTGATAAGTGTATCTTAATTTACCTGCTACAGGAGCATTATCCTCTTTACCACCTTCTTTTCCCGCCTCTCCACCTTCACCAGTGACACCTGCATCTCCACTACTAGCTTCCAATTCCCCACCTTCTGCATCCCCACTACTGGCTTTCCCACCTCCTACTTTTCCTGCCTCTCCACTCTTAGCATCAACATCTCCGGCTGCATCTCCACCTTTGTCTCCGCTTGTTTGATTTGGCTTGTCTCCACTGGTAGGCACTGCACTAGCTGTATTATCACTTGGATTCTCCCCGCCAGACTGCCCTTCACCAGGCTTCTCTTCGCCAGGCTTTTCTTCGCTTAATTTTTCTGCGGTCATTGAAGTTTTACTGACAGTTTTATCACTGTCCTTCAATTTATCGGAATCTTTTTTCTCAGCAGTAGCCTTTTCTTCTGGTGTCTTGCCAGTTGTTTCTTTTGACTTGTCTTGGTCTAGATTGTTCGACTTCAGTTAAGAACGAGCGATTTTTTATTGATATTTTACGATGTGAATCATTGGCAGTAATTTTCTAAGAGACTCTGGTTGTTTCATCCAAATTTATTCAAAAATATGAGTAACATCAGAAGGATAGTTAAACTACCAAATATTATCCAATACAAGTTTCACAGCGTTTTAATCGGCTTTTTCAATCAAAATTTTCAGGTTTCTTAAAAAGGCTATCAAAAGTCGACAGCGATAAAAAACATTAATTGACCAGGCTGCAGCTTCAGCTTCACTAAGAGCTATAAAGTTTGAAAAGAGTAGTTACTAAGGTATGACATAACTCAGCTTAAGCGAAAACATTGCTTAACATCTACAATTATCAAAAGAAACGAAAGTGCATGTTGACAAATCGAATCTTACTTCCTGTATAGATGCATTTAAATAAATCTCTAGTGAAAAATTAAAGATGATACTAATTAATTGAATAGACAGTCACTTGTATTTGAGTTATTGATTGATTGAGGAGCACTACCCAGAGTGCAAGTCATGCAAGCTGTGATCTTGTTTCAACTACAGTAAAGGCCATGTTCAATGTTCATGGTTCGTGTTTACTGCTGCTGTTTTTTCAGTTACTATCCAATAAGCAATGTTTTTTCAAATGGTACAATATTGTTCATGAATTGTGTAGTGATACTGATATCTGGATATTATCCGGTTGGAAGAGACAAGGACAAGTGAAACAAGGAAGTTAGGAGTAAGGGCAAATTTTCGGCGTCAACGCCATTTCACGATAACATAGAACCAGATATTTCCTTCGATATTTTAGAAATTAACTTATATAGCACCATTAAACGTAAAGTGACAGAAGCTTACTACATTAATTTATTTAAACCTAGTATCAATAACAAAGAAGAGTGCGAGAAGCTTAAGGGATTTCTTTTACAACATATTCAAAGACAAATTTAAACAAATAGCACACGACCCTGCTGTTCAGTAGATATTATGTACTTGGACAGAGTGTAAAACGTGTGTACATCACTATTTTCAATGTAATGTACAATACCATTTGATGTAACCTGTATTCAGTGTGTGTAATTTTGATTTAGCATTTTAACTAGTATAGAAGCATTTATTATATACTAACATTTATAACAATTTTAGCCTGAAGATGGCGTTGACGCCGAAAATTTGCCCTTACTCCTAACTTCCTTGTTTCACTTGTCCTTGTCTCTTCCAACCGGATAATATCCAGATATCAGTATTTCAATCATGACTCATGAGACTAATAAACAGCGAACTACTCCGTTATTTGAAATTGTGTAGTGACTCTGATGAGGAGTGTGTATCGTGTTTGCCATGTTTTGAGGCGTCCATTGTATACAATCTGAAATTGTATGAAAATTTGTGCCTACTAGATATTGTGAGTGAATGAAAGTGTCATGCAAAACAAACATTCATGTTCACATAATACAAACATTCCACAATATCGTACACAACATTCACGTCATACAAACGGCACTGATCACAACATTCCAACATTCCAACTTGAGAGTACATTCTGGCATGCGACAACACACAGCAACAAGGCATTATAAACGATGAAATAACAAACCTGCTGCCTCAGCTGGCTTACTTCCCCCTGTAGAGCCCTCTTCACCTCCAACTGCTGCTGCTACGGGTGTAATTGCTTTCCTGGAGGACGATGGTCTAGAGCCATCTTTTGGGGTTTGAGGTGGGGTGGGGACGAGGTTGACTTTCACATCTTCGGTGGAGGCTTTTCCTTCTTCGGTTTCACCTTGTTCAGGTCCTGCAGCCTCACCAGACACAGCAGCCAAAGCAGCTGCAGCTGCAGCTTCTTTCTTTTTCCTTTCTGAAAATATTCAGTTCTTTATGGGGAGGTATGAGATGCAAAATGGATCTCCACTTGGAAATATTTTGTTGTTATTGTTGACTTGACTGTAGGTGGGAAATCCTATTAACTGCACTTCTGTACTGTTATGACGATCAATAAGTCAAAAACGGTATAAATGATAACCTGATGAAAAATGTTTTCTCTTGCGAAATATTTTGCATTTCGAAGAGTAAGATCAATCTAAATAGTTATTTCTTTATTTTTTTATTTGGAAATTTGATTAATTATTATATACATGAATCAAGCGTTACATTTCAGCCATGCAAAATTACGATGACATTTTTTTGTTATAGAATTAGAATTAGAATTAGAATTATAACTAAATTTACACAGCAATATAATAAGAATAAAAATAATTTAAAGCAGCTTCAAGCTGCTGTGTAGGACATTCAAGTCAGTCAAAAACTGTTAGAAGAATACCCTTTTAAGGACATAAAATTAAAACATATAGTATGTTATAAGTTATAAGGAATATGGTACAGTGAGATTTAACATTAAACTGTGGGTATGGAGGTAACCATTAAAGTAGTACGAAAATTACATAGATTCTTACTTTGACATTTGTTGTCGGAATTATGTACAACTATATACAGAGAAGTATAGACCTTAGAGTGAAAAATGGCATTGTATTATTACTAATGGAAAAATGATACTGCAATATAAAAATTGCATACTGTGTGGTCAGATGACAAATAACTAAACTAGAGAAATAAACTTGATTGCATAGTAATTAATTCGGCTGAATCAACAAACAGCAAGCACCACATTAATGTTGGGGCCGTCTACCAAATTTGAGAATGACAAATATATCATAGTTTCAAAAAGCATAAAGGTGTTCCAGTTTTCTTCTTTAAAAATAGAAAAATTTCACACCTTTAAGACATGTCCCTTAAATGGCCATACAATCATAATTCAATTTAGACATCAATCTTAAAATGGAATACAATATTCACATTTTACTGAAATTCATGCAGGGTCTGGGTTTTTGATTTTCAACTCAAATCATTCGAATCATTCATGTACATATAACTATACAAGTTAACACAATGATAAATACTCACTACCGCTTGGGGACTCACTACCCCCCACACTTTGCTCCAGTGCTTGGTCATCTTGTAAGATCGATATTTATGTTTAATTTATTTTGCCATTTTAAAAATATGTTTTTTTAAAACTTTTATAAACGTATTTTGAACAAATTTTATTTTTATTTGGGTGCTTATGATGTATGAAAATATGTCATCTCCGATAATGTGTTCACTTATTAGAACATTTTTGTTTAATGTCCCCCGGCCCCTTAACTACACTAAAGACTAAAGGGGAGACAAAACTTAAGCTTGTAGCTGGGTCTCAAATCCCAGTGAACTTTTGCAATACAAATTTATATTCAATATCTAGCTAGATGTAAAACAAAATAAGTTATTTAAAACTGCAAGGTTTTTTAAATGAAAAAATATACAAAAATTTGCATTATTTAAACTTCACCATCACCTCACCTTCAGCTTCTATCGTGAATTGCCGTAAAGCCTCTGCATTGACTTTATTAGTGGCATCCTTAAGATTAAGCTTCCCAAATGCAGAAGGTTTCTGATCCTCGGACATGTCAAGCTTTTTCCCTCACCATCTTACTACACAATAAAGTGAATTGTAACTAACAGGCTAATAAACTAGAATAATCAATTTTAACACTTTTAACACTAGTGTATATCATAACAAATAATTTGAGAACATGAATATGATGTAGTGACATTGAAACATTGAATGATTTCCTTTTTCCTGAAATGAACAAATAAATTATAGCAAAATTCAAAATGTTAGACAGTCTAACATTTTGAATTTTCTAGTTAAGTTTTTCAAAATTGTCCCCACATTCAAACAACGATTATTGCGCCCCCCTAAGATGGTGTACCCCTCCCCCTCCTCCCCACACAGTGGAGTAAGCGGGGCCCTTTGTTACGCCACCGATAAGAAGTACTGCCGCTTTGATACAGTTATGCTATTTAGTCAACTACAGTTTTGGCGCCATATAATAAACTATCTGTTAAAGTGATTAAATTGATTGTGCTGCACTTTTAAACTGGAAATTGCCAATGCTCAATGATCTTAATTATCATATGATAATCTCTGTAATTCGATTTGGCATCTTAATTAGAATTAGAATTAGAATCAAATTTACACAGCAATACAATAATAATAGTAAATAATTTAGAGATGCTTCGATCTGCTGTGCAGGCCAATGGACATTCAAATCAGTCAAAACTGTTAATGGAGTACCCTTCTAAGGACTAGGAATCAAAACATTTAAAGTATATAGATAATAAGTTAATGAGTATAAAGTATGGTATAATGGTATGGTGGTTAAAACATTAAACTGTGGGCATGAATGTAACCATTAAATTATTACAAAAATTACATAGATACCCACTTTGACATTTCGTCAGAATTATGTACAATTATATATGGACACGTTCATTTGAGTTTGAGGTTGACCATTGTTAATGGTCTGGCCCGGCGCGCGCTACTTCGTAGCACTTGCCACTAACATTTCGAGAAGAAAGCGGCGCGCGCTACTTCGAAGAAATTTAGACGAGTAACATCCGTCAAAGTTTGTGGATGTTGGTAAACAAAAATAATAGCGTTTTTGACGATAGTGGCTTAATTTTGACATCTATTAACCTAGCACGTTCAGAAGTTCTGAATAGCATAAATGGGTACTCCACATCAAAGAGAATACATGAAAACATAGTAAGTAATCAAATTACACATCAGAAAGATAACCAAATAGGGCGAAAAGGAGTTTCGAAATGCGACAATAATACTGAAAAACAACCTAGGTATTCTTGTGAAAATACGACAGTATTTGCTTTAGCGCTCGATTTTCATACCACGGTGTAAATTTTCGAAAAAATGCGCGGCGAGCCTAAAATTTAGGTTTCAATAAAAATCTATTGTTTGGTCAACATTATATTTAATGTATTTAAATTAGTTGTTATAACAAGATACATGTTTAAAAATTTTCAAAATATAGCATGTAAATACCAAAAATAAATTGCGCGCAAAATTTTTACCACTTTTTTAGATTTTTACCCCAAAGAAATAAAGGGATTTGTTTTATTTTTGTACCATCTTGTGCGGCTGTCTGTTAGCTATCTCCATGCAAGTTTTGTTGACATGCCAACAAAATTAACTTGCTGAAAATATATATCAAAAAACATGGTTTTTTGGCCTATATTTGGCCCAAAAATCGGTTTCTTATGCGATTTTGGATTTTAACCGGGAAAATATACAGTCAAAAATACGTCTAGTAAGGTGTATCTGGGGTCCCTAGCGTATCGAGCAGACAGTGCCAGTAAGAGCCTCTACTAAAAGGTAACACGACGTAATTAATTTTAGAACAGAACAAAATGCTGGCACGAAGGGTGCGCGACGCGCGTGCAAATAAGTTTTAAGTGACGTTGCACAGCCCAAAATTTTTATCAGCCAATAGGAGCGCAGCGTGGTTGCTCTAACCAGAGCCCTCTCGCTTGCAGTAGCGCGCGACCGCGTAACGCAGTACGCGTAGACACATGGCTATGCGTGGTATTACGCAAATTATCGACTACACGGTCCGGTGTATTTTTTGATTCTACACACTTTCGCAGGACTTAAACGCAAATATTTGGAAGTAAATTCTAAGGTCCCCTCATTTTTTAATAACACAGTGTTTTTGATTGTAATTGTAAGGGACACCTAAATATGATTATAAATGCGGTATCAATTCGGCTCACATCATATTTGATTACTGGGCCGCGCTCAGCCTGTCATTCCGCCTAATCTCTTTTGTTTATGAACATGATAGCCTGAGGTCCCCAGGTAACATATTTGACTGCTAAGCCGGGGTATTTGTTATTTTAGATTTTTACCATATCACATATTTAGGTATGAATTGAGTTACACTTACTGAAATTAGTGAAAGTTAGTGTAAATTTGTATCACGTTGTGACGGCTTTTACTAATTCGCTCGCCCAAAAATTTCACGTGACTTTGGTTTTTATCATGGTTTTGCAGCCGTACAAAACGGTTTTACATAAACCCTAATCCCAACCCTAACCATAACCCCGAAGCTAACCATAACCCTTACCACAACCCTAACCCTAACCCGGGCCCAATACAATCGAATTCGTATTTTACTAGCCTGTCACGTGACCAAAACGGTTTTTGCTCATAACTCTCCAGGGAAGCATTTTAACCCTACGTCATGGGGGGTGATTCGGAATCAGCGTCAAAAAATACACTGAGATTAAAAACCCCGCAATCTCAGATAAGAGGAGCGCCAAATCGTCGTTTGAATGTGGAACTATTTTGAAAAGTTGACTACGGTACTAGCAAAACTGCGCGTTTTGCTCTAGAAACACATTTTTTAGAGATTTTACCGGGTGCGGTTTATCCTTTAATATCATCTAATTTGTTCAATTTTAGGAGGGGGGTTGCCAAAAGGCTAGGGGGCGCTTATGGCTTAACTTTTTCAGTGGGGCGGGCCGGGGGCTAGTTTGGTTTCCACCGAAACCGAGCGTGCTAAATCACTCTACAGTCGATGTTCGATATTTTTCTCAAAGTAAAAGGGCCCCTGACAGTTTAAATCAACCTGGTTGCTGGTTCGATGTATTTTCGAACGCTGATTCCGAATCACCCCACATGACATAGGGTTCTATTCCGGTTATTGTTAAAATGCTTCCCTTGCTAGATATCGGCGAAATACTGTCTCGATCACGTGAGTCGTGATTTGACCATGTGACGAAGTTGGTTTAACATTTAATTTCTCGTCAGGGTTAGGGTTTCAGCATATGCTTCAGTTAGGGATTTAGTTAGGGTTGGGATAAGATTGTAGGGTTAGGATATCGAATAGTCATTCAGAGCCACCTAGAGGATGTGTTTAAAAAGTCACGTGACAGTCGAGTGTAGAGTGATTAAGATCATCATCCCATCGAAACCAAACTAGAGATTCCCACCAAAATTCCTCATCTTTCTTCCACCGCGTAATTAGTAATACATTTCAGGCTTTTTGAATAGTGCCACATGCTGTAAAACGAAAAAAACTATTTCAACGTTTAGTCGGTACTAATCTGATGGAAAATATCGAAAAAATACTTATTTTATTGTTTATGTGCAAATAGAGTATAAAGGTAAACCGTACGATTCTGAATTAACAAACTCTACCACAGCCTCACAGACTACTATTGTATTTTAACTTTTACGACTACCAGAAAAAGGAAACTTATTTAAGAAAAATTATAGTTCATCTTTTCAATAATAAATTAAAGTATACCACATCTTCTAGATAATTAATGCTCAAATTAAAGCGTATTAAATTAGCCACACATTTTGTACATCTCCAAATCTTGTATAGACATCAATTCACTGTGAGGCTATACGGGCAAAATTTATAAACAAAAAATTCCACAGTAAGTCACAATATTGTAGAATGCAGACTGTAGTTGATCATGATATTTTATAAGGGAAGATCAATATTCTTTCGGTATCAAAAGTTTCAATGGTCAGAATATCGACCTAAAACGTCCAACAAATCTCACTTTTCAACATGCACAATCCTGGAGAACGTTCCAGAAAATGTCCTAGAAACAATTCTAGAATCCAGTAGGTGTCATCTGAAAGTCTAAATCAAAACTCCGGTGTAGTTAGAGTCACGGAGGTGGGATAATTGTGTTCCCATTTCCAGCTAGAGTAGACTCTCCTATTACTTCCAGTACTGCCTGAAACAACTGGTATTTTTTGTTTCTGCGGATGTAACAAACAATATATAGTATTTACAACTTTACAAATTCAATTGTGTTTCTTTATTAGTGGGAAAAGAGATTTTTCAATCTTAAATTATAACACTTTCTTGTCCAATTTAAATCGAACAGTTTAAACATCAGCATGAAACTGTATTTATTTTACTCCTAAATAATTTAATCAATGAAGCCCACGAACCTGAGTGTCCAAATTATCAGGACCATTAGCAGCAGCGTTCTCAGGCTTATCCCCCACTCCACTATCAGTGGGTAGAAGCGGGGTAGCTAGAGGACTAGAGCCCACTACTGCATCTCTGTAACTGGGGACTACGCCCGGGATGTTCAGTCTGCAAGGCAGGTCCTCTACCTGATAGGTGGAATGTTGAGGGTGAGTTAGGAATGTTGGATTAAGATTATATTTCTACACATTAAGATAACAGTGAAAAGTTGCAGTTGAGGAGAACGGATAAGAGGGATCCCTGCTAAACATGTGGTCTATTAAGAGATGAGGGAAATCATAAGTAACCTCAGTTACTGCACCCCTATATAAAGCAAACCCCGGAATCAGGGTTTACTGTATAATATCGGGGTTTTACTGTAACTAGGAGTTTTACTGTAACTAGGAGTTTTACTGTAACTAGGGGTTATACTGTAACTAGGGGTTATACAGTAACTAGGGGTTTTACTGTAACTAGGGGTTTCACTGTAACTAGGGGTTTTACTTTTATCTATTATAATTATATAATAGAGAAACTAACGGTGAGAATGTTGTCAGAGCTAAGTTCTTTAACAGGAACGTCATCATTACTCTCATCTTCAGTAACAGGTAGTTCTACAATGTCCGACATGTCTCCTCCGTCACTGAACAGCTCTCCTGGGTCAGTAGTTATATTATGAAACATTGCTCTGGTGACGTCACGTGGTGATTGGTGACGTCACGTGGTGCTTGATGACGTAACGTGAATAATGGCTTTATTTTATAAAGTACAACTCAATATAGTTAATTGGCAGGAACCCTGATGTCACAACCATGTCACAACCATGTCACAACCATGTCACAACCATGTCACAGTCATGTTACAACCATGTCACAACCATGTCACAACCATGACCGGGGGAGACTGTTAGGGGAGCTAACTTATGATGATAATTTCCTGAAATTATCTCTCTCTTGACTCACCTGTTTCACTAAATCTGGGTTGTACAGGTTCGTCTTCCTCGACTATCATCAACTCCTCCTCTTCATCGTCCTCCTCGTCCTGTGACACGTGTTAACTTAATAATCATAATACATATTACAATAACTTTAGGTGAACTCTTTGTCAATCACTAGTATATATCCAGTCACGCGTAAAAACAAACAACTAACAATAAAATTTGCTTAAATTCTAGCAATATAATTTACCTGCGTGTTACTAACTGCGCACTCCACCTCGTTCCCAACAGTGTCAGAGTACTCCAGCTCAGGGTCGTCTGACTCGTCATATCCAACCCTGAAGAAGTGTGACGTCATAACAAAGTGTGATGTCATAAAGTGTGACGTCATAACAAAGTGTGATGTCATAAAGTGTGACGTCATAACAAAGTGTGATGTCATAAAGTGTGACGTCATAACAAAGTGTGATGTCATAAAGTGTGACGTCATATCAAAGTGTGATGTCATAACAAAGTGTGACGTCATAACAAAGTGTGCCGTCATAACAAAGTGTGACGTCATAACTAAGTGTGATGTCATAAAGTGTGACGTAATGACAAAGTGTGACGTAATAACTAAGTGTGACGTCATAACTAAGTGTGATGTCATAAAGTGTGACGTAATAACAAAGTGTGACGTCATAACTAAGTGTGATGTCATAAAGTGTGACGTAATAACAAAGTCCTGCTGAGTGGGGTGTGCACTAATCCGGTAGAAGCCAGGAACCTAGCCCGAATGTACTGCTGAGTGGGGGAGTGTACTAACCCGGTAGAAGCCAGGAACCTAGCCCGAATGTACTGCTGAGTGGGGGAGTGTACTAACCCGGTAGAAGCCAGGAACCTAGCCCGAATGTCCTGCTGAGTGGGGGTGTGTACTAACCCGGTAGAAGCCAGGAACCTAGCCCGAATGTAGTACTGAGTGGGGGAGTGTACTAACCCGGTAGAAGCCAGGAACCTAGCCCGAATGTACTGCTGAGTGGGGGAGTGTACTAACCCGGTAGAAGCCAGGAACCTAGCCCGAATGTACTGCTGAGTGGGGGAGTGTACTAACCCGGTAGAAGCCAGGAACCTAGCCCGAATGTCCTGCTGAGTGGGGGTGTGTACTAACCCGGTAGAAGCCAGGAACCTAGCCCGAATGTACTGCTGAGTGGGGGAGTGTACTAACCCGGTAGAAGCCAGGATCCTAGCCCGAATGTACTGCGGAGTGGGGGTGTGTACTAACCCGGTAGAAGCCAGGAACCTAGCCCGAATGTACTGCTGAGTGGGGGAGTGTACTAACCCGGTAGAAGCCAGAAACCTAGCCCGAATGTACTGCGGAGTGGGGGTGTGTACTAACCCGGTAGAAGCTAGGAACCTAGCCCGAATGTAGTACTGAGTGGGGGAGTGTACTAACCCGGTAGAAGCCAGGAACCTAGCCCGAATGTCCTGCTGAGTGGGGGAGTGTACTAACCCGGTAGAAGCCAGGAACCTAGCCCGAATGTCCTGCGGAGTGGGGGTGTGTCCGTTCTCCAGCACCAGCTCTTCCTCGTCTCCTGATTCCTCCTCAACACTCTCCTCATCCTCGTCTACTATAATGTGAGATGCGTTCACGTCTTGGAACAATACCTGGACAAAAATATGCTAAATTTTCAGTTGTTTTCCGTGCTTATAGAATAGGTTGGCTCCTCGTAAGTGTAAGTTTTGCAATATCTTATCGAACTAAATATCTAACCTCACTGAGATCCACAATGTAATATCTTATCGGACTAAACATCTAACCTCACTGAGATCCACAATGTAATATCTTATCGGACCTAAATATCTAACCTCACTGAGATCCACAATGTAATATATTATCGGACTAAACATCTAACCTCACTGAGATCCACAATGTAATATCTTATCGAACTAAACATCTAACCTCACTGAGATCCACAATGTAATATCTTATCGGACTAAATATCTAACCTCACTGAGATCCACAATGTAATATCTTATCGGACTAAATATCTAACCTCACTGAGATCCACAATGTAATATCTTATCGGACTAAATATCTAACCTCACTGAGATCCACAATGTAATATCTTATCGGACCTAAATATCTAACCTCACTGAGATCCACAATGTAATATCTTATCGGACTAAACATCTAACCTCACTGAGATCCACAATGTAATATCTTATCGAACTAAACATCTAACCTCACTGAGATCCACAATGTAATATCTTATCGGACTAAACATCTAACCTCACTGAGATCCACAATGTAATATCTTATCGGACTAAATATCTAACCTCACTGAGATCCACAATGTAATATCTTATCGGACTAAATATCTAACCTCACTGAGATCCACAATGTAATATCTTATCGGACTAAACATCTAACCTCACTGAGATCCACAATGTAATATCTTATCGGACTAAATATCTAACCTCACTGAGATCCACAATGTAATATCTTATCGGACTAAACATCTAACCTCACTGAGATCCACAATGTAATATCTTATCGGACTAAATATCTAACCTCACTGAGATCCACAGTGTAATATCTTATCGGACTAAACATCTAACCTCACTGAGATCCACAATGTAATATCTTATCGGACTAAACATCTAACCTCACTGAGATCCACAATGTAATATCTTATCGGACCTAAATATCTAACCTCGCTGAGATCCACAATGTAATATCTTATCGAACTAAACATCTAACCTCACTGAGATCCACAATGTAATATCTTATCGGACTAAACATCTAACCTCACTGAGATCCACAATGTAATATCTTATCGGACTAAATATCTAACCTCACTGAGATCCACAATGTAATATCTTATCGACTAAACATCTAACCTCACTGAGATCCACAATGTAATATCTTATCGGACTAAACATCTAACCTCACTGAGATCCACAATGTAATATCTTATCGGACTAAATATCTAACCTCACTGAGATCCACAATGTAATATCTTATCGGACTAAACATCTAACCTCACTGAGATCCACAATGTAATATCTTATCGGACTAAACATCTAACCTCACTGAGATCCACAATGTAATATCTTATCGAACTAAATATCTAACCTCACTGAGATCCACAATGTAATATCTTATCGGACTAAATATCTAACCTCACTGAGATCCACAGTGTAATATCTTATCGGACTAAACATCTAACCTCACTGAGATCCACAATGTAATATCTTATCGGACTAAATATCTAACCTCACTGAGATCCACAGTGTAATATCTTATCGGACTAAATATCTAACCTCACTGAGATCCACAGTGTAATATCTTATCGGACTAAACATCTAACCTCACTGAGATCCACAATGTAATATCTTATCGGACTAAATATCTAACCTCACTGAGATCCACAATGTAATATCTTATCGACTAAATATCTAACCTCACTGAGATCCACAATGTAATATCTTATCGGACTAAATATCTAACCTCACTGAGATCCACAATGTAATATCTTATCGGACTAAATATCTAACCTCACTGAGATCCACAATGTAATATCTTATCGGACTAAATATCTAACCTCACTGAGATCCACAATGTAATATCTTATCGGACTAAACATCTAACCTCACTGAGATCCACAGTGTAATATCTTATCGGACTAAACATCTAACCTCACTGAGATCCACAATGTAATATCTTATCGACTAAACATCTAACCTCACTGAGATCCACAATGTAATATCTTATCGGACTAAATATCTAACCTCACTGAGATCCACAATGTAATATCTTATCGGACTAAACATCTAACCTCACTGAGATCCACAATGTAATATCTTATCGGACTAAATATCTAACCTCACTGAGATCCACAGTGTAATATCTTATCGGACTAAACATCTAACCTCACTGAGATCCACAATGTAATATATTATCGGACTAAACATCTAACCTCACTGAGATCCACAATGTAATATCTTATCGGACTAAATATCTAACCTCACTGAGATCCACAATGTAATATCTTATCGGACTAAACATCTAACCTCACTGAGATCCACAATGTAATATATTATCGGACTAAATATCTAACCTCACTGAGATCCACAGTGTAATATCTTATCGGACTAAATATCTAACCTCACTGAGATCCACAATGTAATATCTTATCGGACTAAACATCTAACCTCACTGAGATCCACAATGTAATATCTTATCGAACTAAACATCTAACCTCACTGAGATCCACAATGTAATATCTTATCGGACTAAATATCTAACCTCACTGAGATCCACAATGTAATATCTTATCGAACTAAATATCTAACCTCACTGAGATCCACAATGTAATATCTTATCGGACTAAACATCTAACCTCACTGAGATCCACAATGTAATATCTTATCGGACTAAACATCTAACCTCACTGAGATCCACAATGTAATATCTTATCGGACCTAAATATCTAACCTCACTGAGATCCACAGTGTAATATCTTATCGGACTAAACATCTAACCTCACTGAGATCCACAATGTAATATCTTATCGGACTAAATATCTAACCTCACTGAGATCCACAATGTAATATCTTATCGGACTAAATATCTAACCTCACTGAGATCCACAGTGTAATATCTTATCGGACTAAACATCTAACCTCACTGAGATCCACAATGTAATATCTTATCGGACTAAATATCTAACCTCACTGAGATCCACAGTGTAATATCTTATCGGACTAAACATCTAACCTCACTGAGATCCACAGTGTAATATCTTATCGGACTAAACATCTAACCTCACTGAGATCCACAATGTAATATTTTATCGGACTAAATATCTAACCTCACTGAGATCCACAATGTAATATCTTATCGGACTAAACATCTAACCTCACTGAGATCCACAGTGTAATATCTTATCGGACTAAACATCTAACCTCACTGAGATCCACAATGTAATATCTTATCGGACTAAATATCTAACCTCACTGAGATCCACAGTGTAATATCTTATCGGACTAAACATCTAACCTCACTGAGATCCACAATGTAATATCTTATCGGACTAAATATCTAACCTCACTGAGATCCACAATGTAATATCTTATCGGACTAAACATCTAACCTCACTGAGATCCACAATGTAATATCTTATCGGACCTAAATATCTAACCTCACTGAGATCCACAGTGTAATATCTTATCGGACTAAACATCTAACCTCACTGAGATCCACAATGTAATATCTTATCGGACTAAATATCTAACCTCACTGAGATCCACAATGTAATATCTTATCGGACTAAATATCTAACCTCACTGAGATCCACAATGTAATATCTTATCGGACTAAATATCTAACCTCACTGAGATCCACAGTGTAATATCTTATCGGACTAAATATCTAACCTCACTGAGATCCACAATGTAATATCTTATCGGACTAAACATCTAACCTCACTGAGATCCACAATGTAATATCTTATCGAACTAAACATCTAACCTCACTGAGATCCACAATGTAATATCTTATCGGACTAAATATCTAACCTCACTGAGATCCACAATGTAATATCTTATCGAACTAAACATCTAACCTCACTGAGATTCACAGTGTAATATCTTATCGGACCTAAATATCTAACCTCACTGAGATTCACAGTGTAATATCTTATCGGACCTAAACATCTAACCTCACTGAGATCCACAATGTAATATCTTATCGAACTAAACATCTAACCTCACTGAGATCCACAATGTAATATCTTATCGGACTAAACATCTAACCTCACTGAGATCCACAATGTAATATCTTATCGGACCTAAATATCTAACCTCACTGAGATCCACAATGTAATATCTTATCGGACTAAACATCTAACCTCAAGCTCACTGAGATCCACAATGTAATATCTTATCGAACTAAATATCTAACCTCACTGAGATCCACAGTGTAATATCTTATCGGACTAAATATCTAACCTCACTGAGATCCACAATGTAATATCTTATCGGACTAAATATCTAACCTCACTGAGATCCACAATGTAATATCTTATCGAACTAAACATCTAACCTCACTGAGATCCACAATGTAATATCTTATCGAACTAAACATCTAACCTCACTGAGATCCACAATGTAATATCTTATCGAACTAAACATCTAACCTCACTGAGATCCACAATGTAATATCTTATCGGACCTAAATATCTAACCTCACTGAGATCCACAATGTAATATCTTATCGAACTAAATATCTAACCTCAATGAGATCCACAATGTAATATCTTATCGGACTAAATATCTAACCTCACTGAGATCCACAATGTAATATCTTATCGGACTAAACATCTAACCTCACTGAGATCCACAATGTAATATCTTATCGGACCTAAAGATCTAACCTCACTGAGATCCACAATGTAATATCTTATCGAACTAAACATCTAACCTCACTGAGATCCACAGTGTAATATCTTATCGGACTAAATATCTAACCTCACTGAGATCCACAATGTAATATCTTATCGGACTAAATATCTAACCTCACTGAGATCCACAATGTAATATCTTATCGGACTAAATATCTAACCTCACTGAGATCCACAATGTAATATCTTATCGGACTAAATATCTAACCTCACTGAGATCCACAATGTAATATCTTATCGAACTAAACATCTAACCTCACTGAGATCCACAATGTAATATCTTATCGAACTAAACATCTAACCTCACTGAGATCCACAGTGTAATATCTTATCGGACTAAATATCTAACCTCACTGAGATCCACAATGTAATATCTTATCGGACTAAATATCTAACCTCACTGAGATCCACAATGTAATATCTTATCGGACTAAATATCTAACCTCACTGAGATCCACAATGTAATATCTTATCGAACTAAACATCTAACCTCACTGAGATCCACAATGTAATATCTTATCGGACTAAATATCTAACCTCACTGAGATCCACAGTGTGATATCTTATCGAACTAAATATCTAACCTCACTGAGATCCACAATGTAATATCTTATCGAACTAAATATCTAACCTCACTGAGATCCACAATGTAATATCTTATCGGACTAAATATCTAACCTCACTGAGATCCACAATGTAATATCTTATCGAACTAAATATCTAACCTCACTGAGATCCACAATGTAATATCTTATCGAACTAAATATCTAACCTCACTGAGATCCACAATGTAATATCTTATCGGACTAAATATCTAACCTCACTGAGATCCACAATGTAATATCTTATCGGACTAAATATCTAACCTCACTGAGATCCACAATGTAATATCTTATCGGACTAAATATCTAACCTCACTGAGATCCACAATGATGTTGTGCGCACAGTCCTGTACACTGTCTCCCTCATACTTCTTCATGGCACCCGTCAGATTACTGGCAAAGTTCTCCGAGATCTGTGAAATCAGTGTTACAGATAAGGAAATAACAGATAAGAAATCAGTGTTATAGATAATAACGGACCTGATCGTTATCAAAGACAGAAGTCTACAGTCTACACGTTATGACGTCACTAAGTCTACATGCTATGACATGACGTCACTAAATAATAACGGACCTGATCGTTATCAAAGACAGAAGCAGTGGATCTGATGATGGTAGCGGCTATGTTGAGTTGAATAGCAGATGATAGGGGTTCGGACATGTGGTCCCGCAGGAGCGGGATAACTTGGATCATAACACGCTTCACCTCCTGTTCCAGGAGCGAGAAGGACGATTCTGAGGGAGCAGAGTTTGTTAGGGGTGAACATGTTACAAGTTATGACGTCACTAAGTCTACAGTCTACACGTTATGACGTCACTAAGTCTACAAGTTATGACGTTACAAAGTTTACAATCGATGACGTCACTAATTCTACAAGTTATGATGTCACTAAGTCTGCAAGTTATGACGTCACTAAGTCTACATATTATGACGTCACAAAGTCTACAAGTTATGACGTCACTAAGTCTACAAGTTATGACGTCATTAAGCCTACAAGTTATGACGTCACTAAGTCTACATGTTATGACGTCACAAAGTCTACAAGTTATGACGTCACTAAGTCTACAAGTTATGACGTCATTAAGCCTACAAGTTATGACGTCACTAAGTCTACATGTTATGACGTCACTAAGTCTACATGTTATGACGTCACTAAGTCTACAAGTTATGACGTCACTAAGCCTACAAGTTATGACGTCACTTCAAACCTATCTCGGATGTATCCTCGCACTCGCTAGTGTTATCAGCAGCACTACTACTCTCACTTCGTCTCACTCCGTACTTTGATATCACCTCCTGCACCACGTCTTCTAGTCGCTCTGAAAATATTTTCTTGTGTTTAAAACTTCCCCTGCACTGATTCGTTTAAAATATTATTGTTATCGTTTGGGAGCGGGTAGTCAACATGATATTACGTTTCGCGATAAACTGCTATATAAACTGCTATATTACGTTGCTTTGGGATTTTCTAGATAAGAAAAAATTAACAGGAAGTTAAACATTTCGCGATAAATCAAAAAATATCATCTGAAAAGAGGAACTGAACTAAGTACTAAAAACAGTCGACTAAGTGCTAAAAACAGTGAACTAAGTGACAGTAAACTAAATGACACTAATTCACACCAAATAAGTGCTAAGTGACACTAAGTACTAAGAACTAAGAACTAAGTACTAAGTACTAAGAACTAAGTACTAAGTACTAAGTACTGAGTACTAAGTGCTAAGTGACACTAATTACTAAGTACTAAGAACTAAGTACGGCGCACTAAGTAATTACTCACTCTCCATCTCCTCCCTCCTCCTCACATCTGCCAGGTCACTACTCAGGTTAATAGCCGTGCTACCCAGACTCTCCGAAGCAAAGGGGTGGGAGTTGCTGGTGGATACAGAGCTGAGGTTCTCCACACTCTCCAGGTAGTCGTACTCTGCGTCTTTTATCTTACTGGCTTCTCTCTCGTACTCCTGTCAGTAAACGTCAGGTTAGGTGAGGTTAAGAGTGAGGTTAGGTGAGGTTAGGTGAGGTTAGGTGAGGTTAGGTGAGGTTAGGTGAGGGATATAATGAGAGAGAGAGAGAAAAATAGCTAACGAGGTTGAAGAAGTATGAGTAAATTAGTTTGACAGATGAGGAAATGAGGTTGAAACGTTGGAGATAACTTCAAACATAGCACAGAAGCGAGAATTACACAAAATGTAGATCACAATCATACAAAAAGGTTTTCAAGATGGCGACAATCAAGTCGCAAAATAGACTGGGATGAATGATCATATTATTATGTGTTGGTCACAATTTAAGCTCGATTGAGATAAAATATACACGTTCCACTGTTCGAGCACCCTAAAGTTTCATAACCTATAGATCTATTTGGTTCTTTAAGGGGAAAGTTTCAAAACCTATAGATCAAACGTGACATGTTACCATGGTTACCTATAGATCTATTTGGCATGCTACCATGGTTACCTATAGATCTATTTGGCATGCTACCATGGTTACCTATAGATCTATTTGGTTCTTTAAGGGGAAAGTGATCGTTTTTTTAGAGCTTACATCTCACTGATAGATTTTAGTTTTTCTATAACCATCAAACTTGGCATGTTACCATGGTTACCACGAGTAATTGGAATTCAATCTCATAGTATTGGTTGGTTAACAAGTGCTCGAAAAGGGAACTAATTACAATTACCCAGCTCAATTTGCGTACATTATCCACGTCACTGATGATAGAGTTGTTGGAGGGTGTGGCCTCGCTCGCTGAGAACAAGCTCCAGTTGTTCTCTTTTAGCCACGTCCTATTTGGGGACAATGTGAATGTTTTTATTATTACTAGATTTATATTTGACACTTTAGTATGAGCATATTTTTGTTTGATGATAAAGTTCTAGTACTGATACACAGCTTATATTCGCAGAAATTAAGAGAGTGCTTCTTTCCTGTTTCAGGATAGTAAACAGATATAATATAATCTTGAAACTTTCTTTTGTGAAACTTTAATCCTTACGGGTATCGGCCTTACAAAATGACAGGCCTCACAAAATGACAGCCCACATAGACCATGCTGTAGCTTAGGTTCCCTATACATTGAACCCTATTCCTTTTACTGTATGAAAGAAAATGCATTAATTAACACTTCCCAAGGAATGATAATGACATAGAATCTATATTTCTTACATAAATATGGACGTTTTTGCTGTTCAGTCATTGCCCCGCCTAACTGTTACCCAGAATGGAGACCAAAGTTTTGAATTTAACCCCAGAAAACCAGGTACTACCATGACTTATGTCAATCAAAGACTACTCTGGTCAAATAAAAAAACTGATTTAGTGACTTTGGTAGAGGAAATGACAAAAAAATGACCTAGCCTCACAAAATGACAGTGTTATGCCTCACAAAATGACAGTTTTATTTTATGATACAAAGATGGCATATTTATATTGGATGCCCCTTGCCTAATTATTGGTATTCTTAAACCCAGTAAGCTCATGATGAGCCTAAATGTGTTTGTTCGATCATCAATTTTGATCAAAATGCCTCACAAAATGACACCGAAAAGCCTTACAAAATGACAATGTTTCAGATTGAATTATTTTCATCATCTAAAATGGATCAGAGACAGTCAATACAAGAAGGAGTTAAAAATAATCATAATCTGACAGTTAACAATCAAGTAGCATTAAAAAAGTGCAGTTCTGATATCAAAACTTTGATTTCAAACTCTTTGATTTCAAACTCTTTGATTTCAAACTCTGATTTCAAAACTCAACGAAATAAAGCTTCTATTTTGTGAAAGCAGAGAGTAATTACAACTCCTAAAACATGTCAAACGTTAACTAAACACTGAAAAGTGATCTATCCAGTCATAGAAAATATCAAATATAACCAAATACTGTGTTCAAGTATGAAAACAAAAAATGATTTTTACGCCTCACAAAATGACATTTTTTAAATTTTTTCAAAGTATAAAAAATGTTCCTTTTTAAATATATTTTGGTAAAAACAGAACTGGTATAATATAAACAACATATATATCTAACAGTAAGACACGTGAAAGAATAATGAAACTTTTTCCCAAATCGGATTTGAAGTGATGCCGTTTTGGGTTGTCATTTTGTAAGGCACTATCTCACGCGAAATTGCCCAACTTTTTTTAATCATCCTTTTTCCTGTAAAAGCTATTCTAATCTTCAATCTATTATATTTATCTAACTGTCCTAGGTGAAATCAAATTTCTATAGGCTGCTGTTAAAAATGACAAACCGTGACGAAATTGTCATTTTGTAAGGCATGTTTTTTTGGAAGATTTCAAAGATGACAATTTTTATCGCAAAATTTACGGTTTTTCAATCAAATCAACCCCCGGGAAGAAAAATATACCTGTTGAACTACCTATCTGGATAATAAAACATGAACAAAACTCATTTTTGTGCATTTCAGAGCCATCTCCTTTTTCGTGTCATTTTGTAAGGCCGATACCCGTACTGTTATAATAATGTTCACATAATTAAATAAAACTCACGCAGCAGCAGAGCCAGGGTTCTTCTTGTCACTTTGTCCTTCTTGCTGGCTGTTGTTGAGGAAACTACCCCGCAAGTCACGCAACATGTACAAGTGTCGCTGTCTCAGATAGTCGTTCTCAAGACCTGTAATACACAGTAACCATGGTAACTTTACAAGTGACACTACCTAGTAACCATGGTTTGGGTTCTCAAGACCTGTAATACACAGTAACCATGGTAACTGTACAAGTGACACTACCTAATAAACATGGTTTGGGTTCTCAAGACCTGTAATACACAGTAACCATGGTAACTGTACAAGGGACACTACCTAATAAACATGGTTTGGGTTCTCAAGACCTGTAATACACAGTAACCATGGTAACTGTACAAGTGACACTACCTAGTAACCATGGTTTGGGTTCTCAAGACCTGTAATACACAGTAACCATGGTAACTTTACAAGTGACACTACCTAGTAACCATGGTTTGGGTTCTCAAGACCTGTAATACACAGTAACCATGGTAACTTTACAAGTGACACTACCTAGTAAACATGGTTTGGGTTCTCAAGACCTGTAATACACAGTAACCATGGTAACTGTACAAGGGACACTACCTAGTAACCATGGTTTGGGTTCTCAAGACCTGTAATACACAGTAACCATGGTAACTGTACAAGTGACACTACCTAGTAACCATGGTTTGGGTTCTCAAGACCTGTAATACACAGTAACCATGGTAACTGTACAAGTGACACTACCTAGTAACCATGGTTTGGGTTCTCAAGACCTGTAATACACAGTAACCATGGTAACTGTACAAGTGACACTACCTAGTAAACATGGTTTGGGTTCTCAAGACCTGTAATACACAGTAACCATGGTAACTGTACAAGGGACACTACCTAGTAACCATGGTTTGGGTTCTCAAGACCTGTAATACACAGTAACCATGGTAACTGTACAAGGGACACTACCTAGTAAACATGGTTTGGGTTCTCAAGACCTGTAATACACAGTAACCATGGTAACTGTACAAGTGACACTACCTAGTAAACATGGTTTGGGTTCTCAAGACCTGTAATACACAGTAACCATGGTAACTTTACAAGTGACACTACCTAGTAACCATGGTTTGGGTTCTCAAGACCTGTAATACACAGTAACCATGGTAACTTTACAAGTGACACTACCTAGTAACCATGGTAACTGTACAAGTGACACTACCTAGTAAACATGGTTTGGGTTCTCAAGACCTGTAATACACAGTAACCATGGTAACTGTGCAAGTGACACTACCTAGTAACCATGGTTTGGGTTCTCAAGACCTGTAATACACAGTAACCATGGTAACTGTACAAGTGACACTACCTAGTAACCATGGTAACTGTGCAAGTGACACTACCTAGTAACCATGGTTTGGGTTCTCAAGACCTGTAATACACAGTAACCATGGTAACTGTACAAGTGACACTACCTAGTAACCATGGTAACTTTACAAGTGACACTACCTAGTAACCATGGTAACTTTACAAGTGACACTACCTAGTAACCATGGTTTGGGTTCTCAAGACCTGTAATACACAGTAACCATGGTAACTTTACACTACCTAGCTCCCCATTGCATCTGGTCCGAGTCTGTTAGCACAGATCACCTGGGAGTGGTAATCAGTGCTGTATCACTGGGGGGTCGGTTGCTGTGGTGGCGAGAGGATGCAATTGCTGGGTGGTGCTCGGTGATGCTGTCTTGTGGCAGGGTCATCTGTGTGTCACTCACGGTTCACCATTTTGTCCAAGTCTTGGTTGCCCTGTGTAATCGAGCATTTGCTTGGTGATCTTGTCTCTGACATGATCACTTACGGTTTAATTTTGATTCCCTATGGGCTTCAGAAGCTCTTCATGCTTTAATTTAACGTATCGAACCTAACCACCAGCTTGCTGGTGTCTGGACGGAGCGCTAACTTCTTGATGTCGGTGCTGCCTCTGGATCGGGTGCGAAGGTCCGGCAAACCATCCACCTTAAATCAAACCGCTACAGAAACGTCTACAGTGTCATTCAATAGTATTATACGTGGAGGCGCAGGTGGAGTGATGACGGCGACTAGGCAAAGCCGAAAGGACCCTAGTAGCTTGATGTCTGTTTGCAACTCCCGTAAGAGCCGACGTAAACACTGTAAATACAGAATTCCTTCATCAGATTTGTCATTTGTAAACAGACAGTCAAGTATGTCTAATCCTGTAAATATTGTAAAGAATCCTCTCTGTATCAGTACATGGAATGTTACTTCTCTTGTCAGTAATTCCAGTAAGATGTATCAATTAGGAAAAGGTGTTGATGATTATGGACTAGAGCTCCTTGGGGTAACTGAAACACATATGGCTGGATCAGGAACTCAGACTTTGAGCAATGGGGCTGTTTTGGTTTATTCTGGCAGGAGCGATGGAGTACGGAGAGAAGGAGTTGGTGTTGTTCTTTCCAAAAAGATGAAGAATACTCTCATATCATACACCCCTGTATCAGGACGGGTTATGACTGCCCGTTTACATAGCAAACACATCAACATTTGTGTTACAGTTGTGTATGCTCCAACTGAGGATGCAGAAATCAGTTTAAAAGACTCATTCTACAAGGAATTGAATGATGTTCAATCGGGACTACCTGCTCATGATATAAAAATAGTTTTAGGAGATTTTAATGCTCGTGTTGGAAGGGATACTGATGCTCACCCTGGTGTTATAGGAAAACACTCACATCACACAGAATCAAATGATAACGGAAAACGGATGCTAGATTTCTGTACTATGCACCAGCTGACGATTGGAGGCACACTCTTTGAACACAAGGATATCCACAAGACAACATGGAGATCCCCAAATGGTAACACCGTCACTCAAATTGACCATATGTGTATTTCGACGAGATGGAGCCATTCTTTGCTTGATGTCAGGAGCATGAGAGGAGCAGATATAAATACTACTCACTATCTGGTTAGAGGATATGTATCTATTAAACTTAAGTGTCCTCAGAAAAGAAAGAAGCGTGTAAGACAGCCTGCTTTAGAGCACCTGCGTGATAGATCTAAGAGCCAGGAATATAGTAACAGAATAGCTGAAGAGTACTATAACAACGATCAGGAGCATGGAAACTCTCCTTTAGAAGAACAGTGGCAAAATTTAAGAGATATAATAACTGATGTTTCATTTGAAGTTCTGGGTGAAAGGGGCCGGAAAAAGAGAACAGAACATCTCTCAAGGGATACTAAGAATCTCCTAAAAGAACGAGGGGAGATTAAAAAGAAACCCAGTACTGCTGAGAACCGTGCTAAGTACTCGCGGATTAACGGTCTTGTTAGGCAGAACTGTAAAAGAGATGATAATGCTTGGGCTGTTAGAATAGCTGAGGAATTAGAAGATGCTGCCAAGCAGGGTCAACAAAGAGATGTTTGGCAGAAAATAAAATCCCTAACAAACAAGAGAGTAAACAGATCTGCGGCAGTGCGGGATAAGAATGGGACGCTTATATCAGATCCCGAAGCTCAATCACATCGCTGGGCCGAATATTTTGAAGAACTCTTGACGCCAGCAGCAAATGCGGTGGATTTCTCTATATTGGATCAGGATGAAAAGTTACTTTCTTTTGAATACCTTAGTAATGATGATGAACCACCGTCCTTGTTTGAAATTGAGGAAGCTATCAAGAAGTTGAAGAACTACAAGAGTGCTGGAATTGATGAAATTTCAAATGAGCAGTTAAAGTACGGTTCTCCTGGACTTCTGCCTTGGTTAAAGGATCTTTTTGAAACTGTGTGGAAAAGTGAGGATATTCCTAATGATTGGAGAAAAGGAATAATCACCATCATCCCAAAGAAAGGGGACCTCACATATTGCAACAATAACAGAGGTATAACTTTACGCTCAACTATATCAAAGTTATTCCAAATTGTGTTGTTAAAAAGACTGAGTAATGGGCTTGAAAAATTACTCAGAGAGAATCAGTGTGGTTTCAGGAGAAACCGTTCTTGTATAGATCAGCTGTACTCACTTCATTGTATAATACACAATTGTATAGAATTCAACGTCCCTTTGTACATAAACTTTATTGATTTTAAAGCTGCTTTTGATTCAATCAATCGTGACTTTATTTGGAAAGCTTTTGAACATTATGGTCTTCCGACAAAATATATCAATGTTTTCAAAGCGTTCTTTAGAGCAACTGAAAGTGCAGTTCGTGTCAATGGAGAATTGACAAGATGGTTTGATGTCGATTCGGGGACTGGACAAGGTGATGTGCAAGGGCCCCCTATTTTCAATCTTGTACTTAACTGGGGATTAGAACTTGCAGAGAAGTTTAAGAATATATCCCGTGGTTTTACACTTCAGTACAGACAAAGTTCCAGACAACCGGAAAAATGTGTCATTGATCTTGACTATGCTGATGACATCGCAGGAATGGATGACACTGTTGAAGGACTGCAAGAAACTACGGACAATATTGCGAAATACTGTGGACTTGGGGGTTTAAAGATGAACGCAAAGAAAACAGAGATCATGGTCATTGGGAAAGATACATCGCAGCACCCACTCCCAGAGAATAGGACCATAGATATAACTGTCGATGGAAACTCTGCAAAGCAGGTCACTCAATTCACTTATTTGGGTGCCAAAATTACATCAGATGGCAAGATTGATAAAGAAATAAGGGTCAGGATTGGAAAAGCAACCGGAGCTTTTAACCAACTCAACAACATTTGGAAGAATAAGAACATAAGCATTAACAACAAAGTGCGAATCTACATCGCAGCTGTTCTTACCATTCTGACCTATGGATGTGAGATATGGAACACGACTCAAGTGCAGACAAGAAGATTGGAGTCTTTCCATCAGTACTGCTTAAGAAGAATCCTGAGAGTGAGGTGGTTCCATCGAGTAAGTAATGAGGATGTTTTAAGAAGGGCATCAATAACTGCCCTTGCTGACATAATAACAACAAAACGGCTGCGTTGGTTTGGACATGTCAGTAGAATGCCTGAAGATCGGTTGCCCAACTATTTACTTGAATGGAAACCCAAGCATGGGAAGAGATCAAGAGGCAGGCCTAGGAAGAGCTTAAATGATGTATTCAAACAATATCAATAATAAATAAATCAGGGGAGGTTTGAAGGATGCTGAGCAGAGATTGGATCGTAATGGACTCACGATTGATTGTATGAGAAGATTAGCTGCAGACCGAAAGGGATGGAGAAATGTTACCCGCCGAAGTTGTATAATACAAAGTAATGACGCAGTCGACGCAGACTAATCCTTTTGGATGGAGATCTCGCCATGTAACATGTAACTACCTAGTAACCATACTATCTGTACAAGTGACACTACCTAGTAACCATGGTAACTTTACAAGTGACACTACCTAGTAACCATGGTAACTTTACAAGTGACACTACTTAGTAAACATGGTTTGGGTTCTCAAGACCTGTAATACACAGTAACCATGGTAACTGTACAAGTGACACTACCTAGTAAACATGGTTTGGGTTCTCAAGACCTGTAATACACAGTGTGATTGCTTGCGGAGATGTGATGTATAGCTAGCCTGTAATACACAGTGTGTAGAAGAGGGTGAGTTGAAAATAATGTTTGGATTTTAAATGGCTCTAATTTCTGAGATGAAATTAAAAATCACTCATATTTTTTGCATATTTAGGTCATAAAAATATAGGAAAATTAGAATAATACAATAAGAATACTTAATAATTAATAATTTGCTCAACCTATCGTCCTTTATTAGTGAGTACATTACTTTATTGGTGAGTACATTACGGGCAAGTTGATAGAAACAAGGAGGTGTCTCAACCCGGGCAATTTCATGTTCCAATTATATTTATTATTAATTATGCATAAACGAATTAACAACTGATTAATAACTAATTAACAACTAATTAACCACTAATTAAAAACCAATTAACAACTAATTAACAACTAACCTGAGAGTTCTCTGACCAGTTCTATTAAGTAGTGAGGTCTAGTCTCGTTGGCAGATATGAGACTGGCAACCTGGAAGTATTAAAAATAAAAGTATTGTATAACCTGGAAGTATTAAAAATAAAAATCACGATTAAAAGTGGATTTGATTCAGCTCTGAAGCTCTTGAAATGGCACGTAGAACAAAAAATAATGTTTATATTTTGATCGTAAATCCCCAAAACCGTTTCCTCGCAAAAATAAACATAATATTATAAAAATAATTAAAAATAAATAAAGAAAAAGGTTTTGTTATTACCTCGCTATAAACAGTGTTCTGAAGTCCCTCAAAAGCAGATCTTCCTGTCCCCTTCTCCTCGGGGTCCCCCTCCACCTCATCTACTATCTGCAGTGAAACCGAGGAGTCTGTCGAGGACACGCTAATGACGTCATCATCTACTCTGATGACGTCATCCTCCTTTGGTGTGGTATTACTTGACTCTGAACATTGTGACGTTGTAAGATTGTGGAACGTGTTAAATAGTATTCAGTAATCTTCCTAATCAATTAACTAATTAACCCAATAGATTATATACAAATTAATTAACCCCTAATTAACCTACAAACCTGCTAATTTCTTGTATGCCTCGTGTTTCCTGGGTGTTGGGTATTGAGTGCTGATTGTGTCTCCAGATGTTTTTATCTGAGACAAGGAGAACGACACGTTCTTACTGTTCTTGTTCTGCTGGTTGTAAGGGGACATTAAGCAAAATAATAATAATAATAATTTAAATTAAATTAAAATAATAATAATTATAATTTAAATCAAACACATCTACCACGATTCAAGTACAGGCAGATTTTCTTATTTTTATGGGCCGTTTTGGTAAATTGGTACTTAGGCAATTTTATTATAAGTTCATTTTCATTGGAAAAATGATAAGCAGCCAAAACAAAATGAATTTAATTAATTTAATTAATTTAAGGGCACACAATGAAACAAGCAGGATGAATTAATTTTGTAAAATGTATCTACAGTTACCATGGTTACTAGACAGTATCACTAAACAGGTTTTATATACTATATCGAACTAAATAGGTATGGGAAAGAAAGAACCATGAAAATTATTTAAAATAACGACTATGCCAATAGCAAAATAAACGTGCGACTAATCCTATTAAACACTATAGGTTTATAAAAAGCTCAAAAATTAGACCAATTTAAAAAGAGAGCAGTTAATTAATCACCTCTCCATTTTTCTGCTTCTCACTTTTCTTTTCCTCTGCTCTCGTTACAAAAGGGGAGTTTGGGTCTGTTGGCGGCCTGGGAAAAAACAGGATTGTAAATTATAAATTATAAATTGAATATCATTTAAGATTTTGATTATTTTTTAGTTATTATTTTTAGATTTAGCATTTTTAGATTGTTGGGGGGGGGGGGGGGGGGGGCTGACCATATTAAAGTGTATCAAAATGCAATTTTGGGCATATGGTTTGAAGCTCATAACTCAGCCATTTTTTGACCAAACTGGATGTAAATTCATGTATATTAAAGTATATTAAAATGTAGGTTTTTTCCCGATTTAGGGCCGGGGATATACCCCCCCCCGCCCCATTGTTATATTTTTTATATTCGTATGTTGACGTAGTGACTGGTTTAGCTGGTCGCTATCAAATCCAAATCCAAGAGCCTTTTCCTTGTCGCAACAAACGGGATCAATAAAATTTACAAATATTGCCCAAGAAACATTACAACTATGCGACTTATAAATCATGTTCCGATCCAGATATTACATGAACTCTATCATATATTTAAATAATTTCTTATCCATTCACACAATTAGCTTTTTTAGTACGTAATCTACTAAGTTAGTAAGTACAGTTGAAATATTTAAAAGTTAGTCAACATAAGCCAGAAACATAGGACATTGACGGAAACGAGAAGAAGTAACAATCAGAATTTAGAGAAAATGTCCACTATGCAAATTCGAACTATCAATATGTTTATTTGGAATCATGCATAATTAGCATAATTAGAACATGGATTTAACAGAATTATAACATATTTGATTTTATCCAGTGAGACTTTACGTACCATGCAGAAAAAAGATCTGACCCTGCAATGATCCAGTTTATGACTTAGTATTTTTCATATTATATACTGTTTATTTCATTGCACATGCAATTGCAAATGTCTTACGTTTCGTAAAACGATGGTTCGTAAAAGGAAGGGAAAAATGGCCACCTGCTCCTACAAGGAAAGTATCAGGTAACCATGATGATATAAGATTTATAATGATGTAATTCCTTGGTAAAATAAGTTGAACTTTGTCAACGTTATTTTGTCAACTTTGTCAACAAAACTCAACAAAACTCAATAAAACTTAACAAAACTCAACAAAACACCAAATATTTTATCTTACCCGTGAGGACCAGTGTGATGGGAGGGGTCAGGGTAGTGGTACTGGTCAGGTTGGGATGGAGGGTACATGCCTCCAAAGTGGCCTCCTGCTCCCGGGCTGGCGCTGTACTCTGAACTGAGGAATTGGAATTTATGTTTTACATGGTCCGGTACTTTTAAGAAATTGTGGGAATTCAAGGCTATTTGAAGATCTTAAAAAATCAAAGATTTACTGAAAAACAAGGGTTCTTCTTTTAAACTTTATCCCCTGTACTAGCTAATAAACTTACTGTGGAGTAAATTCCCTGGGATGATGGTAAGGATAATAGTAAGACGGATGTGGAGGAGGAGGAGGAGGAGGAGGCATATAAGGATTGTAATGACTGTGCCATGGTCCCATGGGGTACTGCGGGAACGCTGACGGAGTGACCGGTTTCCGGAAGTTTCTGTGCGGATTAGGGGAGTAGGGTGTAGAGTATCCGGAGTATCCGGAGTAGTTAGAATAGGTTTTATCGGCGTAAGAACGCTCGTGGTACGCCCTACTCTTCTCGTTAGGAGTGCTAAACTCACTGTCGCCATGGTTACCAGCTCTGTCGCCATGGTTACCAGCTCTACGTTTGCCTGGTACCCCGTCCTGGAAGGCGTCCATACCGTACACTTCGTTTAGTTCTGAGTGAAGAGCGTCGTTTTCAACTGTCAGTTGTTCTATCCTCGCATATAGCTCTGGTTTACCATCAACATGGTCCTCTGTTGCTTGGCTGCGTCTGGGGAGAGAACAGAGTTAAAAAGTGTGGCTATCTAGACATGGGGTGGCTGTATCGTGATCAGCAGAAATCTGGTAGGATTCTAATCTGCCCCCCCCCCCCCCTGCAATCTACCTAGCTGGTTTATCTCCGAGTAACACATGAATAGTATGGCCCCCCTGTAACCTACCTAGCTGGTTTATCTCCGAGTTACACATGAATAGTATGGGTCCCCCCCCCCTGTAACCTACCTAGCTGTTTTATCTCCGAGTAACACATGAATAGTATGGGTCCCCCCCCTGTAACCTACCTAGCTGGTTTATCTCCGAGTAACACATGAATAGTATGGGTCCCCCCCCCCTGTAACCTACCTAGCTGGTTTATCTCCGAGTAACACATGAATAGTATGGCCCCCCTGTAACCTACCTAGCTGGTTTATCTCCGAGTTACACATGAATAGTATGGGTCCCCCCCCTGTAACCTACCTAGCTGGTTTATCTCCAAGTAACACATGAATAGTATGGGTCCCCCCCTGTAACCTACCTAGCTGGTTTATCTCCGAGTAACACATGAATAGTATGGGTCCTCTCTGCAAGCTGCTTACTGAGCTGTTTGCAGTGCTCTATCCAGTAGTTTGTCTCTATCTCGTACAGCAGTCTCGCATCACGTGCCTCCTTCGTGTCACCTGTACAGTTACCATGGTTACTAGGTAGTGTCACCTGTACAGTTACCATGGTTACTAGCTGGTAGTGTCACCTGTACAGTTACCATGGTTACTAGCTGGTAGTGTCGCCTGTACAGTTACCATGGTTACTAGCTGGTAGTGTCGCCTGTACAGTTACCATGGTTACTAGCTGGTAGTGTCACCTGTACAGTTACCATGGTTACTAGGTAGTGTCACTTGTACAGTTACCATGGTTACTAGCTGGTAGTGTCACCTGTACAGTCACCATGGTTACTAGCTGGTAGTGTTACCTGTACAGTTACCATGGTTACTAGGTGGTGTCACCTGTACAGTTACCATGGTTACTAGGTTGTGTCACTTGTACTGTTACCATGGTTACTAGCTGGTAGTGTCACCTGTACAGTTACCATGGTTACTAGGTAGTGTCACTTAAACAGTTACCATGGTTACTAGCTGGTAGCGTCACCTGTACAGTAACCATGGTTACTAGCTGGTAGTGTCACCTGTACAGTTACCATGGTTACTAGGTAGTGTCACCTGTACAGTTACCATGGTTACTAGGTAGTGTCACTTAAACAGTTACCATGGTTACTAGGTTGTGTCACTTAAACAGTTACCATGGTTACTAGGTAGTGTCACTTGTACAGTTACCATGGTTACTAGGTAGTGTCACCTGTACAGATACTATGGTTACTAGGTAGCGTCACCTGTACAGTTACCATGGTTACTAGGTTGTGTCACTTGTACTGTTACCATGGTTACTAGGTAGTGTCACCTGTACAGATACTATGGTTACTAGGTAGCGTCACCTGTACAGTTACCATGGTTACTAGGTTGTGTCACTTGTACAGTTACCATGGTTACTAGGTAGTGTCACCTGTACAGATACTATGGTTACAGGAGTATTACAGAAGGGATAAATTTAAAAAACAGAGTTGTCTGGTAACTGAAAATGAGTAGCTGAAGAGTATAAAGGTTGCAAAACATCTCCCAACATTCTCACCTTCCTTTTCCTCCTCACTATCAATAGTCTTGTCAGGATACTGTCCTCCCTCAATATCGTCCCTTTCTGCTGCCATCAGGTCAGCTGTCTCCACACTCCTGATGCTGCTGCCTCCCCAGGTAGCACGTGTTGTGAACCCGTCATTAGAGTCACCACTGGTAACAAAATCACATTATTACAGTTACAAAATCACATATTACAGTTACAAGATCACATATTACAGTTACAAGATGGAATATTACAGTAACAGGATCACATATTACAGTAACAAGATCACATATTACAGTAACAAGATCACATATTACAGTTACAAGATGTAATATTACAGTTACAAGATGGAATATTGCAGTCACAAGATGGAATATTATACTCAAATATAATTAATTTACAAATTTAGTAATGAACGGTATTTATACATATTATTAAAAATAAGAACGAGTTGGTATAGCAACTAGTAGCTAAATAGCATTAACCAATCAAAAGTCAAAACCCAGAATCAGTGTCAAGTAATTAGCCTCACCTCCCAAACTTAAATAATCCTTAGTCAGTCACGTCTAGGAAGCCGCAAGAAATCGGGGTAGATTTTCATCTTAAAAAACACTCAGTAAAAATACTACAAGTAAATTAATACAATAATAATTTCTACTTACTCGTATTTGGGTTCACTCTTCTTCAGCCTGTCCAGTTGAGCGGCCTGTTTCTCACGGAGACTTTCCCACAGCAGTTCCCGGTCACACTCTGGCACAACTCTAGATCCTTCTATTCCATTAGTCTGGGGTACATTATATGTTAGCTAGTTATATGTTAGTTCCCGGTCACACTCTGGCACAACTCTAGATCCGTCTATTCCATTAGTCTGGGGTACATTATATGTTAGCTAGTTATATGTTAGTTCCCGGTCACACTCTGGCACAACTCTAGATCCTTCTATTCCATTAGTCTGGGGTACATTGTATGTTAGCTAGTTATATGTTAGTTCCCGGTCACACTCTGGCACAACTCTAGATCCTTCTATTCCATTAGTCTGGGGTACATTGTATGTTAGCTAGTTATATGTTAGTTCCCGGTCACACTCTGACACAACTCTAGATCCTTCTATTCCATTAGTCTGGGGTACATTATATGTTAGCTAGTTATATGTTAGTTCCCGGTCACACTCTGGCACAACTCTAGATCCTTCTATTCCATTAGTCTGGGGTACATTATATGTTAGCTAGTTATATGTTAGTTCCCGGTCACACTCTGGCACAACTCTAGATCCTTCTATTCCATTAGTCTGGGGTACATTATATGTTAGCTAGGTTGTGAGTAACTTGGTAAGACTTGTCCGTTATGAATGTTGTTGTCGAATCGTACAGTTTACTGCGTGGGATGAACGTGAACAAAATAACACGTCTGATGACACCAGCATTAATAACCAACCTGTTCCATATTTGAAAGTAATTTCTGCTGATCTCTGAGCTGCTTTAGTTCATTCTGGACAGTTTCCAACTCAAGTTTTCTCCTAAGTAAAGCACTCAATCTCTCATCAGTTGACGTATTCTGTTCTTCAATTTCTTCGCTTTCTTCAGCAATACTTTCATCATCTTCTTCGGCCGATTCCTGTAATATGATCGCAGGGTGTAACGATCTCGATGGTTTACCGCCAAATCTGCGCGCGATTTTAGTGCCCCGATATTACACTCAATGATCACTACTATAAACTTTTTCCAAATAAACAAAATTAGGCGTGCGCGCGTTACATTACAATTAGAAAATCTTTCAGTTGAACTAAGTTCATCTAACACAAATTCCGAATGACTTGCAGTCTGTGGGAAGTACATTCCAAATTTTGATACAATCACATTGACATGTCAAATTAAACTTGCTATTACCACCCTTAACAAGAAATGCGGCCGCTTTTCTTTTGTGGATGGCCGCTCAATTTCCCGATCCGTGATGGGGTATTTTATCATATTCCATACCACCTGGGGACCCCAGTCTTGGCTGTTTATAAGCATGCAGATATGGCGGAATGACAGGCCGAGCGCCGCCCAGTTGATATAATTCCATATTGAATTTGAAAATAGTGTATATTTCTATGTAACCATATACCGTATGTTTATTGTTTATGCAACTTGACACGGATCTGTGCAAAATAGTAATACTAACTCAAAATAATAATACTATGCTATTAGCGGGATGCGTGCATGGTTAAATTAACAATGTACTTGAACATTTCAACACCGCGCGCCGACAATTGTTTAATTCAGATGATCGCGCAAAATAACTTTGCGCAGGCAGACACGTGGGCGACACGTACGCTCCCAGGCACGGTCGGTGGTCGCACGCAGGTACGGACGAAAGCTAACATATACAAAAAAAACCTCGTTCGCTAACCCTTGTCCTTGACTCTTTTGTGCCTTCGGCACTTTGAGTCATGGATCGGGAAAAAATGAACTTATAGTTGTTTACCTGATCTTTTGGGACTATAAGACTAATTTCATTTAGAACCTCTGCAGGAATACCTTGGCCGCCAGCTCGAGCCTGAAATTTAGAGTAAATTAGTAATCAAGTTAGTAAATAAACTTTTCAGAAGAATTTATTCGATCGTTTTATCGTAATTATACGATTATTTTTTATTTATTTTCTTAAATTATTTGTTTCACAGTAGTGTTGAAAGTAAGAAAAATCAATCTAAATGTTTCAACACATTAAAATTAACTTATTACTTTAATATAGACTATTCCCTACTATACACGGAGCAAGTAAAACTATTTATCTTGATATCTTTACTGCTTAAAAACATGCGTAGTCTCGGACCTTACCCTATAGCTTCAATAAAATAAGCCCCCACAAATTGATCTCAAAGACCGGAAATAGAGGCATGCACATTTTACCTCTTTAACTTTTGAAGCGAGCATGTGTAAGTGTTTTAGTTTCTCCTGGGCTCTAAGTAGAGCTTGCAGTTTCTCCTCATCGCTAGCAGGTGCTGGAACTGCTGCTTTTTCTACGTCACTCTGAAAGTTGAGGGAATTATATAAGTTATCACAGGGACTGGAGAGGGCATTACTTTAAACAAATATACATATTACTGATTATATGCACACAGGTAAACGTATGTAATAGTGTGGACAGTGCCATTTTAACTGTACAGTAAATATGCAGAACATAATGTTTCTTTTAAAGGTGTAACCAGTCTACAGTTATACCTTAATTATACAGGGGGCCATAAGTCAGTACCCATACGTTGGCCTTAATACCTCAGTCACTGAGTACCCAATTGAAATAATTCTTTCTGGTACGACTTACTACCACTACTGGTTCGAGGAATTTGTCAAATCGAAAAATATTCGTGTTCATTTTTTTCAGATGAAGGTTCATTTTCGCATTTATTTGATAGTTTGGATAGTCGGATCGAGCTAAATTTTATTGAATAGTGTTTGGCCATTTAAATTACGTTTTTCCTGAAAAAATGAGAGTTCTAGCTTCTCAGATGACTGAAATATGAAGCATAGGGAGATTTTTCATTGCGTGTGATTAGGTTGAGGCTAGATCCGCATTATGGGAACCGTGCAGAGAGCCCAATTACGGTGTCGTAATTGGGTAATCATTGATTACCTAATCAATTTTGATAACGAGATAAACAAATTGCTTGATAACTTCGTCATTTTAAATCTGTTTCGCACCATCCTTTCAGATTATATTCCGGATTAAATGAACTATTGCAATATGTTGCAACGGAGTATCTAACATGTTCACAAACACGAGTATAAGAAATTCAATGTTGATTGGGTGGTGTGGCCCCCAAAAATCGAAAGGTTAAAGTTTTGCAACTTAATTCATCAATGAAAAGCTACACTTTAATCCACATTTAAATATATGCGCTTATTCAGCATACTAGTTTTAATTTTGTGTGCTTGACGTCGATGGACATTTCTTATCGAGCTCGATCACAAAGCAGCCGATTTGTGCCTGCCAAAACTTAGACGTTGAGAAATATCGCCATAATTCAAGCTTATTATGGCAGATTACAGTACACACTATGTTACACGCTGTATGTACACACCTCTTGTCCAGTGTTTGCCAACTGTTGCATGGCAAGCAAATGTTTGGTGCATGTTATGTTTGCACGGTAGAGGTGACAGTTGTGAGTCTAACATTATAGTGTAGCTACTAACCTTAACATTGTAGTGTAGCTACTAACCTTAACATTGTAGTGTAGCTACTAACCTTAACATTGCAGTGTAGCTACTAACCTTAACATTGTAGTGTAGCTACTAACCTTAACATTGCAGTGTAGCTACTAACCTTAACATTGTAGTGTAGCTACTACCTTAACATTGTAGTGTAGCTACTAACCTTAACATTGTAGTGTAGCTACTAACCTTAACATTGTAGTGTAGCTACTAACCTTAACATTGTAGGCAGCGATTTGTGCCTGCCAAAACTTAGACGTTGAGAAATATCGCCATAAGTCAAGCTTATTATGGCAGATTACAGTACACACTATGTTACACGCTGTATGTACACACCTCTTGTCCAGTGTTTGCCAACTGTTGCATGGCAAGCAAATGTTTGGTGCATGTTATGTTTGCACGGTAGAGGTGACAGTTGTGAGTCTAACATTATAGTGTAGCTACTAACCTTAACATTGTAGTGTAGCTACTAACCTTAACATTGTAGTGTAGCTACTAACCTTAACATTGTAGTGTAGCTACTAACCTTAACATTGTAGTGTAGCTACTAACCTTAACATTGTAGTGTAGCTACTAACCTTAACATTGTAGTGTAGCTACTAACCTTAACATTGTAGTGTAGCTACTAACCTTAACATTGTAGTGTAGCTACTAACCTTAACATTGTAGTGTAGCTACTAACCTTAACATTGTAGTGTAGCTACTAACCTTAACATTGTAGTGTAGCTACTAACCTTAACATTGTAGTGTAGCTACTAACCTTAACATTGTAGTGTAGCTACTAACCTTAACATTGTAGTGTAGCTACTAACCTTAACATTGTAGTGTAGCTACTAACCTTAACATTGTAGTGTAGCTACTAACCTTAACATTGTAGTGTAGCTACTAACCTTAACATTGTAGTGTAGCTACTAACCTTAACATTGTAGTGTAGCTACTAACCTTAACATTGTAGTGTAGCTACTAACCTTAACATTGTAGTGTAGCTACTAACCTTAACATTGTAGTGTAGCTACTAACCTTAACATTGTAGTGTAGCTACTAACCTTAACATTGTAGTGTAGCTACTAACCTTAACATTGTAGTGTAGCTACTAACCTTAACATTGTAGTGTAGCTACTAACCTTAACATTGTAGTGTAGCTACTAACCTTAACATTGTAGTGTAGCTACTAACCTTAACATTGTAGTGTAGCTACTAACCTTAACATTGTAGTGTAGCTACTAACCTTAACATTGTAGTGTAGCTACTAACCTTAACATTGTAGTGTAGCTACTAACCTTAACATTGTAGTGTAGCTACTAACCTTAACATTGTAGTGTAGCTACTAACCTTAACATTGTAGTGTAGCTACTAACCTTAACATTGTAGTGTAGCTACTAACCTTAACATTGTAGTGTAGCTACTAACCTTAACATTGTAGTGTAGCTACTAACCTTAACATTGTAGTGTAGCTACTAACCTTAACATTGCAGTGTAGCTACTAACCTTAACATTGTAGTGTAGCTACTAACCTTAACATTGCAGTGTAGCTACTAACCTTAACATTGTAGTGTAGCTACTAACCTTAACATTGTAGTGTAGCTACTAACCTTAACATTGTAGTGTAGCTACTAACCTTAACATTGTAGTGTAGCTACTAACCTTAACATTGTAGTGTAGCTACTAACCTTAACATTGTAGTGTAGCTACTAACCTTAACATTGTAGTGTAGCTACTAACCTTAACATTGTAGTGTAGCTACTAACCTTAACATTGTAGTGTAGCTACTAACCTTAACATTGTAGTGTAGCTACTAACCTTAACATTGTAGTGTAGCTACTAACCTTAACATTGTAGTGTAGCTACTAACCTTAACATTGTAGTGTAGCTACTAACCTTAACATTGTAGTGTAGCTACTAACCTTAACATTGTAGTGTAGCTACTAACCTTAACATTGTAGTGTAGCTACTAACCTTAACATTGTAGTGTAGCTACTAACCTTAACATTGTAGTGTAGCTACTAACCTTAACATTGTAGTGTAGCTACTAACCTTAACATTGTAGTGTAGCTACTAACCTTAACATTGTAGTGTAGCTACTAACCTTAACATTGTAGTGTAGCTACTAACCTTAACATTGTAGTGTAGCTACTAACCTTAACATTGTAGTGTAGCTACTAACCTTAACATTGTAGTGTAGCTACTAACCTTAACATTGTAGTGTAGCTACTAACCTTAACATTGTAGTGTAGCTACTAACCTTAACATTGTAGTGTAGCTACTAACCTTAACATTGTAGTGTAGCTACTAACCTTAACATTGTAGTGTAGCTACTAACCTTAACATTGTAGTGTAGCTACTAACCTTAACATTGTAGTGTAGCTACTAACCTTAACATTGTAGTGTAGCTACTAACCTTAACATTGTAGTGTAGCTACTAACCTTAACATTGCAGTGTAGCTACTAACCTTAACATTGTAGTGTAGCTACTAACCTTAACATTGTAGTGTAGCTACTAACCTTAACATTGTAGTGTAGCTACTAACCTTAACATTGTAGTGTAGCTACTAACCTTAACATTGTAGTGTAGCTACTAACCTTAACATTGTAGTGTAGCTACTAACCTTAACATTGTAGTGTAGCTACTAACCTTAACATTGTAGTGTAGCTACTAACCTTAACATTGTAGTGTAGCTACTAACCTTAACATTGTAGTGTAGCTACTAACCTTAACATTGTAGTGTAGCTACTAACCTTAACATTGTAGTGTAGCTACTAACCTTAACATTGTAGTGTAGCTACTAACCTTAACATTGTAGTGTAGCTACTAACCTTAACATTGTAGTGTAGCTACTAACCTTAACATTGTAGTGTAGCTACTAACCTTAACATTGTAGTGTAGCTACTAACCTTAACATTGTAGTGTAGCTACTAACCTTAACATTGTAGTGTAGCTACTAACCTTAACATTGTAGTGTAGCTACTAACCTTAACATTGTAGTGTAGCTACTAACCTTAACATTGTAGTGTAGCTACTAACCTTAACATTGTAGTGTAGCTACTAACCTTAACATTGTAGTGTAGCTACTAACCTTAACATTGTAGTGTAGCTACTAACCTTAACATTGTAGTGTAGCTACTAACCTTAACATTGTAGTGTAGCTACTAACCTTAACATTGTAGTGTAGCTACTAACCTTAACATTGTAGTGTAGCTACTAACCTTAACATTGTAGTGTAGCTACTAACCTTAACATTGTAGTGTAGCTACTAACCTTAACATTGTAGTGTAGCTACTAACCTTAACATTGTAGTGTAGCTACTAACCTTAACATTGTAGTGTAGCTACTAACCTTAACATTGTAGCGTAGCTACTAACCTTAACATTGTAGTGTAGCTACTAACCTTAACATTGTAGCGTAGCTACTAACCTTAACATTGTAGCGTAGCTACTAACCTTAACATTGTAGTGTAGCTACTAACCTTAACATTGTAGTGTAGCTACTAACCTTAACATTGTAGTGTAGCTACTAACCTTAACATTGTAGTGTAGCTACTAACCTTAACATTGTAGTGTAGCTACTAACCTTAACATTGTAGTGTAGCTACTAACCTTAACATTGTAGTGTAGCTACTAACCTTAACATTGCAGTGTAGCTACTAACCTTAACATTGTAGTGTAGCTACTAACCTTAACATTGTAGTGTAGCTACTGACCTTAACATTGTAGAGTAGCTACACAAATTCAGTGAACCCTAAAACCGACCAGAATATAAAACAAATACCGTGATTATATTATGTGATAAGTGACAGTACAGTACAGTACAGTACAGTACAGTACAGTACAGTACAGTACAGTACAGTACAGTACAGTAGAGTAGAGTAGAGTAGAGTAGAGTAGAGTAGAGTAGAGTAGAGTAGAGTACAGTACAGTAGAGTAGAGTAGAGTAGAGTAGAGTAGAGTAGAGTAGAGTAGAGTAGAGTAGAGTAGAGTAGAGTAGAGTAGAGTAGAGTAGAGTAGAGTACAGTACAGTACAGTATTTACCCAGAACTTGAAACCTCTCAAGCAAACAGAATGACCAGAACATTCTACTAACACTGTCTTATTATGTATTCTTGTGTAAATTTGTATTAAAAATACTTTCAACACTACTATATATAACAAATAATTTGAGATCATGAATACGATGTAGTAACATTGAAATTCCTTCCCTGATAAGAGCATTTTTACTTGTCGCATCAAACGGGATCAATACAAATTTACACAAGAATACATACATTGCAACCATGCGACCCAGAAACAATATTCCAATCCGGATTTTACATGAACTGTCTTATTAGCTAAGTATAAGGAGAGTAAAAAGTTATCCGTGTTACTTTTATGTTATGATGTTCCCAACAAGCTTACAAATTATGATGCCATAGCAACCACAGTATCTATAGCAACCAGCTGATGCCTGTAAATTCCTTCTACCGCATTCCATCACAAATAGCTTGTCGTATATCGAGCTATACTTATACGTTATCATACAATACACGATATGTAAAACAATGTATAACTGCGGGTACTAGTTAAACTTTATAAAATTAATTAGTCAATGGATAGGACAGCTTAACAATACACATGTACTATCTACAATCGATAGTATGTGTAACAGTGTACAAGTGTATTATACAAACCAAGCAATCAGAGCACAGGATTACTAACACGTGACACAAACCAATCAATCAGAACACAGGATTACTAACACGTGACACAAACAAACCAATCAGAACACAGGATTACTAGCACGTGACACAAACCAACCAATCAGAGCACAGGATTACTAACACGTGACACAAACCAACCAATCAAAGCACAGGATTACTAACACGTGACCCAAACCAACCAATCAGAGCACAGGATTACTAACACGTGACACAAACCAACCAATCAGAACACAGGATTACTAACACGTGACACAAACCAACCAATCAGAACACAGGATTACTAACACGTGACACAAACCAACCAATCAGAACACAGGATTATTAACACGTGACACAAACCAACCAATCAGAACACAGGATTACCAACACGTGACACAAACCAACCAATCAGAACACAGGATTATTAACACGTGACACAAACCAACCAATCAGAGCACAGGATTACTAACACGTGACACAAACCAACCAATCAGAGCACTGGATTACTAACACGTGACAGAACTGACCTCCTCAAAGAGAGATAGTCTCTCTCTCAGCTCCTTTACTCTGTTCCTGGTGTTCTCTAGCCCCGCTAGTTTGGAGGATATGTCCTCATGGGAGTCTGTGTCGTTAAAGGACATGGTCCCCATTTCTACTTGTATACGAGACAGCTGGTCTCTCATCGCCTGCAAAGTTACTGGTTACTACCCACACTCAAAAATCCTATCATACTCCTTTATGGATTTTACCTGTTAAAAATTGGCGAAAGATATGGGCGTGGCCGGATCGGGATCAAGACGGTCGAGTAGGAACTTTTTTGTGGTCAATGAACCTAAGTAATGGATATAAGCACTCTTCGCTAATTAATCGTCACATCTTGAAAATATGACCCTAGTGGTAAACCACGCTTCCTGTTACGTTACTAACTTTAAGGCCAGAGGGGGGGGGGGGGGGGGGGGGGGGTAAGGGGTCAAAAACATCGACCAAAATATTATTTTCTTATTCAATATAATTTTTGATGACAAAAACATTGCAACTATTCACATATTTGTAGCTGCTTAACTTTTTTTAATAATTGAGGTTAACCGACTTTCACAAAATTGACTATACAACATTGAGGTTAATAAAATTGAGGTTAATATTTTATTACACTCCATAATTTTTTGTTATTTCGGTCAGCAAATGTTAACTCTAAATTTTAGGTTCATAATTATCAGAAAAAGTAATATCCAAACGTTATTAAATGAGGTTAACCTCTTTTTTTAGATGTAGCGAGAATAGATCAAATGATAGAGCTATTATTTTCATCGTTAGTTTACGGTATACACATTTCTAAATAGATGACGTGTTGATTGACTTTCTTTTATCTTGGGAAAATGAAAAAATGAGGTTAACCATCACATTTTGGTACTGTAGGGAATATACATACGATTCTTGCTTATGTAATGTACCACAATATCGCAGTGAGGTATCTATTGGTATCACAATGCCTACAACTATAATCACGTGACAAAGGTGATTTGAACTGACCATATTTTAGTAGAAGATTTTATCCGTAAATCGCTAAAAAATGAGGTTAACCTCTCATTTTTTGAATATCTGACCAGTAAAATACATGTTAACCTCAAAAACTTAATCGTTACACTGTGCAAATGTTTTACTACATATATAATAACATATTAATAAACCAATCCCAGTGTTATATGGTCTAAAGCGAGGTTAACAACCAAATTTTTACTACTTTCGAGCAGTTAGTGTTTACAGGAAGTCTTGGTTAACCTCATTTTTTACAATACAAGGACATTAACTACTGAAAGTGGCTAAAATCGTTTAGGGGATGGCTAGGTCTGATCAAGCAAACGTTGATAGGTGTATAGAAAGTCCTAACTAACGAACTGTGATACATTCCAGTGAATATTCAAAATTTTGAAAACACTAAATTGCATCTATCTCTCACACGGCTGTCATCCGTCCAATCCTATCCTACTGCTGTAGTATATGGATCAGGGCCACTCAAACGGACTATAACGCGAAGAAACTCAAACGTGTTCAGGCATTGGCACTCAGAATGATGTCTGGTGCCATGCCAAGCACACCTTTTATCGCATTGAATCACCTCACCGACACTTCTGACATCATACTGTTCCTGCAAGGCGAAGCAGCAAAGGGTGCGGCCAGGCTACAAGCTTATGGCAGCCTCACTCTTGAAACTATCGCCTTCAGGAAGGGAACTATCAAAAATCATACCACTATCAACAAACAATTCATGGCAGACCTCATTATCCCACCTAGAGCAACGAGAGACCTAACAACACCAACCATGATGCTGGGACGGCACTTCACCGTCACAACTCCTGGAGCCGATACCACTGAATATAGAAATTCACTTCAAAACACCATTGACAACATTACCAGTGAAACGATCACCTGCTACACTGACGGGTCACTCACAGACTCAGGATGCGGGGCTGGCTATATCATCACAACAGACAACAATAACACCACCCTTGAAGAAAGATCATTCAAGCTCCCTGATTATTGCACTGTTTACCAAACAGAGCTCACTGCCATCATTGAAGCTTGCAAATATCTCTCTACCTATACCAACACACATATCATCATATGGTCTGACAGTCTCTCATCTATACAAGCTATCTCTGCGCTTTCAACGCGGAGTAGAACTACAAGAGACTGTTACGACTCTCTTAATGCACTCGGATCCAACAACACGCTAGAGATACGATGGATTGCAGCACACATCGGATTGTGGGGGAACGAAAAAGCAGATGAGCTGGCCAAGCTTGGTACAACCAGTGAATCCACTTTGAAGTGTCCAGTTCCACAATCCTACATCAAGCGTCAAATCGACAACAAAGTCAACAGACTGAATCAGGAAACTTGGTTAACTGACGGTCCCAGACACACCAAACTGACACTCGGCCACAAGCATGCCAAAATCATCAAAAACCTCAACACTACACTCAGCAAAAACAGACAAGATTACAGAACTGCAGCACAGTGTGCCCGCGAGCCCGATTTTCTGCAAAAAGTCAGTATTTTTCTTCAACCAGCCTATTTTCAATTTAAAACTACCCTATCTAACCTAAAATTGCATGAGAAATCGTTTAAAGGGGTTTTCAAGATGATTAGAAGGATTTTTGACCTCATATATTGATTTAACCTGATTTTTGGTGTAAAATTACATTTTTTTGCCGTTTTTTTGCCATATTTTTGAACAAATTACAAAAATAAGTGACAAATTCACTTTGATGAGCATCCATAATTTACGCTATCTGTAAGTATAGGACATTTAGAGTAATCTCAGAAAAATTTACAGTGTGATATTGTGGCATGATTTTTTTATGGGCCATCAAAGGTTTAAGATTAGACAGAAATTTTGTGAATTTTAGGACTTTTTGATTCCATTTTTAGACCATTTTAGCACTTATATCAATTATAAACTACTTCTTTGTGTTTTAAATGGAAAGAGGTTATCAAGAGCTTTCATTTGATACCTCCATACATGGCTTTTGATCAAAATTCGAATTTTCTTGGACAAAAACAATGTTATTTTGAGCTAAATTGAGTTACGCACTTACAAAATAAGGTAATTTAGCCCCAAATTGCTGATATTTTCTTCTTTAAAGCCTTTAAATCACCTCAACAAGTGTTTCCGGACCTTACAATGACCAAAAACACTTAAAAAGCAATCTTGATTCTCTCAAACAGTTCAGAAATCATTATTTTTGCAATTTAAGGTCTAAAAATGGTAGATTTAGCCCTTTTTTAACTTTAAAGGACCCTAATTTCAATAAAATTACCAAAATTTTAGGGCAGTAGCTGAAAATAGTTCCCAAATAGTCATTCTTAGGCATAACCATACCTAAAGGTTACTTTAAAACACATGTGGAGACTCTTAAACTGCCCCCATGATTAGTTAAGGGTAAAATAGTGATATCCCCATATTTTGGCAGTCAAATTTTTTGAGGGAGGCTGGGGGTACTTATGGCCATGGGAAGGTGTCAGATGACAAATTTGGGTTCCCCATTATGTTTTTTCTGTCAATGTAAGGTATCAGGCATAACAAATAACTTAGTTAATAGTTCCCAAAACTGGGATCTGGAAGTTGATTCTGCACTTTGGTACCATGCGAACGAAATTTTGTCCTTCAAAAATGATGAAAACATCGAATTTTGCCTGCAAAAATCGAAATTTCGTATTTTTAACCCAATTTTTATTGGATCTGGCCCCTAACTCCATATAATAATGATGAAAAACAATGTTTATGGTTTTAGACATGTTTAGAGATTATTATTCTAGTTTATATGCGACCAATTCATCCATTAATTCTTATCCTATTGAATTTTATTCATAAATTTCATACCAATTTGGTGTATATGATTCAAGATATCTCAAGAACCAAAAATGATAGCCCCTTAATTCTTTTTTTGTTAGAAAATTCAGATTATTTCTGATCAGATCAGGCTAAACTTATCTGGAAAGCAAATATCACCCTAAATACTTTTTGCAGCCTCTGGGCACACTGTGTGCAGTTCACCTCATCACGGGTCACTGCGGCTTAAACAAACACCTTCACACCATTTGCAAATCAAACACCAGTGCTTGTCCTATGTGCGGCGACGGAGAGGAAACTGTCTCACACTTCCTTGGACAGTGTCCAGCTATTGCCCAAATTAGAGGTCAATATTTCCAGGACTACTACCTCTCTGTCAATGACATATTCGACAACCAACACATCACCACAATTGTCAATTTCGCAAACCGCACCAAACGCTTAATTGTGCCGGAAGAGCTGGATCAGACCGGGGTGACTTAAAGTATTATCTCATATGCTGTCTCGTCTCGTTTTACTTTTCCAAACCCAGCTGGCATTTAAGCGTATCATTTTGACTCATATTATATCATCTTACACCATCCTCCACCAATCACTCTGATTTCACCGGCAACCTTCCCCAAGGTTGCCACACCCCAGAGGTAGGCAGAGCATCTCAATGCTATCCTCTCGTGGGCTATCTTGGCCCAGCCTCTCTTAAAAAAAAAAAAAAAAATCTATCTCGAAACACATTTTGTGACTTTCAGTTCCTTAGTTGAGTAAACCAGCCACCCCCTGATATTGGGATTTGGTACAGTGGTTCCTTGGACAAGTATCTAGATATTAGATGCAGCGATTTTTTTTATTTGACTCGTTTCTCGAATTATGAGGTTAACCAGCTAAATTTGTCGAATTTTTGACATGGTTAACCTCATAATTCAAGAACCGAGTCAAATTAAAAAAATCGCTGCATCATAAATGAGGATAATTGTCCAAGGAACCACTGTACCAAACCTCAAGATCAGGGAGTGGCCGGTTTTCTCAACTAAGGAATCGAAAGGTCAAAAAAGTTACAGCCGTTTAAAGATCCAGTTTAACATGTAATTACAGGTAAACCTCAAAATTTAGCGCGCGATATCTCAGGAACGCAAGGTCTGATTTTGATCCGGTTTTTTTCTTCTTGTTCGTCTCCAGCAACTATTATCAAATATGAGAAAACTAGAAAAGTGCCATTTACCCCCCCCCCCCCCCCCTCTGGCCTTAACTTGTTAAACTACAGCTAGGCTCTGAGGCTCTGACAGATTACCCTAACCCTTACGTCGTTAACATCTTCCTCGGCAGTCGTCAGCGAAA